GAAAGTTTGTAAAAAAATAAATAACATCAAATAGATGTCATTTTTTGTTTCTTTATCAGATTAAATTATGTAAAAAACAAATATAATTGGAGCGCATTACATTTTTTTTTTTAAATATATCTAATATTAACCCAATGTTTGTATATTTAAAATGTGGTATATAATATAACTATACTATTTGACAAATTATAAACGCACCCTACAAAAAAAACCCCTTAAACAAATGTGTCAAGGCGACCGGTTTGTGGGCCTAATAAAAGAAAATTAAACCGGAAATTGATCAGTGGGTGTGATTAAAATCTGATGCCATTTACGTTTCATTTTATTATGCTGTACTCCAGCAACATGTGAGATACTTTCTTTGAAGTCGGTGTTCAGATCGCCTGAACGTTCTTGACGAATCAAAAGTCTGTAATGAAATATATAGCTGCGTATTGTGGTGAATTCTGGGGAAGCGTGAGAATGATTTTAAGTGGTTTTGGGGTTGCATTGTTACAACCATTTTGAATATGATTGTATATAGTGTGTTGGTTATTTACAATTTAGTGTAAAAAAATCAGCAAAACGAATTGAAACTCTAATCAAATTTTAATTAGATGGGTTGCGGTTCCTTCAGCTAAATTAAAATATGTGTATTCAGTGTGGTAATCGTAAAACAATATAAAATCTATAGGATAAAGGATACTGTGACAAAGATTCCGTTTAACAAATCACACTTTACTTACTCGTTCGTTCGTTTGTTCTTGGAGGTTTACGTCCACTTCCGCAACACAATTACTTACTCGTGGAACATTTTACTATACCACTCTAACCTTATGTCAGATGCGTGAAAGGGGCAATTAAAAGCGATAGTAACTCGTCGATTAATCGTCGCACTAACCCAACACTTCTACAGGTATATTGACTAATCCATGGTTATTGTCTTGGTCATCAAATCATTTGACAAGGGCAATAACTTTGTGATTAATCAACGCACGACTCTGTTCTGTATTTTGACAGTTTTAACTTTATCCAACTCATTCAAGTAGCAGGGTGTGCTCAAGTGAACTGACGGGCGTGATTTTGATGACAAGGGCAACTAGATAAATGACACGTGTATTTTCTTAAATCTTAAAAATCAATGCTATTAGCCTACAGTGTTTGAAAGTTTCGGTGATAGGCTACCTTCGCGATTAATCTTCAAATTTCGATATCATATGGGTTTTAGCCATAACTCATCGATCACGGTAATGAATCAACTAAAGAGGATTACAATAACCTTCTTCAACAATTCGAGCTTCATCCCAGGTCATCCCAAAAATACCTGTGATTACTGTTGTCCAGCCAACTCCTTTCTTTTTTTAGCCGGGGGATCACGGTGGCTAAGTGGGTAAGACGCTGGCTCTCTAGCCTTGAGGTCGGCTGTTCGATCCCTGCATTGGCCGAGAAAGTTCATCCAGATTTCCCGGCGTGGTTCCCCCTTGTCAGTGGCCTGACAAGGACAGCTGTCTCGTCGTTCGGATGGTACGAAAAACCGAGGTCCCGTGTACACATTGACGTGCACGTAAAAGATCCCTTGACAGTTGGAATTCGATAGAAGAGTTGGCCGTAGTGCCGCTGTTCGGGAAAAATTTCCCTCATAGCACACTGTATGGCGTATGCCCGTCTTCATTAGTCCAGTTCGGAGCAGAACAGTATGACGTTAAACCCCATTTAGCCCAAATCGCCGACTCTAAACTTTCTTTTCTCATTTCTCAGGGCCTATTATTTTTTGGTCTTGGTGTGGTTTTCTGCAGACACGGAAATTTTGGCACACTTTGTGTTTTGTTCTGCAGTGAAAATACCCCCAAATTAGCCCGATCAATCGAAATAGGCCAACTGTCAATTGATATTAATTATTTAAGCCTATATATATACCGGTATAGGATCTATTGAGATGTACTGTATATGACTAGCCACGAATCTTATAACTTTCAAGGATTTAGAAAATTCCATGACTTTTTTTAAAGACTGGGGGTAGTAGGAGGGAGAAGGGGCGTAAAAGGACCAAAAAGACACTTTATTCAATGTCTAAAGCATTTTACCCGACCGAAACAAATGTCCTTCCTTGTCGGCCTATTATGAAACACTTCTAAAATAATCACTGAGTTGACTGAGATTATCGCAGCATCTAAAAAATATGTTTTGTTTTTGCTTTCTTTCGAAAAATAGGTTTACAATGTTATATTATTTTTTGGTATCTTTGTCTCGCTTATTTATGTGTTCGATGTAACCGAACGGAAAATAACAATTCTATTGACATTGAGGTCAGTCTCAATGTTGGCCAATGAGCTACATTGTTTGTCAGCTGTTTTGTCCAACAGGTACATGGCGACAACTTCCGTTATACCGCATAAATTAAATATTTTACAGATATTATACGTTAAAGAACTAAATTCTGTATTGGAAAGTTGTGATTTTATCTGTTGATGTTGCATAAATTTCTTAATTCTATTATTTAGATTTTTTAGATTAAAATGAGTTAAACATTATTTATTTATAGCCAATGATAATTCTACAAATTCTAAAGCAGGTCTTGTGACGTCAGCCTGCTTCAGCTTTCAATGTCCGGGAGAAGTTCGTCGCTTCAGGAAGGATTGCCTTGTATTACCAAGAAAGTTTGAATTATGATCATAAAGTAGATTCTGGAAGATTAGCTGTAGATTTGATATCATCAGGTCTTGAAATGAGTATCGATAATCGGATGAACTGAGCCCATCTTTCTTTTGATTTGAGGTAAGAATTAAGTTAACTTGACCCGTTATAAAACCGGGGACTCCCGAGAACGCACACTTGTATCGCATCTATATTATCTAGGTCACCGATGTAGAAATAAAACCATTTATTTACCGTAGAATATTTGACTGAAGTCTGATGTTTTCAATTTAGAAAATAACTCGAACATGCATTTTGGTGTTGTTTATTTCACTGATATGAATTGTTAGTTATTTTGTGGTTTTATAAATGTAAAACAGGCAGAGCTCAATGGAGCGTTTTTCCCGTTATATGGACAAAATGGCCGTAGTTTATGCTGGGTCAATTTTCAGAATCGATTTTTAGGGGTCAGCCGTGTTTTTGTTATTTTTTTCGTTTTAGTTTAGACTTCTCTGAAAATATTGAGACAAGAACAAGCCCACGCCATGTTACATGTATGATACAAGTTTTCGTTTCGATTTCCTCAATCGTGACAAATCAAACTGACAAATGAAATCACCACCTTGGCTCGGCTTTGTGTCAGTGCGTGGTTTATTCGCCATTCACTAGCGCGTAGGGCTATTTATAGTAACAATTGCAACGAGGGAGATTCCCAAATTTGTGTTCGTTTAAGGATCTAGATCTATTGTCCAACGAATCAGATGTCGACACTTGTTGCAATTAATACGTAAGATTATAAATTTAATGATTACGATCACAAATATTTATGATTAAACTCTTCCACGTCGTATTCTCAAGACCCATTGTATTTCAGATAGCCAAAATGACCCGGTCAGTGGCGAAGCATAAATGCGCGCCAGAAGTGACAGGAGGTCATCAAAGTTGAACTGAAGCTTGATAAAATGTAAGATCGGTAATGAAGTCTGTGACAACTAATTAGTTAAAATAAATATTTGTTTTAAGTCTTAGAAAAATGTAAATTAGTTTAGATCTAGATGTAGAATTTTATCGAATTTTAATAGTTAAAATTTATAATTAGTTTGTTTTAATGCTTTCGTAATCAACATGATCATTGATTAAGGACAATGTTTTAGTAATATTTAGTATTAGTAGCAATCCATCAATATTTAAAAATAAAAATTAGGACATTTTTATAGGTCCACATAAAAATGTGATTGTATATTGCTGTCATGTCCTTCCTAGTCCACAGTTTCTTGTGAACTCTCCACGACTACATTTATCATCTGATTGTTTTGAAATTGATATATATTATATATATGTTGTTTACATGAGATGAAGAATCCTATATAATTTCCATTAAGTTCTTTTGGAGTTATGGCCCTTGCTTCATGTTACAACCCCTTGTGGACGCTCTAAGTCTAACGACAAATTTTATCATCCGGTCTGTATGAAATTTATATGCATCCTTTAAATTAGGAAAACGAGGTACGCTATTGAGTTTGAGCAATTTCCGTTAATTACATCTCTATAGTTATGGCCCTTGTTTGACTTTGTTGAAAGCTGTAAACACCCCAACGACGAAAGTGAAAGGAAGAATTGTGTTGAATTTCAGTCTTTTCCGTTAATTATGTCTGAAGTTATGGCCCTTGTTTCACTTTGTTGGACCTTTTGAATGCTCAGATGACAAAAGTTGTCATCCGATCTGTATAAAATTTATCTGCATTATTTAAATTAGTGAAACGAAGAAGTGTATTGATTTTCAGCAATTTTCATCTATTGCTTCTAGAGTTATGGCCCTTGTTCTACTTTGTTGAACATTGTGAACCCTCAAATGACAAAAGTCATCATCCGATCTGTGTGAAATTTATATGAATTATTTAAATTAGTAAAATGGAAAAGGCTGTCGAATTTCAACAATTTTTGTATATTACTTCCAGTGTTAAGGCCCTTGTTTCAGTTTGTAGCACCCTGTGAACCCTCAAAGGACGAAAATTATAATCTGATCTGTATGCAATTGTCTTGTTAATGCCCCCCCCCCCCATTACCTAAAAAAGATTAAATATGTCACTTGACAACCCTTGTTGACCACTTGCATGATTTAGCTGCTATGGGCGTATGATTCATTGCCTGGCAACCTATATTTAGTTATCTGTTATAGAAAGCAAATTAGAAAAAACTAGGATTTATAATCTTACTAATTATTTATTAAATCTATAATGTGATTATTTTATTCTTGAGGAGCGAAGTTGAGGAAAATTGAAATAGTTAAGCTTTTAATGATTTCAAGTAGTGTTATTATTTATTACAAAATGATAAAGCATACACAATAATGTATTTAAAAAAAAATACTGATTTTCTTTCAGATAATGCCACCACATGCACCGTTAGCAATGAAGCGGAAACTTGATGATTTTATAGAGGATGAAACGTATGGGACGCAGAGACAGTCAGTTTTACACATGTCTGTAAGCAAGTTGAAAGGTCCAAGAATAAACAGAGTTGATCCTGGATTGCGAAGATGGGTCCTTATTTTAAACACCTTAAAGCACATCGAAAATGAACTTCAAACTGAAGGAGTAGTTTACCATCCACCTCAAGATTCTAATTTTATTTCAAACACAGCATTGAATGAGTTAACACTGGATCCTTTACCCGAAGCGAACTCCAATCATTCTCCGGTTGTTTCTCGGATGGACATTGTCACCTTGCCAAAATGTGTACCGGTGTCAAAAGATGTAGAGATGTCCCCTGTGGAGGAAAAAGAAGAAAGAACTGTATTAGATTTATTACCATGTCGCCTACCATCAGAATATAGTAATAACCAATCTGAGCTCAAAACCAATCAAGATTCGAACAATAACCTAGTGCCATTGTCATCCCCTTCAGCAACATCATCAGATCTTGGCTGGGATCATGATCCCCTACATGACATCGATATCTCTGTGTGTGACTTTGATTTTTCAACTTTTGCAAATTCTGTCAAATTAGCCCCATTAAGTGCAGAAGATGTTTTACATACCTTTCCCTGTCCTCCTCACGATAGTGCTTCATCTATAATTAACTCACAGTGTGGCTCTTTCTGTAAAACAGACCATTTTGAAGACTTAGACAATATCATTCAAATATTAGTCGGTATGTGACAGGCTGAATGATAGAACAGATATTTATATTATATTTATATATTGAGAATATGCGGAGAGAGTGAAAAAGCCATAAAGACTTAATATTAATTAAGAATAGACTATTAATTATTTAAGTTTTATATAATGCATATATTTATTATTACATTATTACCAAAAATACATATTCATATGTACATTTACTCTGGCCATATAATGGCTGTATATTATTTTATTTATTGAAGGTGAAAAAACTATTTATACATTAATTTGTAACATTTTACTTGACTTACAAAAAGAAATTGTTACCTCCATGGTATCCCTAGAGGTTGTGACCTACAGGAAGTGCAATGTTCCAAAGAAAATATATTGTGGTCCAAAGGATTTTATTCAATGTGCTATGACATACAAAATATTATTTTAAGTCATCACTAACCTGTCATCAACCATTGAAATATTAATATCAACCAAGTAGGTCTGATTTCAGATATGAACTGAAAATGCACCAGTACATACTAGATGTACAATTTGTATACATGCTAATAATGGTACTGTAGCCTACAAGTAAGTACATGGGCCCCACCGGTAGTCAAGAATATGAACATTCTGTCTCTGCTCTCAACTTTTGCAAGTATTGTATCATCACACCATTCCTTTTAAAATAAAAGTTGTATATTGGGGATTTACCCACACTTTTAGAACTTGTGGACAATATTTATAATACCAGTACTGGTAATTGGTTTGCTTACATTTTAAGAAATTAATTTTGTAGCATGTGAATGTTTTTGAAATCTGCATAATTCTGAATAATGCATACATTAAATTTGTGGTTTGGTACCATGTGGAAAAAGCAAACTACTTCAGTAGTAATGAAATAAACTTTTTCTTAATGCATGAAACCACATTATGAAAATGTATTATCCATTATGCTAGTACTCTAGTAGTTATACAAACAATATCAATGTATTAATTGATATAATCAAAATGTTTCAACCAAAAATGTGCATTTAATAACTGCTGAACTTGAACAGAGGTAACAGGTAGCAAAATATGCATCTGCATGTCAACCTAATGAAGAAAGAATTAGTTGAATTATGCAGTGTATTTGTATGATCAAAACAGTTCAAGGATTTATGAACTGTTGAATTTAAAATTTCAGCAAAAAAAAAGGTTATGAGGTTTCTCTAGGTATATAGCTAGTTTCATGTGTAAATAAAGAAACAATTGATTGAATTTTGTTTATAGCCTTGATTTACACAGTATAGCGAGAGAAAAATGTATACTTCCACAAAATGTGTAAAACATATATTACTGTTTTATTTAATTAACAAAGGAAAAAAAAATCTTTTAAAACTGATTGTGACTTATAAAATTATATCATTATTTAAAGAAAGACAAATTAGTTACTTACTACCGCAACATTATGATTTTAAGAGAAATGAGTTTTCATGATTAAGGGGCCTGAAATCTCCAATAATTTGTTTTCACATACAAGTGGTATGTATTGCCTTTTTGTTTGAAATGTGCCTTTTTGCAGCCCAAGTATTTATGAAACACTGGATGAATCATAGTCATATCTTTCTATCATGTTGTCTTCTCATCATGATATATATATTTATGATACATACAGTAAAAGATTTAAACTTTATTTAAATGTTTATAAATTAAAGGCACTGTTTATTGAGGACACTTAAGACAAAATTGTTCAATCAAAGCTTGAATAACATAAAATAAAAATAATTTGGATTGATTTTGTAAATAAATTGTCGAAGATTTTCATTTAAGGTGCATTTTTACCTTTTCAAACATTAATTTTTGTGACGGACCAGTGGAACCCACCAAAAAATACACTATATTTTTAATATTGTGTGTCATCATGTAAATATTCTTTTAAATCATGTGTTAAATGGCATGTACACATTTCTAATAACTTCTCATAAATACCATATTAATCATTTTGATAAATTGACATTATACAGCTTTGATTGAATATATTCAACAATTTCATTACGAAAGTGAAAACCATTTGTTATAATAAACTTATATTATTTTCACAATAAACCATATTATGGGATTCTAAAACTTGTAAATATTTTGAAATGTTTTTAAAAATATCAGACTTCTCTTATAAATAGCCACTTGTTGGGCTAAAATTACTCTTAGACAGTTCAACATTTATTTGTCACATTTGTTTCTTACAATTATTTGCCCCTTTTGTTTCGTAAGCAAGTTTGAACAATGAAATGAATTGTTTGTGCACTGTACTATTAAAATATTATTGGTTTCATTTACATGTATCAAGATAATCACATAGTCAGAATTCAAGCCATGTCAGTGAAATATAATTATTTACCTATTTTTTTACACTGTATCCTATATTATTTAATACTTCTGTACGTAAACCAGAGATCTCTTAAGACCGTAGCTCCTTAAAGTCTCTGTGCGGCATTTGCATTTTACGTAAAATATCAAATTTTCCAAAGCTAACTTCCATGCTAAAATACACTCCGATTGATTCTTTAACATTTAAATAAGAAAACAAAATCGAAATATCAAGGGTAGATAATCTCTGGGCTTGGATTCACTTGGATTAAAAAGAGGCCCATTTTGGAATGATATTCACTTCAGAGACTCAACTTTTCCAATATTGTAGTTTGCAAGGGATTCAAATCACTCAAATGACCTGGAGAGACTTCATTAATAAAGTAACATTTAAACAGATGCATGGTTATATTAAAAAATATGCATATATGTATATGATATTATTTAAATATGATATAATTTATATACTCTTTGTATCTATCTTGTCTGAACCTATCCAATTTATACACCACTACTTGATTACATATTTAAGTAGGGATGTCATTGTGACATGACCTATATTATTGATATAACTATTATGTCATAGACAACATGGCTATCTGTCTACAACTCTAGACTTTGTTTAATCAACAGATCAAGCTTATATTTTAATATATTGTGTAATGCATCAGATTTATTCAAAACAACAGTAATGATGATTCAAGAATCCCTCAGTTTATTAAATTTAAGTTATTTTATAGAATATTCTCTTTCATATTTCAATATTCAAAAGTATGAAAAGTAAAAAAAAAAACATGTTATGGTCTGCTATCATCATTTATGTTATATTTTACAATACAATATGTTTTTTTTACAAAGGCAAGAAAAATAAACTACCAAAATCACAACAATATTGAACTTTATATACCTTATTTATTACCGCCCCAATTATAAATTATGTTATTTATTTTAGAGAAATTGACTAGTCATATCATTGTCACCGTGGAATTTTCTTAAGATAAGACTAGGTTTGTCGAACATTTAACTATTTAAAGATATATTTCTTCATCAACTTAGACTGATTTTTGTGTTGTAATCCATTGAAGATTCTACATAACAAATTTGATAGAAATACATTTTTGGATCTAATACCATTGAGGAAATCAATTTTTAAATAAATGAATTTTAAAACTATGAATATCAAAATAATGACATCTTATTGAAACTCGGTCATTTTACATATGCTACTGTACATGTAAGCTATAATCATGCCTTTTAAAGCTACTCAATGAAGAACAGATCTCAAACATTGTCATATTTATAGATATATTTATTTATATATGTAATATATTAATAAAATATTTATTCATAGTGAAATCTGTCCACTATTTAGGGAGACTGTAGAGAAAGTTAGTATTAATTAGGTATACCGGTAGTTGTTTTAACTTGGCATTTAGATCAAAATGAACATCACGCCAAAAAAGCCAATATTTTTTTACTTAGGCTAAACTTTGAAGGTGTTGCCTTATTAATTCATTAATATTCAAGAGAAATCAAAGAATAAAATAGAGGAGTATTTAATCAATTTTTTATTATTTATTATTTGAAATTGTATCTTGCCAATGTTAGTCTCTGTTCATTTCATTTACCGGTAAACATGTACAGAGATTTATTTGAAATTATATCTTGCCAATGTCAGTCTCTGTTTATTTTATTTACCGGTAAAAACATGTAGGATAGTTTGGAAATGCAGGATTATTTTTTCCAATAGCTATGCTTGGCTTGCTATTTAGCATTTCTTAATTGAATAAATTAGCCTATAGAGAAATTTTCCAGGCCAAAATTTGATACTTGCTTAGCATTGATAAGAACCAAGGTTTTTCTTTATAGATCAAACTGTTTGGTTGATTGTGTATAAATCCTTTGTAATTAGATAAACTTGTTATCGAAAAGTGCAATGGAGTAATACTTCCATAAAAGTTCTAAGCAATACCCAAAGGCAATATTTTGTTAAATTGATGAAAATGTTAATTGTACAATAGTTTTGTGTTTTTATTTTGTGTAAATAGCTTAAAGCCACGGTTATTTAGTTCCCATTTCATATTTTCAGTATTTCCACGAAATATGTTCGGGAAACTTTATCCGGTTTTAATATTCATGTATATGTATCAATAACTAGTATATGTTTTACATATTCTGATATATCAAGATTTGTATATCAAAATTTAAGTTAAATTGATTTTGATTGATTCAGGTGAAACAAATGAATAAATGATAACGGTTTGCTTTTTAGCTTTCAAAAATATATTCTTCTATCAGGAGATTTAAATTAATTTCAGTGGTTTCAGGTAAAAAGCATATTTCTTTTTAAATACTACTATCATGCCAGAAAAGAGCAATGTAATTTAAGAAATAAAACCAAAATACAGATCTTGAAATTTATATTTAATTGGGATAAATTAACTGGTTAAAAGAAAAAAATAATAATTTATAGGTATTTAGATAACAGGTTAAAATATTGATATCAGCTGAAGGTTAGATGGTAATTATTTCACAATATTCAGATATAAAAAAAAAATAGTTGAACCTTTGTTGATAAATGACATAACAATAATTTATGGGTCATACATATATATGTACTCAGTAATAAAGCTTTGTTAGTATATGCTAAATGTAGAATAATAGCATTTACTAAATAAATATCATTACTTTCAACTATACAGCCTTACAACTACATTATACCTTAAGTTTGAATCTATGCAACTTTAGTTTTGATATAGTATTAGGAATTGGAATGTAGTATTAGGGAATAAAACATGTTATGTCAGTTTTAATGCACTTTACATGTATCTCGAAAACTACATAATTATTAAGAACTTTCGGAAATATCATTGTCATTTTAATCGATTTTGACACTTTGAAACTGCACTCGGCATTATAAAGCCAACAGCATTCTTTATCTGAAAGTATTATGTAGGCCTAATGTGAATTTAAATTATAAAAAAAACTGTACAAATAATGCTGTATAGTTTTAATTGCGGTTTTAGGTGGAGTCGAATGTTTTATTTAAAAAATAGATTTAAGAACGGTTTCTACGAGACGAAACTGGCAGTTAACAACCACAAAATTTTTGCGTCTTTTACTCTTTGGCTGAACTTGTTTTCAATACATCGACAATGACCAACTTACAGCTTCGTCTGGGCACGTGGCGTGATCGTGATTAAGTAGTCATGGCAACTGTGTAAATCGGCTGTGTTGAGAACACTCCTATGTTATGTAGGTCATGTGACGTTAGCTCGAAGTAGGGCGCCTTTGCTCAAGTCTGGGCAGATATGTTTCATCTGAATTATTTTTGTCAAACATAAAATTAGTTCAGTATATTTCCTATTAAACCATAATCGTGTATAATTCCATCTCAGATTGTTATGTTTGTTATAAATGCTCAAGTATAAATAGTTCATCGAAAAATTACGTACTGTATTATATATTATTAAAACCGTTTCAAAAATTAATTTAAAAAATATATTTGATTTTTTTTATGGTTGGTTATTTCAGTTCGTAATCAATTGAAGTCAAAGCCCCCCCCCCCCCAAAAAAAACAAAAGAAAAAAACAAACTAAGAAGTGGAAACTTACGTGGAATACCGAATGTGTACAATTAAGTACCTTATAATATTACTTGACCTTGTTTTTATTTGAAAATGATGTATATATAATTCTTCAATTTATTTTGTTGTATACCTAAAAATCACAAAATGTTAAATAAATGTGTCTTAATGAAAGGCCTACTTATATATTGTTAATATGTTGAATATTTTATGTTATAGATTTAGTCAGTGGTAGACCATTATATAAAAATATATATCAATGTAGAATACTTACTATATATATCAAGACATATACATTTTGTACAGACCAAGTAAATCCTTATTTTCATAAGAATTATGCATCTTGTACTTTTTATAGTATTTTCCCGCCATTTCTGTGAATTTCCTTCTCAGACTATTTCTATTACTTTCCGATATACATTGTAGGTAATCAAATATTTATAAAATATACATATATCATATTTAAAAACAATGCAATTAGTTGTGTTTACTTTTCTTTGACCCCACGCCAAGTACATATCTTTTGCAATGGCTGTGCCAGGATTTTCCGGAGGTTGGGGGTGGGGGATGTCCAAGAAATCTTTTTAGGGAGTGTGTTTATTCTTCCCGTTCAATCAAATCTATCCCTAGTACAGCAACATGACAGCCCTTCGTTTAATCTGGGGTCTTCCCTAAAAAAAACGGCGAAAGTCTTGTTCGTCTACATACAGTATTGTTTACATTGTATACGTATTGATAGCCTCGTTTGTCACGCAATTAGTTTTTCTGCAATATTCTGTTATGCACTGGTTAATTGGGGATAATGAAATCGTGAGTCATGACGTAACGTTATGTAAACACATTTGGTCCAATTTGGAGCTTTGTTTAAAGCGTAATTATATTGTTACGCAGTTAGCTATTGGTTGCTAATCGGACTATTGACCAGTCATAATTTGAAACAGAAATTTGCTTCCATTAAAACAGTGTTTAGTGGGATTAGCTCTAATCAAACGAAACACTGCGGGGGGGGGGGGGTGCTGTCCGGACGTCCGTCCATTATTTGTTTGTGAACACTACACAGGTCACAATTTTTATACGCCCACATTTTCATGTGGACGTATATTGTCGTCGCCCTTGTCCGTCCGGACGTCCGTCCACAATTTGTTTGTGGACTCTCTACAGGTCCCAATTCTTGTCCGATTTTGACGAAACTTAAAATATAGCTTTATCCCAAAAAAATCTCGGCTGCTTTCGATATTGGTATGTATCGGATCGAAACTTCATGGATTATGGCCCCTGTTTGTACGAAAAATCATGTTTTTAGCTTTTGGACCCTATAGAGGTCACAATTTTTATCCGATTTTGTTGAAACTTGAAATGTAAGTTTATAACCCAAAGATCTCAGTTCCTTTCGATATTCGCGCATATCGGACTGTAACTTCCTGAATTGTGGCCCCTGTTTGTACGAAAAATTGCGTTTTTAGCTTGTGGACCCTATAGAAGTCATAATTTTTATCCGATTTAAAAAAACCGTATTATTATATCACCGTTACACCCTAAGGACGACTGAGTTCGAATTTCGTGAAAATCGGCCCAAAATTGACAGACAAAATGGCCGCCGTTCGTTCTCAAATAGCGTAAAAATATGGTATATCAAGGTTGTGGACCCTATAGAGGTCACAATTTTTATCCGATTTTGTTGAAACTTGAAATGTAAGTTTATAACCCAAAGATCTCGGTTCCTTTCGATATTCGCGCATATCGGACTGTAACTTCCTGAATTATGGCCCCTGATTGTACGAAAAATCGCGTTTTTAGCTTGTGTACCCTGTAGAAATCATAATTTTTATCCGATTTAAAAAAACCGTATTATTATATCACCGTTACACCCTAAGGACGACTGAGTTCGAATTTCGTGAAAATCGGCCCAAAATTGACAGACAAAATGGCCGCCGTTCGTTCTCAAATAGCGTAAAAATATGGTATATCAAGGTTGTGGACCCTATAGAGGTCACAATTTTTATCCGATTTTGTTGAAACTTGAAATGTAAGTTTATAACCCAAAGATCTCGGTTCCTTTCGATATTCGCGCATATCGGACTGTAACTTCCTGAATTATGGCCCCTGATTGTACGAAAAATCGCGTTTTTAGCTTGTGTACCCTGTAGAAATCATAATTTTTATCCGATTTAAAAACCGTTATTATTATATCACCGTTACACCCTAAGGACGACTGAGTTCGAATTTTGTGAAAATCGGCCCAAAATTGACAGACAAAATGGCTGCCGTTCGTTCTCAAATAGCGTAAAAATATGGTATATCAAGGTTGTGGACCCTATAGAGGTCACAATTTTGATCCGATTTGATGAAACTTGAAATACATATTTATAACCCAAAGATCTTGGTTCCTTTCTATATTCGCACATATTGGATCATAACTTCCTGAATTATGGCCCTTGATTGTACGAAAAAATCACTTCTTTTTTTTGAGCTTGTTCTCTGTCCATCTCTTGCAAAATGTGGGCGTATCTTGCATGGCAACCGCTTGTTAACTGATTTTGACGAAACTTGGAATATAGGTCTATCTCCCAAAGATCTCAGTTCCCTTCGACATTGGCGTGTATCGGACCATAACTTCGCGGAATATGGCCCCTGATTGTACGAAAAATCACGTTTTTAGCTTGTGGCCACTTTAGAGGTCACAATTTTCATCTGATTTTGACAAAACTTTGATGAAAAAGCGCGTTTTTTTTTAGCTTGTGGTCCCTCGAGAGTTCACAATTATTTTCCGATTTAAAAAAGAATGTTCGAATATATCACCGTTATACCGTAATGTCGGTTGAGTACAAATTTCGTGAAAATCGGGCCAAAACTGCCGGACAAAATGGCCGGCCCTCGTACTCACATAGTGTAAAAAAATATATGGTATAACAAGGTTGTGGACCCTCTAGATGTCACAATTTTCATCTGATTTTGATGAAACTTAAACATGCATTATGCAAGAGCTAAATCTGCCTATTGCAGGTCTTTCTTTAGGCCTGAAATGCTTTATAAACTATTAATTAAGACATTTATTAACAAAACAAGATCATAATCAACTCTCGATGGCATCGGATACTCGGGATTTTAACTAGATTCGAACGTTGCGCCATTTAAAAATTTAATTTAAAAATGGGAAAGCGAGGCTAAGTCGCGAATATACCAGTGCCCTGGTTACCACTATGCACACATCTAGTCCAAACTTCCAACAGTGACAACTCCGTTCAGAAAAAAGTAATTTGACTAAAATTTTCAATATTTTCTTTTTTTTATCATCTACTTTAGAATTATTATAGCAAGAGTGACCAACTCTTTATTAAACTCTTAACTAATGTATCTTTAATATGCATGTGGGCGTATCTTGCCTGGCAACCGCTGTTGTTTTTTTTCTTCATAGTACCACTGACATTGTTATCAACGCTAATTATAGTCTATTCTTTGAAACTGTTATACATATGTACAGCTCTCTCTGTTACGAAACTATCCTGTCCTGGGTATTTTCACTGCACTACTTTGAGAACGTTTTTTGTTGATTCGCTTCATAAAATATTAATGGGACAATAAATACATAGTGAGTTTGCAGCTCTAACGAAATGGTGCTCTATATTTGCAGAACTGATGATGTCGGAGATAAAGTAGGGAGGGTGACACAACTTAAGTTTTAAACGGTCCCCATATATAAATCTATATGGTTTTGCAAACAAAAGTATTAAAATATATATATTCCCAACATTGTTATACATTGAAGAAGCAGAAATAGTGTTAAAGTCAACATTTTTGGACAAAGGCAGCGCAGGACACTGAAGATAAGGTTGTGGGGCTCTTTCGGATTTTCTACTAGGCCAACTTGCATTTTGGTTTCCGTGTTTGGGGCCTTCTGTTAAAGAACTATAACGGGAATTTGTCAGACCACCAACGGCGAAGTCTTCCGAATTGCATTCACAAAATTTGGAATCACTCGGAATAAATAAAATGGGGCTTAGCGTCCTACTTTTCTGCAATACTGTACTAATGAAGATTGATTGGCGTCGCAGTGTGCTATGAGAGAAATTTTGTCCAGACGCAGCAGCGTTTCCACCTGCCTTCTTTCGAATTCCAACTATCAAGTCATTTTAATACGCCCAAATGGAAATGTGTTCGTATATTGCCGTCGTCCACAATTTGTTGTGAACACTCTACAGACTACATTTATCACCTGATAGTTTTAAAATTGATATTATGTTGTTTACATTAGTGAGATGAAGAATCCTATTTAATTTCAATTATTTATGTTAATTTCTTCTTTAGTTATGGTCCTTGTTTCACTCTTTTGGACCTTGTGAACGCTCAAACGACAAAAGTTATCACCCGATTTGTGACACGAAGAAGCCTATTTAATTTCCGCAATTACTACTAGAGTTATGGCCCCTGATTTACTTTGTTGAACCGTGTGAACGCTCGAACGACAAAAGTTATCACCCGATCGGTGTGAAATTTTTATATATTTTTTATATTAGTAAAATGAAAAAAGCCTGTCGAATTTTAACAATTCTGTAAATTACTTCCAGAATTAAGGCCCTGGTTTCAATTTGTAGAACCTTGTAAACCCTCAAACGAAAATTATAATCCGATCGGTATGAAATTGTCTTGTAAATGCCCCCCCCCCCCCCATTGTCTACAAAAGAATACATTAAACATGCATAATGCAAGAGCAAAATCTGCTTATTACAAGTCTTTCTTTAGCCCTGAAATGTTATCTAAATTATCAATTCGACATTAATTAACTTATCCAGACCATAATAAACTCTCGATGTCAAGGCTAGCCTTCGATGTTGGCTGGATTAGATTCCTATATGCCGTTTAACGGCCATTGATAATAAAATCAAAACACTGGATAATCGAGACTATGCTGTTTATATTAATGATTTTACTAATGATGACCGAGACTGTGCGAAAATTTCACCCGCTTCGTTCTCGGCTCATAGTGGATCAATTTGACTGAAATTTTCAGCAAATTACCTTTACACTATCTAGTTTTTAACTATTATAGCGAGAACTGCCATCTCTTTATCTTATCTCCTATAATGTATCTTTAATATCCGACAACCCTTGTAGATCGTCCGGACAGCTGTTGTGGGCGTATGTTTCGTTGCCCGACAACCTATCTTTTTATGTTTACACCAATATTTAACCTACACGGCCCCACCCGATCGACTAGCCACTCCTCCTTACATGGTAAAACACGCTGATAAATTCCGTCAAACACACACGCACTCTCAAATCTCATTTGAAATATTTGGAGCGGGGGGGGGGGGGGCGTCTGTGGGTTGAAAAAATGTCCATAGCTAACCCCGGATTTATAAATGAACGGTTTATTTTTTCCGAAAATAAGCCCCAACATTATTTTGAGGTGGGACGCATAATATGGGTTCTTCCATATGCATTAATAAACAATCCTATGAATTTACATCGATACAGTCACTAATTATTTTCCGCGCCTAGCTGCTAGGCGATATATTGCCAGTACTTCAAACCATGGTCCCAACGCTCAAAATGGTTACCACGAGTCTGCCTACCACCGGGAAACTAGCTGGACAAGAAAATGAAATGGATTTTAACGTCCTACTTTTATGAAGCATGTGGGCCAACGAAGAGCAGAATTTTCTTGTCAGGCCCCCCGTTCTGCACCACTAGCAAGGTCAAATCCCGATCGGGACCCCCTGGTTGTAGTGAGTCAGCGCCTTACTCAATAAACCACGACGTCCCACTGTTACGAAGCAAGTGGGGCAACGAAGGGCAGCATTTTCTTGTCAGCCCCCCCCCCCCCCAATCTGCACTTGCTCTGCCAAGATCGACATCGAACCTCGGGAACCCCTGGCTGTTGTGAACCAGCGCCTTACTCATTAAGCCACGGCCACCAAAAGAAATGTAACGAAAATAAATTCGTCTGCAGGGAGAAACGAATAAAGGGGGGAAACTCCATTGAAGAATAATCTTATTTGAAATAGCATCACGAGCCAAATAAAAAATAAAGCAGTTTGGAATGAATAAATAATTCTACATTCAGACGAGAGAGCGAGAGCCCCAACAAGAGAGAGAGAGAGAGAGAGAGAGATGGGTGTAACGTCCACTCGACACAAACTAGGCCGTTTCGGGACTAACGTTCAATTTTATTTCAATTAATTCGCTTGCTTATAGCAGTGGGAGGAAACTGGAGGATCCGGTGAAAACCCACGAGGTTGGACAGGCGACCCTACTCCTTGCCACGTACAACCAGGGAATCGAAACCACGCCAGTTGACAAAATGACAGACCCTATGATCCAACGCTCACGCGCTAACCATTCGGCCATCAAAACCCCCATATTTAGACGAAGTAGGCCGATTGTCACGTCATCTAAGCTCACATTTTCATATCGACACTGGTCCGATTGATTAGAAATTGCGATGTATGGTGACTAAACCCATTTGCAGACTGTCGGCATCGTGTCGTCTACCAAAAAGCATACCGCGGGTGACCGATTATTGTCTGTTCACTCAGACTTTCCATATGAAATGTTTTGACACGTTTGTATAGATATGTATAAGATTTGTGCCATAACCTAAATATCATTCCAACTAAATCCTGGCGACAGATATAACCCGAATATTACTTATCCATATCCTTATATAGTTTATAATTTAAAAGAATTTCAGACGTAATTTGTTATCTATAAATACTATTGTGGGAACAGTCTAGAATGCACATGTTCTGAGAGTAATTAATTTATGAATGTCTCAAAACTTAATAAACTGAGACGCAATTAAAACGGTCCAGTTTTTAAATAGATTATTTTAACAACCTCAGATCACCACGATAACAGGTGAAAATGATGTATTCTTGATCAAGGAAATGCACCCCAGATCAGTTCTTTCAAACAGAAAAAAATAAGTTGCCAACCAACGAAACATACGCCCACAGCATCTAAGTCGCCCAGTCAGTCCAGAGGGTTTGTCGCATATACTAATATACAAAAAGCTGATTTAAGAGTAACAATCCATTCAATAATTATCAAAAATCATTAGAATTTGATAATAGCTTTTTGGTCTCTTGAGCATCCACAATATTTTTCAAATTGATCAAGGGTGACAACTCTGACAGTTATCAAAAATTATTGAAATTCAATGTGGTTCTTTGTGTCATGACCTTAAACACTGTATAAATTTATTGTGAATCGGATGACAACTTTAGTCCACAAGATTTTGATCTTTAGTCCACAAGATTTTAAATGATGATTAGCCATAAATATCAGAAATCAATAAGCTTCTTCGTCTCATGACCGTAAACACTGTGTATAAATTTAGGCTCTAGAGTGTCCACAAGTATTTTTTAAGAGATCAAGGGGGCCATCATTCTGGTAGTAAGAATTCATTAGGCTTCTTTATAATCAATTGGATGATAATTTTAACCAACAGTGTGTACACTAGCAATGAACTGACACAATATCAATGTGGGCATATTAAAATTGAATTTGCCAAAATTAGAATTCTGATAATCACAATTTTATGGTGCAGACATGTGGTTCAAAATGTGGTTTTTAAAATATTAGGATCAGTACCAGAGCTGTAGCTCGATAATTTTGATGCCATTTCACTACTATCCTCCGAAAGCCAGGGAATGGACGGCAAAGACCAGCACATATTTTCCAGCAATCTTGTCTTGTATAATCCAATCTGGCTATCAAGTACACTCATCTCCATATTAAAATTGAAACAAAACTACACAGCGCTTTAGAATGCTTTAATGAAATTAACCAACCTTTACTTTCTATGATGAAAATGCATTATATATGGTGGTGTTAATATTAAACCAACAGACAAACGATATTTAAACTAATATCTATATACAAATGGTAAATATCTCCTTAAATAGCTAACAAAATTTACACAAAGATTTTAAGATCTTTTACAGCCTAATTCATTAAATCAAATCTTGTATATATATGTATACACATATACATAAACAGTGTTCAATTTCAAATTCTTCTATCCAATTTACACAAAATGACGCTTTCATGAAATGACCAAATAAATAAATATTGAGAAAGTGAATGATTTAATCTTCTGGGTGTAACTGCTCAACAAAACTGTATATCATAAGTTGGATATTTTAATCATTGTTCAATATTCCTTCTAGAAAGTTAATACTCTGAAAGTATTCTCATTCCTTCAAAGTTTTAAAACCTTACTTACACTAACATGCATCCTTATAACATTAATAAACAATAGCCAAGAGACTAATTTAAACATTGATACTATATTACAATATTGAGAAGTAAAACATGTCAAAAATAAAATACGACATTGATATAAGAAACTTATTAAAAGTTGAAATACTGCCAACCCTAAAATTCTCTGTAGACAAAAATAATTTGGTATCTGATCACTGTAAAACGATAAATTAATGAAATAGCTACCTAAATAGGGTTGACTGAAGGGTGGCTACTTCAACGAAAAAGTAGGACACCATTTATGAAAACAGAATCCACTAAATGCACTCATGGATTACCGATTATGAGATACCAAAGACAGTGGTTAGCCCAATATCAATGTACCATCTGTTATTATTTTATTGTTTGGATAGGGTGTTTGACAATAGCTATCATTTATGGGGGTAACTATCAACATCTTATTTTGTTGTTTTATAGAAGAGAAATTCTTCTAAGCATCAATCTCCTTTTTAACACATTCATTTTTTGTCTCATGTTTATGATGCTATCATCTCAATAGTTGAGATAGTGCAGATGGAGAAGAAAAAGTAGAATGTCAAACCCCATTTCATTTCATTTAAAATGTCATGCATTAACATTTTAATGGATTTGATTTCCAATAATCACCCAAAAATAGTTGAAGAGAATTTGTACAAAACAAATTTTTCTATGGGTAGTTTTCCAAGATTTGATAAGTACTTATATCCATCAATATAAAGTAATAACGAATCTTCATAGCACTATGATGTGTACAATATTTCCAAATTAACTACTGAAAAAAACATTCGTAGATTTCATATTCATGATTAAAAATAAAAAACACAAACCATATGAACATGAATATTGCAAATGACTTAAATAACACTTTTCATTTTAATATACATGTACCTCAAGACACTCCATGGCAATTTATTCTTGTCATTCAACTTGCTCCAAACAATAAAATAAACAAGTAAAGATGGCTGAAAGAAGCTAAGTCCAATAACAAATCATTAGTTTCAATAAGTATATATTTACAGTGTTTTATTTAAAAACTAATTACATATTTAACAATAAGAATACTTTTTTACTTCTGTCTAGTTTAAAAATCTGCTCTTATAAAGTCTTCTCCCTTTTGTTATATTCTAAAAATACTCTCCCATTCTCTGTGTAAAATGTGTCAGAGCTTTAAGAGCGAGCCATATAGTGGGGTTTAATCTATTTTAAATACACCACAATAACCTGTATTCATTATCAGTATTTAAAGCTCCAGTTTTACTCTGATCTCATAATAGACAAAAATGGTCTCTATTATGATTATGTATTTCTATGGAAATGCATCATCGCCCATTCAGTTGAATATACAGGTTGTTAAAATTGGACATAAAACAGGTCTGTTCTATTTTCTATCACCCACAAATATTCATCATCAAGTATGGAAATTGACAAGTATGATTTTCCAGTGTGAAATGAAACTCAGAAATGTGCCTTTAAACTCGACATGTCAAGTAAGATAGGTGGTCAGTTGTAATTTTAAAAGATAAAATTTCAACAGAATTTGAATGTCTTATTTTCAACTTATCAATTGGCAAATGCTGTAAACGGTACATGTAATTTATTGTTAATGCAGAATCTACGTACTACATATTCTACATGCATAGGTAAATGTGGACTGTCAGAATAATAAATAAATTAAAATAGCTGCAACTGGAGGGAATCCTTATTTGTAAATGACAACAGTGTAAGAAACAAGGAACAAACCTTCACACCTCCCATCTCATCTTGACAGATTTTCTGAATTACCTAGATTATGAACATGATAACAATTCATAAGCCAGGTCAATCAAAATATATTTAACAACAATTAAAACATATTTTCATGTAAAATATCTACATCAAACAAAATATTCCATAACAATATACATATGATGTAGATCAAATTCATTTGAGTTAATTACTGAAATAAAACTAGTGAATGTATTAGGCGGTGGATGCTTACATACAATCACTTTTATTTTCTAATTTATAGTTAATCTGAATCACTTCCTTTTGTTCTAATTGTACTTGTACTACATACATGAAGTAAGAGATACATTTTTCAAAAAACAATGCTTATGTTCACCTGTTAGTATGACTTGCGGAATCTTTATGTTTTATTCATTGTCTACTATCAATAATAAACTCTACAATGCAACTCGTATCATCTTTACATAACAAATTAAAATTCCAGAGTTATGACATCAGGGTAACTGTAATTCATTTTTTATAAAGAAAAACATTTTCTTATACTAAAATAGCTACTCTTTCTATTCTGTGAACATGTGGCTGTAGTTGAATGTACTATGATATTGATGGTTCAAGAGAGAGAGAAATTGGGTCTAATGTCCTCTCAACACACACTAGCTCATTTCGGGACTAACACATGGTTCAATTTTATTTCAACAATTCGCTTGCACGTAGGGGTCTTTAAAGGTGTGGTAAAACCCACAAGGTTGACAGGTGACCCTACTCCTTGTCATGTACAACCAGGAATCGAAACCATGCCAGTTGACTCAATGACAGACCTTATACTAACCATTCGGCCATCCAATCCCCCTTGATGAATCAGAGACTATTTATAACATTTACTTTAGCATTTGCACCACCTTGTTTCTTTACAGTGGAATATAAATACATTCATAATGTGATAATCACCTTTTTAATTTGTTAATTAAAGTGCACGGTTGAAATAGTTCAATATTAACTAATGAATTAAATCTGAAATAGTTGGACCTCTCCTCAAGAACAATATGGGAGATATTAATGTATAGTCATAATCCATAGAATATATAAATACTCATATTGTAAGCCTCTGAACTATATCAAAGTGTCAACAAGACCCAGTAGGCCTATTACTTCTGAACTTGATCAAAATCCTTGATAATATTCTAACATACATGTATATAGCATCCAGTGTTCATTTGAGTTATTAATTTAGTCTGGTATTCATAGCACTATTTTTTTTTTCTTATTTGAAAGGTGGATGAATTATGGTTGGTGAGTTTCTATAATAGATGTCTAATACATAATGTATATAAAATAAGATCAATCATTAAAGAAACTAAATAAAACAAATAATTTAGTTTTAAATTACCAAAATATATCTGTGTTAATACTTTAATTTCTATAATTAAATGAGGATTTGAGACAGCTCAAGGTCCATATTAATGATCACATCAAATCTATGAAAACAGATAAATAAATAAATGTCATAATTTCTGAATATAACAACAGATGCTGGTCAATAAATGAGAAAAATTTCATGTAAACAAATATCAGTCTGTATATCAATAACTATTTTTAGCTCATTAAAACTAAACCAAAAAATGGATTAATATTATTTTATTTGTCAATATATGTATTTATTCATAATGTGGAAGGCTTTTAGAACCTTTTATTCTAGGCCCATGCAACTATCTAAATCTCTGTGATAAGTTTTCAAAGAAATAACAAAGGCCTATTGTCCAATGGAATTGAATGTGTCATTCTTGCCTGGTTAACCCTGTCAATAATTCAGACAAGTGTACAGTTAAAAATTTCCACTATACTTTCGTTTTTGTTAATTTTTTCTCCAATACCAGTAAGCAATAAAAGTTGCAGGACATTGCTATGCTTGAATTCACCAAAATTCATGTGTGGTGATCTGTGAAACCAACAGTCAGTTCTCATCATGTGTAATGAATCTTGGTGTGCTACTGGATTCCTCATTAACCATGGAGATACAGGTTGAACAACTTTATTGCACATGTTACTACCGCCCCCATGTATTGGCAATATTCGACACTTCTTGACATTGCAATAGTGCTTTGATTGGAATTCCCCAAAACCTATGTGCAAAACTCAATTTTTTTTTTAAAAACGTCGCTAGAATAATAACAAGAACACAAAAGTACTCTTACAATCTCACATCTTAAAATCACTACATTGGTTACCAATCCATAGAAGACCTGATAACTTTCAAGATTCTAACATTGGTCTAAATGTGTCAACACGATCCTTCACCATCTCACGGCACAAACCTCATTCAGTCAACCAAATCGACCATTTCGCTCACAAAATAAGCCCTCATTGATTGTGCTGCAAGCTAAACTGAATCCTATGGGGATAAAGCCTTCAGTGTCTGTGGAATAACTTACCATTGGAGATACAGATAGCTTAGTTAAATCCAAACTCAAAACCAATTTGTTTGTTACTTATTATTAGAATTAGCTATTATTTACCATGCACTTAGAGCATGCAATATGGATGGAGTGAGCGCAATTATAAATGTACATTATTATTATCATTATTAATAATCTCTTGGCAAAGTCAGGTTTATCAGGTCACTAATGGAAATTTGGAAGTGGTCGCTTATAAACCCTATAAACTGTTTTGACAATCATTTCCAAATGGTAAATAACCTATTTCTTCTCATTTTGACCTTACTTAAAGAAAATAATTTGTTCAGTGCAAACTGGGAACTCTCCTTTAATGAATTACAAGTAATCAGAATTCTAAAGATTGACTTAATAAACTAGAACAATGATAACTGTAAAAGTCAGTAAACATACAGTACACCGGGCAATTTAAATACATGATTAAATTTAATGACTAAAGTTTCAAAAATAAAATACAAGCACCTTTAGAAAGTCATCCAAAAATAAAACCAATCTGTTAAAAGAAATGATGATGAATGAAGTATGTTAAATAACAACTGATTAATCAAGCAAGTTAAAGTGGTGGTATGATTTGTGAAAACAATGACGAATAAAATATTTAAACCCTCTTCAGTACAAACATTAAAATGAACTATACACTAGTGTACTAAATTAACCATTTTTCACATAGTGAAAAAAGCTCACAATTTTTCACATAGTAAAATGTTTAAACAATTTTTAATAGTGACAAAGAAAGGTGACTGACTATGTCCGAGATAAAACTATTTACATCAAAATTTAAGTCCCAATTTCAAAATGTAGTTTTTCTCCTGTCTGGGAAGTGAAATTTGTTAGATGATATTTATGTACTACTAATATAAATATTACCTATATTAAGCTGTACAGTACTAAACATACATGTAGTTGAACTATTTACAAGTGGCAGGATTCATTTTAATAACAAGATTGATTGAATTAGGACTTGTGGTTGGTGACTTAAAAACAAGAACACAACAAAAAATATAATAATGGAGAAAAACAAAACAAAATTAACAGTCTATAACAGTGTGGTGTTTTATGTCACTTTACTCGCGTCGTGTCCGCTTTCGTACGGTGCTTGATATATCTCCCTCCCCTCCTCGTTTAGAATGTTTCATATGTACTTGAGACTGAGCTGTAAGTTGCAGCTTGATTGCACTCGCGTTCAGTTTTGCTGAGGTGAAGATTTTTTTCAGTCCTTTCATTTTCTCGCTGCGTAACACAAGGGTCACAGGTTTGGCCCCTGCTAAATAATCTGTGTTGGTCCCGTTGTCAGTAGCGGCGACAACATCAGAATCTTTACGACATAACATCATGTCTGCCGGACTGTCAGCTTTTAACATAGAGTCCATTGTCAAGCCAATGAATGGTGTACCATTTGATTTCGTGCTCAAGAAATCTTCAATGTCCACACTACGTGAATCAGTAGTAGTATTGTTTATAGTGCTAGATGTAGCAGTGGTGAACGGCTCACCACTACCCAATAAATAATCTTTATTTAATATAGATTCTCCACATGCCTGGGATAAAGCTTGTATGTTTGGATTTGGAGCATCATTTTTACCCCCCTCCCCTACTTTAGAAACTATATCTTTGATCGCAGATTGGATTTGGTCTTCTTTTGAGTCTCCATTTAGTTTAGAATCTACCCCATCATTATCACCGTTTTCGTTTTGATTCTTAACTTTATCTGTCAATTGTGATTTACGTCGACCGCGAAGGGATGTTCGAGATTTAGAATCACTCTGAGATCCTCGTCTTGTTTCCTTTTCATCTGTTTGATCATCAGAATCATCATCATTATCCTCACTATCTCCACCTTCTGAGGTAACAGTTACAAATTCACGAACATGAGAATCAAACTTTGATAATGAGAAAACCATGTGATGTGCCCATGTGATATGTAAAACTGGTGTAGAACTACCTTCCTCCCATTCACAAATACCATCGTAAAATTGTAGAAGCTTCACATAAACTTCAGGATCGCGTAAAAATGGTAATTTCAAGGGATCCGAGCTATTCTCATTGGAGACAGCTTTCACTATATTAGGAATAAAATCATTAGCTATTTCTAGAAACTCTTTGTAGATTTCTTCATCTTGACGATTATAGTTGAAACTGAAATAAAATATTCAAATGAAATTAGTGATCTTTTAAAAGATGTTAAAATTTCAAAATTTGTATGAGGGCATAAAACTGAGAATACCTTGAGCCTAGATCGCTTACTATGTTAAAGGGGTATTTGTGCTTTGGAGATCATCACAGATTATTAACTGCGATTGTCCACGAGTTAACTAATAAGCATTTACATCAGGTTTAAAAAAATTAGATTGTATAAAAAATTTGAGACAGAATTGCCTATCCAATGAAATATAGATCTAAGGTTATTTGAACATGATATATTAAAGATACATTATGGGAGATTAGATACAGGGCTGGTAGTTCTCTCTATAATAGTTAAAGGCTAGAAAATGTAAAGGGAATTTGCTGAAATATTCAGTCAAATTGATTCACCCTGAAACTAGTATTTAGCGATTAAATTTTGGGCCTAGCCTCGATCATCATTACTAAAGTTGGTATGATAAAAAACATAGCCACGATTATCCATTTTTTGATTTAATCAGAAGCAGCAGACCAGGTTCTAATCCAGTAAATATTGCAGGCTAGCGATGCCATCGAGAGTTGATTATGGTCTGGATAAGTTAATTAATGTGTAATTAATAATTTAGAAAACATTTCAGGCCCAAAGAAATACCTGCAATACGCAGATTTAGCTCTTGCATAATGTATGTTTAACAGAGTCATATAAATTCTTGCTTTTAGTGCAAATATGGAAATGGAGCGAGAGAGAGACAGAAACATATGGTTCAATTTTATTTCAATAATTCACTTGCACGTATGGGTCTTTAGCAGTGGGAGGAAACCGGAGAAAACCCACAAGGTTGGACAGGCGACACTACTCCTTGTCACATACAACTGGGGAATCGAAACCATGCCATCTGACTCAATGACAGACCTTATGATGCAGCACGCACACGCTAACCATTCGGCCATCCAACCCCCCATTTTGTTGACAATGCTGCACATACATGTACCAGCAACTGGGAGCATTTTTCATTGTATTTTCATTTGTATTGTCTATGCCATATTCTCTTACCATTTCTATCAGCACAGTTTAGTATATCAACTATTACAGAGTGCCGGATTGATTAGTATCTGAGCCCGGGTTAGTTTATTTTTTATTACAGAATACAGTGAATAATCTGGGATTCAATTTCAAATTTATCGACAAATCAAACAATCTGATTAAAACACAGATCCTATTTCGTTTTGTTTTTTATAGTTCAAAATTTTGTTTTACATGGGTTTACTACATTAGAATCTGGAAGAATTGTTATATAACCGGCGTTATGGTTGATGTGAGGGATTAGCCAATGAAATGGTCTGTTGCATCGAGTTCTTGGCATACCCATGCTCGGAACTATGGGTATCCTACTAGAAACATCAACGTTGATTTATTAATCAAATGTCTGACATCATAGGGTCACGAGCCGCTGGTATGACCCCTGAAGAGACCTCCCACTACAACTGGTCAGATTTCATGTAGTAGAGACCATCACAAGTATAAAAAATGAAATGAAATATAGATCTCTGTATTTTAATCAGATTGCAAATCAATCAAGATATTCAACTGCCTCTTTATGTCAAAAAATAGAAGTGTTGATTTATTTAAATTTGATGAGTTGATTTGTTTTGTGAAGAAAGGTATCTTAACTATGCTTAAAACATTTGGCCTGCAGATAGTCGTGACAGTTGTGACATATATGATGTTTAAGCCAAAATCTATACTGCAGTTAATATACAAACTGAGTTTCAAAACAAGAACTGAATCTTGTATATGAGACAAAACCAATATTTTACTTTTACCTAGATAAAAGAGGTGTAACAATTTAAATTTGGAATGTTTAAATCCAAAATAACTGAGATTGTCTCTCATCAAACACACCTTATGACTAAAAGGATTTTTGTAATATGAAAGAATAATATTACCCGCTAACTACAGCTGCTGCTTCAGCCCAGGCCATGACAGCTGCCTTATATTGATGTTTACGATATAGATAACCTCCTAAATATGTATATGGATACACATGTTGATTGTTGTAATATTTCTTTGAAGCTTCTATAGCTTCGGCGTATAATACTTTACACGGTTTTCTGTTTGGAATGGGGTTTACCTCTTCCAAGTCTCCCAAATTACCAAGAGCCATTGGATACCTGAAATTGAATATCTGAGTATTAAAGACACTGATTGTCTTTGCATTGTCTCTAATTTTTCACAGCTTAAAATGTGCTCAAATTGCTTATGTAACATTTAATGAAGAAAGCATAACAAAAATATCAACAGTAGATCATCTACGTTCTTGGATTCAATCGATTTAAAAACAGGCCCATCAAAAGATTTAACCATATTCTATATATAATTGGCAGTGGATGCCAAATTTTGAAAAGTTTTCAATTGATCATATATTCCTTTTTGAGATTAAACTCTCACAATATTGTAGTATGCAAGGAATTCAAAATCAATCTATTGACGATCACTGACTTACATCTGCTCACAGCAGAACATAGAGCATACCAATCTTAATTGCTAAATCCCTAGTCCCAACTAGTGTCTTATTTATCCCACATGCAATACAGTAGATATTTTGAAAAGATGGTCTAAACTAAACCTAGCAAAAATTGGAATGCCCTATGAAAAGTAAGTGTTGCTAACAGACAATTATAAACACTGATCTGGATCTTCCCCCCGCATTCACAAAAAGCTGATTTGTCGACAAAGCCTAAAACATTTATACTTGGCATGGACAGCATGCAATGGTCATTGTAGGGTAATACATGTAAGTGTCTTTTTGTCTACAGAAAAGAACCAAAAGTGGCATAAGCATATATCAAATAACAAAATTTTACAAATCTTCATCTTACTTTTTCAAATGTTGTTTGTCATATAATGCCCACAAAAGATCCTAAAAAATAAATATAGAATAATATATATACACTGTAAATCGTGTAGTAAGAAAAGCTATAGACCAGTGAGAGTCAAGACTATTGTTTGTTGTTCAGTACTACGCACAATTCAGAAAAGTAACTCAGGTTGAATTTCAGAAAGATTTTTTTTACTCCTGTCAACGTAATCAAATTGTAGTCAATGCATCTTTCCTGCGGCCATTCTTATACAACACATCAAAACTCTTACTTTTTTTTTAATCAGTCACAATGTTTAATTATGAACAGTAGACAGTCCTATAATCATCATTTTATACATGATTTATCAAATCATTGATTAATTAATAATGAGTTGTACATAATCAATCCTCTATCTACAATAATTTCATTTTTAAAAAAAATTCTCTATTTTAACAATCTTTACAAACATTGTTTTTTAACAATCACTATCTATAACAATCATTTTATAATAAATTTAAGAATGTTGTGACATCACGATCATTGTCTATATAAAGACGTCACAAGATCATTAAAATCATTCATCTAAAGGGTGTCTCGACCCAAAACGTTTGAATTAACCATCTCAAAACTTACTGCTGTTGAGTGGGAATTTTTATAAAAATCTACTTGTATAACATTTCTAATGATTGCTGACAGTACGGTATTTGTATAATGTTATTTTTAAAGAATGTGCAACCCTAGTTCAGAAGATAACAATAACCACGCAAAGTGTGGAATACGCCCATACAGCAGCTTTGTCTTCAAAAAAGATTGTAGCATCTATCATGTTCACAAGCTATTCGAAAAATTTGAAATACCCCTAAAAAAGAAGTGTGTGAAACACTGAATATTATACTGGTTCGATCTCTTATAACCTCAATGCTTCAAACCTGATTTGAAAAAAATCTGTTAATTTATATAGACTCTATCACGTTCACAAGGTTTTCGGAAAGGTTTGACGAAAAGATATAGGCAGCGGTGCACAATTCCCGTCGCCCGGGACAGGTTAATCATTTTGTTGGACAGCTGATATTTCGCATTCCGCCCGCCAGCTGACAGGATGATTTTCTCTGACAAATTCTTTGAAATTGAACAATACTTTGCAATCATTTAAAGCATTTTAGTTCCTGTTGGCACAATAATAATAGCCGAATAGACTAACTTCAGTTACAACTAACTTACTAAGCACATGATAGTCCTACCGGTAATAGCTTCCGGTACTAAAAATAACTTTTCTAAAATAAACGAGCATTGTCGAATGACAACATTCCTTACCGAAGATACCGCAATTGTTTTTACTCTATTTTGTGAAAATATGTCCTCCTTTCAATGTCATTCACAGCATTTTATTGTTGAATGATAAATAAACAGCAAAAAATAATGTTATAAGTGTTCATTTCACAAAGATTTCAAAAGCCGTATAGCGTTTTTACATCACATGACTTCTCGCTCACTTTTCCTCACGATCGATGGTACTGTTAGAATTATCCCTGTTTCTTCACGAATTGTGTATACCCACACTTTGATTTTTCAAAGGAATCATTGATTTTCTGATTAAAATATATTTTATGTAGGCAGAAATGTGAATAAAGCTAACTATACTGAGAGGTACCGGTAGACTGATTATCAATGACAATGTGTCATGGTGGTCCGTAAATTGCATGATCCGATAAACTGCTATTTATTTGACTTGGTTAATGGGCAGTTTTTGAGACAGCACTAATATTGTATAACTTAATTTACATGTAGCATTCTTGTATTGTAATATTTCATTTCCAATACGGCATACGCTTGAATGAGAAAAAACGAGTTTGCAAGGGTAAATTATGAATATCTTCCTGTATCGAACCCGGCCATAGCTATCAAAACGGCCGATAGAACAACACAAACTTTTTCTGATGCTTTTTCCTTTTTATCCCTCCATTTATGGTTCTTATTGTCTATTACAATTATAACGTCCTATACATTATTGAAACAGAATTGGAACATTTGGATGCTTAAATATATGTTAGGCTACACAAAATAAATGTCTTGTTTCTCGGGCAACTGACAGCTGTAACTGTAGGGTGGGAGGGTGGTTTATTTTTTTTTTTACCTCATTTCTGGCTAGAGGATGGTGCGAAATAAAATTTGGCTATTGTTGAAAATTGTTGGGGCGGGAGGGTGGCCTTGTATTTTTTTTTTTTTTAACGAGAAAGTCATTACTTGTCTACGGTTTTGCTTTCAGTTATATATTATATACTATTCAAAAAAAGTAGGGGATATTTGATTTTGGGGGCATAATACTAAAATATGCAAATGACTACGAAAAGAGTCACTATAGAACCTAACAGAAGAAACATTTCCAGTTACATGTGACGCCCAAACGCACCAATAGCTACCGCATGGAATGCAGGTGATGCTTGGGATCATCATGGGGGTCCAACCCAAGATTTGCACGACTCTGACTTTGAATGTTACAGTCATTGTGGCATTGAATTCCAGGGTGGAAACATCAGTTTAATTGTTTTAGTGACCAGAAAACCAATTTTGATATGCGTCGGCTTACCCAAAATGAAAGGTTACGTGCCCTTGGCATGCTACAGATCGGCACAACACAGGCGGTTGTGGCGCGGACGATGAATGTTTCTCAGTCTGTCATAAGCAGGCTATGGTCCAGATACCGTGATACACAATCTGTACAGGACAGACCACGCTCAGGTCGACCAAGGGCGACAACTCAAGCCCAGGATCGATTTATCCGTACCTTGGCCTTGAGAAATCGTGTCATCACAGCAAATCAGATCAGCGCTCGTCTTCAAACAGACACTGGTGTGAGAGTGAGTGGCCAGACGATTCGGAATCGACTGCATAGGGGTCACCTTCGCGCCCGACGTCCTCGCGTGATCCCTTGTTTGAGAGATCATCACATTCAGGCAAGACGTCGTTGGTGTAGGGATCGTCAACACTGGGATAATCGACGCTGGAGCAATGTGATGTTTTCAGATGAGTCAAGGTTCACTGTTGATTTTTTGGACAGACGTAGGAGGGTGTGGCGTCGTCGAAACGAGCGCTTCCAAGACGTTAACGTCATCAGACATGATCGATTTGGGGGTGGTTCTGTTATGGTGTGGGGAGGCATCACTGTTGCTGGAAAAACGGCTTTACATGTTGTTGCAGGGCGTGTTACAGGCCAGTACTACCGGGACAACATCTTGGCAGTCCATGTTGTGCCGTTCGCCTGACGTCATGGCCGCCGTTTCATCTTCCAGGATGACAACGCAAGATGTCACAGGGCCAGGATCGTTACAGGTTACCTCCAACAACAGAACATCACCACATTACCTTGGCCAGCACTGAGTCCCGACCTCTCCCCCATCGAGCATGTCTGGGACATGCTTGGACAGAGGTTACGTCAACGTCAACAACGTCCTGCCAATGTCCAAGAACTTGCTGCTGCGTTGCAACAGGAATGGGACAATCTGGACCAAAATGACCTTAGACGTCTCATTAGGAGTATGCCACGTCGGATCAATGCTTGTTTGGCAAACAGAGGAGGATTTACCCGTTACTGACTTGGTTGTGATGCTGTGGTAACTTTGCTGTTTGACCCCGGGTATCATTTTACCCTTATAATGGTCAGTCTGTGTCTTACTTAGTCTAACGATCATTTGGAATAAATCGATGAATGTGAACTTCATTTCATTTTGTCATTTGTTTCTTCGTCAGTTTCATTAGGTGACTTTAATAACACTTAAAAATCAAATATCCCCTACTTTTTTTGAATAGTATACATACTTAGAACATAAACCCAAAAATCAAGTCTACTCAAACACTGAACACTGACTGAAAGGAAAATAATTTTCCATATTTAATTCACGTAATGTAGCTTACTAATGGTAATGGTGACAACCATAATTGAAATTGGTTTAAAATAAAATTCCGTACGACTATTAATAGCCGTCCATAATAACGACAATATTATAAAGAGTAAGCCTCTGTCAGCATGTGTATCAAAAATAATCATCACGGTAAACGACACTTAGATCTAAATCTAGTATCTCTGGTTTATAATGATTGACCTAATTCCAACCAATGCATGTCACGTGTCATCGGGCTTCAGGAAATGACTGTTTCCCAGGATATTCGGTTTGTTTCTCAGGATATTCGGTGTTCTATCTGGGGTTTATATCGAATGACTATTTAAATTTAACTAACAACTCGTCAGTAAAACCATCAAATGTGTAATCCAATTATTATTTTCCGGATTATCAAAACTACCGTTAAATGTGCTAATGACCCAGATTCTGACTAAGGTATGGTGACTATCATCGTATATTTTTCGTAGCCACAAGTTATAATATTAACCTGTTCTACGATTCATTGTTTTATAAGTAGGATTTTTTCAAACATGGACCGACTGAAGCCGGCAATAATGAGCCGATTAAGATCGAATGATTGAAATACATTGCATTGTTGTCAATGACTTTCGGTGTTTAACACGAATCAAATTCTAGTTCACAATGAGAGGTAATTAAAATCATGTGATACAAAAATAGAGGTTCTTTCGATATCAATAAAAAAGACCCGTAAATGAGCGTTTACATCTGAATCAGTTTAATACATTTGAATGGATATTCACGTATGGGGCATGTAGATACATGCGGCATATTCTTTTTATGACTTGCTTATCGATGTTCGGGCGGACGTTACATATTTTTTATTTTTCATCAAGACTAATAAATAGGCCACATGCGCAACCAATTTTGCGGGCGGGCGGTGCCCGAGAAACAACTTATTTTATTTGTGTTGCCTTACTTTGTTATTATTTGTATGTCATTAAAATAAAGTAAAAACAAAAGACCTTATTTTTATATTGAGGGCAGGTGTATTTTTCTGTAGGGCTAGCAAATTTTGGCATGACACCTGCCCATGGGCTAGTTTCGGTAAAAAAGGGGCATAACTCTAAACTCTAAAAATATTAATCCGATTTGATAAAAAGAAATAGAGATCCTTGTCTTATCATAATACAAGTTTCCTAAAAGTTTCAGTAAAATGTAATCAAAATTCTGGCCTATATTTTGCTGATAAGCATTGTAAGCAGTTTGGACAGGTTTTGGCAAAGATAGGTTGCCAGGCTAAGAAACATACACCCACAGCAGCTAAGTTGTCCTGGCAGTCAGCAAGAGTTTTCAAATATTTTTTCTTTTGTCGGTAATGGAACATTTATAATACACTAAAATCTGATTAAGAGAAACAACTCATTAAGTAAATATCAGAACATCATTAGAATTTGTTTGGAATCTTATTCTGCCCCATGCCAATGTCAGCATACAAAACATTTAATATCATGGATTTATCTGTTCAAGTTAACAAAAATCATTGAAAATCAATATACTTGTTCGTCTCGAAACCGGTAACACTAAGTAAGAATTTAAAGTCAATCGGGCATTAATTTTAGCCTCTAGAGCATCCACAAGATATTTCAAAGTGATCAAGCGTCAGAAATCGTTCTAAATCAAAAAGCTTCTTTGTCTTATGACCTTTTAAACACTGTGTATAAATTTAAAGTCAATCGGATATTAACTTTAGCCTCTAGAGCATCCACAAGATATTTCAAAGTGATCGAGGGCCATAACTCTGGCAGTAATTATCGGAAATTTCAATGCAAGTGTATAAAAAGGGGCATAGCTCAAAAAATATTAATCTAATTTTGATGAAAAGAAAGAGGGAAACTTGGCTCATCATAATACAAGTTTCCTAAAGTTGGCAGAAATCAATATAAAACTGTAGCCTCTAGAAGACTGACAAGAGTGGAAAGGTTGGGGGTATAAAAAGTGAGTGTTATGGTTAGTACCCTCCAAAACATGTAAAACTGTTACAATCCCATTTTATGACATGATTAGTGAACATGAAACGATTTTCACTCTGCTATTTTATAATGGGATTTCATTCATTTATGAAACACTGTATTAAAATCTTTGTCTTCTCTGTATCTTTATGAGTTCTACAAACATTCTGTTGACATACTTTATGCATTACAGTTAACAATTTACCTGTTGAAGATTTCCCATTTCTGAACTATCTAATGTAACTGTAATTGATGGATTTATACCAGATACCATAGCTGATACTTCCATTTCTCTTGTACATATAACAGCTTGACCACATAGATATAACCAACTTTTCTCTGTTACTTCTAAACCTACAGGTTGTCCACGTTTATCTTCATTACCTTTACCTATTATATACAAATATACAAAACTATAAATAATATTTACATACATTAGCCCTATTGAATACACAACTCAGATATTAAATTGTTTGTCAATGACACCTGTTCATATTGCATGACCATGGCATTCGCTTGCAAAGGAAAAGTCTCTCTAGTTAAGCATATGTTATTGTTTGCTATGATATGGAAACGATGTAGCATTATTTATACAGTGCAGACTTGATTGCTGGCTTAGTTCTGGTTTGCATAGTCACATCTCGTATTTAATTTTGTTTGTCCTATTACAATAACAGTCTGCCATTTTGTATTTGCAACTCCAGTTCAGGTCTATATCCAATGTTTAGTAATTGGATTAATACGTTTGTTGTTTATTGCTTAAATGCAATGTCTGTGTCTTGTTGCAAGATGGTTTTATGGGTTTTGTTTGTGTGTGGTGCAGTCCGCCTGTACTCAGTACTAGAAAGGTATATACTGTATTAGTCTATTTGAGATTTCAAACAATCTTATTCACTTCTTATTAATTTAATTCATTCACTTGTTTACGCACTTGTACGATAATGATGTTAAATGTTCCATGTCCATCATAACAATGGGAAAGCAATATAAGCCTGAGGGACAAAATATTAAACTAATTATACTTTATACACAAAATTCTTGTCAACTACGTTGATTTCTATTCGAAAATCGTAGATTATCATCCTCGATTATTCAAATTTAGTAATCATGTGAGTATTAGGCTTTATGTCCTCCATCCATACACGGTATTGTGTGGATTTTTGTTTAACTCTTATGGCTATGTATTCATTAAAACTACATAATTATGCTATGCTTTTACCGTGCCAAGTTACTTCTGCTGTTTCACTTCCATTCTCTCCAAACACAACCCAGGCATGATCTTCTGATAAAGCTAAATGAACATCATTATACCCAAGGACTTGAAAAGCTGCAACAACTGCAAAAGCTACCCCAAAACAATCAAGTTTGTTTCCTGAAAAATTTTAAAATTTCGTTAACAGTTACATTATGTCATGTACTATGTTAATTTGTAGTAAATAATCATTCACAACCACATAAAGTACATGTAACCCGTGGCAAATTAAGGGGGATGACTGATAGACTGAAGTCACTGGAGGTCCACAAAATTAGTTAACAGAACAAAAAAGTTTGTGTGTGAACAAATATCATAGCTAGATAAATCAGATGAGGAGGGGGGGGGGGATTCCGACTGTCAATCATGCAATATGTGGGGGATAACTACATGTAGAACTCTCCTGAGATCTTAGTGGGGCTACAGTGTGACAAAGTTTTCCTGAAGTCACACTAAAGAGAGGAGAGAGAGAAATGGGGTTTAATGTCCACTCAACACAACTTTGTCATTTTGGAACTAACATATTGTTCAATTTTATTTCAATAATTCGTTTGCGCGTAGGGGTCCTTAGCAGTGGGAGGAAGCCAGTGGACTGGAGAAAACCCACAAAGTTGGACTGGCGACCCTACTCCTTGTCACATACAACCGGGGAATCAAAACCATGCCACTTGACTCAATGACAGACCTTATGATACAACACTCAGTTACTAACCATTCAGCCATCCAACCCCCCTAAAATTTACTAAAATTAGAAGATGTCAGATTAAAAGTATCATTTTGATGGAATGGCCACTGTTTGAATTAGCTAGACCATCTTGGCATGTACCAGGTATTTTCCCCAAAAATTGAAAAAAATAAAGAAACAAATTCACAGTAGGAGTAATGGATATGGATAAATTTTCATAATAAACTAAATGTACAATGCATTATAGTACACATGTCATATTAATATAAAATGTAAAAAGGAATCTGTTATACACCTGTCTTTGTTTAGACAACAGCCCATTGTCATATAATTCAAATATTTGAATTCTGTCCTAGAAACACAAAGAAATTCTTGATGCGTCACATGCTTTTTATTTAATGAGCAACCTTTTAAAAAAAACATAAAATTACAAAACGGAAACCCCCTTATAGACTTTTTAGATGGCCCACACATACTTTTACTAAAAATAAAACTAACCCTAGCTTCCTGGATCATAAATAAGTATACAACAAGCTTTACTTTTTTTTTTTACAAAAATTTCACCAGCTTTGAAATATTACAATCAGAACTGTGCTTAATGTCAGCAGTAAATCTGACAAAATTGAAATAAACTTGTGTCAGGTTGACATAAGGTCACAACATTTAAATGAAAGGCAGCCCTTTGCACCCAATGACCCAACCCAAAATACATAAATTCTTAACAAAATAAAGTGACCCACTAACATAGTCAAGGAGTTACTGTTCGCCTTCGACAGATTCGCACGTGCAACACGTGGTATACGTCATGACAAGCACGCGCCTACCGGTGCCAGTCTTCAGTTTATGTCATGTGTAATCATTGCTGCTGCGATACCGCTTTTTGACTCACCTGTGAGATAACTGTATAACGACTGGAGATGAGCTTTATCTTTGTAATAACTCCTCGTTAGTCGACTCCAAATAATGTCTGACACTCTTTTGACTAGTTCCCGTGTAGCAATATCTTTTCGGTATAATGACAAGTCAACCCCACTCTTGACATCCGTGACAAATTTTGTATACAAAGCTTCAACCATCGACAATTCGATCACGGGGAAGATGGGTTCTAGTATTCTTGAACGGTCCGTGGTCGCTGACACGTTTCTGTTGACTGTCAACTTGTTTTCTACTGCTCCTATAACTATAGATAACAGTGCTAAATTAGGTCCATCACTATTCTCGAGTTGGTCTATGAATAAATCGACCACAGCTTGACTACTTTCAAGCGGGAAATGTTGTTTTTCACGATCTCTAAAGCCCGCCATCTTGTTGCATTTCTCACGTCAAAGTTAACTAACCTTCAAACAAAGCGGATTTCAAGTGGTTTTTGATATTAAACCCGTTTTTACGTGTTATTACTATACCACCCAACTGCAGTACTAAATGGCGATTTTTTCCTGGCAATAAGAGGACGTAGAACTTGATGATTCAGAATCTTATCAAGATTGTGTCAAGTGCGCAGTTATTTGAGGCTATTTTTACTTATCCAACATGGCTGACGAAAGTTCTGTAAATGAATCGGCTAACGCTGTTTCTACAACTACAGACAATGGAAGTGTCGTACAAGAACAAAATGGAACTCAAGATAATCAGGTGCATACTCCACTTTATTGTAAATTTAAAAAATAGTGATAGTTTACACGCGGAAACGGTAGTTGGTGTCCTTATAACACTGGAAAATCCACGTGTAAAAATAATTTAAACGGCTCAGTTATCATGAAATAATGAGATTCAAGACTTGATGCGCTGAAGCCATTACAGAATAATTTCATGGGTGAAGCCATGATGTGAGGAATAATGATTATGACTGTTCTGATATCCCAGACGTCTATCCAATATTTTTAATATCAAGGAAAAGTGGTTGAATCACTGACTGTTTATCTACTATCTAGGCCTAATCTAGTTGGTGAACTTGGCCCTGATGACTGACTCGGGGACAAGGAAACGATTTGACACTTAACATATGAGGCAAGATTTCACTTCATCTCCTGAATTTCTATGAATTTTAAATTTTAAAAGTTAATGAGCTAAATCAATGTTAGCAGTAGTTACAGTTTTTATTAGACGAAAATTGCATTCCTTTAACACTATATATCCAGGAAATCTTGTATAAATTTATAAAACCAGTATGACCTTGCTAAAAAAAAAAAGGTACGAATCCATTGCGTTAATAAAATCACGTCGTCACAGCACAAACAAAGAAGGGGGGTTGGATGGTCGAATGGTTAGCACGTGCATGCTGTATCATAAGGCCTGTCATTGAGTCAACTGGCGTGGTTTCGAATCCCCGGTTGTACGTGACAAGGAGTAGGGTCGCCTGTCCAACCTCGTGGGTTTTCTCCGGGTCCCCCGGTTTCCTACCACTGCTAAAGACCCCTACGCGCAAGCGAATTATTGAAATAAAATTAAACCGTATTTTAGTCCCGAAATGACCTAGTTTGTGTTGAGTGGATGTTAAACCCCATCTCTCTCTCTCTCTCTCTCTCTCACAAACAAAGAATTGACAGGACAACAATTTTTTCCATTTGGTAAATAATGGGTAGGTCCTACAAACACATGAATAATGTGTTATAATTAATAAGTGAAATAAGTCTTAATTTGAAAATATTTATAATGACCCTACATATCCTTTTTGCAACATATTTCATCTATGCCATATAGGGTATTTCATTCTCCAAAATAAGTACAAATATGTCAACTGGAAAAAGTTATCGTTCTGTATTCTGGACAATCACACCGGCTGCATATTGTCTGTGTGACGTACATGTAGTGCTAGCTAATTTTAGGTGAAAAATAAAATAATTTTTGACCTGAAATGACCCAGTTGAGTTAGTGATGTTAAACTCTTTCTGAAGAGTTTGAAAAAATATCTTACCACCCCCCCCTCCCCTGCGAAATAAAAATAAAATGAATACGTCATTCATTTCATTTTCACTAGTAATGTTATTTGTTTATATATAACTACTACTTGCATAATTTCATTGAAAATAATTTCAGGTTGAAGGCACTCCAGCTCAACCCGCACCACCACAGGGTTTCAATCTTTGGACAACTGTTAAAACTTTGCTGGTTCGAATGCTATTCATTTACATGATTTCAAGCTTTTTCCGTAGATCACCAACCAACCCTGCACCAGATACAACTGGAGAGAAGAAGGTTGCTGGGATTTCAGTTCCAGCAACAAATCTCTTTTCTAAAGGAACTGTCCTGGTAATTTATTCATTCCACATTTATAGATATATTCAGATGCCCTACATATCCAAGCTACAGTGAAAGCTAGAAGCATTTTTAACGACATCTTTAATCATTTTCGATTTTCTTTTAAAGATACTCAAGATTATGTTCACAATATTGAAAATGTTACATGTAGGTGATTATCCAGTAGTACTAGATAAACATGCTTTTACTAGCAATCTGATTACCTTGAAACAAGGCTGCTCAAATTTAATAACATATATGCAGCTTACCACATGACTAATAATTATCACACATCAGATCAACTTAATTCAATGCTTTATTTTAACTTACATCAAACTAGTTTAGCTTCATTCAATTTTTCATGTAGTTTGATTAGATATAGAGTTGCGAGGAATTGTATTATATGGTTTAGAGATGTTCATGTTGGTCAAGATGTTCCTATATATTTCAGGATTTGTATGTATATTTATCAGAACAAGAGGATTTTACGGATTTCAAAAATGAAGCTGCTTTATTCTGGCGGAAAAAGAATTTGATATATGGTGATTGGGATGCTGGAGAAAATGGGGATGGTTCTTTTATTCAACAGAGTAAAGTCACAGCTTCTCATGTATGTCTTAATCTACATTGTTAGTCTACACAAGAAAATTATCATATCTTGTCATATGTGAGCTGCTCCCACAAAACTAGGCTCTTGGTCATTTTTATAAAAATAGAGCTGGCAGCATATTTGAATAGTCCACAGCCTAAGCTTTCCAAAAATGCAATTCCATTTAAATTTGTCGTATCATCTGGAGTTGAGTTCGGCTCATTCACAGCAACAAGAAGGCATACAGTTTATGCTTTTGTGCCTGTAGTACAAAATGAAGTTGTGCGACAAGCACCTGGTTTTGTGGGAGCGGGTCACATATAGGTTACACTATGAATATCAAATGTGTCATAGGCACATATTTGGAGTATCTAAAGAAAATTTCCTTAATAAGAACCTTGAAATTAATCATCCTAATTTGTGTGAAAACAGAGCCATATGTTGTATGGTGAAGTACTAATTTTACAGTAATGTAATAATTCACAAGAGAATATTTATAGGAAGATGTTAATTTCTATTTCAGGCTGTACAGAACAATGGATCATTATATTTACATGTTTATTTTGTGAAAGAAGGAAGATCACCTGATCCAGCAGATAAAGGAAGATATAGTAAAAAGAATACAGTTTCTAGATCTAAGCGTAAGTTTTATATCCTTCCCTCTAATAATCCTTAACACAAAATATAAACCAGGAAGTTTCTATGTAATTCACATATTAATAATCATACAAAATAAATACTGATAGATCACTTCCTTTTATGTTAAACTAGCTGTCGACCCATTGTAGCACAGGTATAGCCATGAAACGGAAGTAGCATAACTCCGAAACCGGAAGGGGTAATCCATCGCCACCAGACCTATGTTACTCCCTGGTCCAAGCTACCCCATTAAACCAAATGTCAGTCTTGAGACAGCCCTAATGTAGCCACCAATCCTGAACAGAGAGACGAAAGTCACTAGTATAGATTCTTATTGTAAAAGAAAACATTAGTAGTGTCTCTAATTTTCTTAAATTCAATCCAATATTATCCCAATGTTGAATTCATTTAAAACAATTTTCTAGGTTTAATTTTTTGAACAGGATAATAGATCGCTATTTTAATGGGGTTCCCCTTTATCATAAGATGTCATTGATATCTAAGAACGGACAGAAATTCACTTGGAAAAAAACAATTGTTTGTTAGCTGGAATTCAATTGTTCACTTTAAAATGTTTTATACTGAGCTATGAACATCCTTCAGATTAAGTCAAACTTGTCACATTTTAATATTTTGTAACATGCACACTGTGGATCATAAGGTCTGTAATCTATGCAGATGATGGATTTAATTCCACAAGAGTTAAGGATACCTGTCTTAGCTTGTGGGTACTCTGGTTATCTCACACTTCTAAAAGGATCCATGTATACAACTGAATTATTAAATAAAATTTACCACATGTTCATCCCAAAATGACTTTATTACGGTTATGTGAACTTTAAACCCATTTCTACCTCTTACCTTTTTTCTTCAATTACTGAACTGATTTAATCATATTAAATTAGAATAAACATAACAACCAAAGTTATTATTATCCTTTAATTTCGATAAAATAGATAAAGTTATTTTCAGATATTCATATTTATTTTTAGGTCTTAATAAATTTAAGAAGAGAGTATTCCACAAATCTGTAAACCTATTAACAGGTGAAACAGATGTACATCCAGATCTTATTATGGTTTGTAGTATATATTATAAATTCTAATTTCATTAACAAAAACAAAAGAAATACATCTCCCCAAAAGTAAGAAGGAACTATGAAAACAATGTGATAAAGAACCTTATATTGTTGGTTAGTCATTGTAACATATTTTATTCTATTTCTTTCATCACTTTTCAGAGGGATAATTCATCTTCATTTGAAATTCTTTCTCACTGGCATCCTAATTTAACCTTGAATCTCCTTGATGATCACTCTCCATGGATGAGAGGGTCGGTACCACCTCCACTTGATGAATGTAAGTACATATAGTTTATTCTCTTCTGTAAACATACGTCAATGGGGTATAACCATATTAAAACAAAATAAATTTAAATGAAAATACGATACCTGTGTACCATCCTTATTCCTTAGGCTACATCTGTATACATCATCTCACGAAGCAAGATACTCATACCATATTAATCAAATGCAGTAACATAATAAACAATATAAAAAAGTCAACTATTGAATATTGGTATCAGCACGCCATCTATATGACTAAAACAGTTATTCCCCTTAACTAGTCTACACTTGAATTGTCACTATTATGTTTGGGAAATTGTATAAAAAAAACTGAGAAAATATTTCTGTGTAATATCACAATATTTTATAACAAAAATATTAATTGTATAAATTTTCCTTTTGTCTTTCAGTTATTGATTTTGTACCTGATAGTAATGAGTATTATCCTGTTGTATATTTCAATGATTATTGGAATCTACAAAGAGATTATCTGCCAGTAAATGAAACAACAAAGTAAGGAAATTATTTATTTCCATGCATTTGTTTATTATTCAACTTAAATCAAAATTACTAGTCATGCCAGGGGAAACCGGAATACAGCCTTGTCCTACGTTCAAAGAGATTTAGAGGTTTTTTTCCCCCGATGTAAAATCAAGAAGGGGGCATCTTTCTTTAGATTGAGTTGATCATTCCTATGGAATGAAAACATTCAATTGCCCATTTATGTCTTTGCAATTTAACAGCTACATTAAACATACACTATGCAAGAGCTAAATCTGTCTATTGCAGGTCTTTCTTTAGGCCATAAATGTTATCTAAATTATTAGACATTAATTAGCTTATCAAGACCATAATCAGCTCTCAGTGCCATCGTTAGCCTGCGATTTTTAGTGGATTTGAATACGTTTTATGATAGATGATTTAATGTAAAAATGGATAATTGAGACTTTGTTTATTATCGTTCGAACGGTAGTAATGACGATCGAGACTAGGCTAAAATTGAATCACTAATATCTTGGTTCAGAATTAAGCAATTTGACACTAATTTTCTGCGTATTCTGTTTTCATTATAGTGAGAACTGTCGTCTCTTTTATCCAATCTTACCTAATACTCCTTTAACTTTTCAAGCTGAATAATGTGTACGCTTTAATATTTTACTGGTAGGCTCATCCCATATTACTTTACTATAATTTTGCTATTTGTTTTTTTTGTAGAGTTTTAAACTTTACACTAACCTATTCACCAATCTCCTTGTTCAAATGGCAAATGTATGCTGCTCAAAGTATGAGAAATAAATGGTATAACTTTATGGGAAGCGATTTAATGGAAGAATCTGATCAAGATCAGGATTCTTTGAAGGTACTTTTATATATTATCTAAATATTTCATATTTGGTTAGAAACATCCATTTCTAATTCTATATTTTATGGCAGAACAGTATCTAGGAGTAAAAGCGTATTGGACTGAAAAAACTTCTCTTCATATGTAATTAATAATTCCTTTTTTTGGCATTATTAGCATTTTATTTTATTGATATATATATATATATCAATCTTTAATTTTTTCAGACAGCATTTTTAGAGACGAATCCTTATCTTTTGGGTATGACGATTGTTGTTTCTATTTTACATAGTGTATTTGAGTTTCTGGCATTTAAGAATGGTAAGTCTCATTGAAATATATTCAGATTATTCATATTTATTGCAGTAAAATCTACTGTGCTAGTAAAACTGATAAAGGATTTTAGTGATACATACAAGTGATTCCATGCTCAACCCAAGTTTTAAACAGTGTTCGGGATTTGTTCTCTTTGTCTTCAGTTTCAAAGTCTGTCATTGAGTCGACTGGCATGGTTTCTAATCCCCGGTTGTACGTGACAAGGAGTAGAGACACCTGTCCAACCTCGTGGGTTTTCTCCGGGTCCTCCGGTTTCCTCCCACTGCTAAAGACCCCTATGCGCAAGCGAATTATTGAAATAAAATTAAACCATATGTTAGTCCCGAAATGATCTAGTTGTGTCGAGTGGACGTTAAACCCCATTTCTCTCTCTCTCTCTCTAATGTGATTTGATATACTGTATACGCTTATTGAATCATTGTATACATGTTTTAAACAGTGTTTGTGATTTGTTCTCTTTGTCTCCAGTTTCAATGATTTGATATACTGTGTACGCTTATTGAGTCATTGTATACTTGTTTCTGTTTTCAGATATTCAATTTTGGAAGAGTCGTAAATCCTTGGAAGGTTTATCTGTCAGATCTGTGTTCTTCAATGTCTTCCAGTCTCTTATTGTACTGTTATACGTGATGGACAATGAAACTAATACTGTTGTTAGAATCAGTATCTTTGTAGGACTGGGTATCGAAATCTGGAAAATACACAAAGTCATGGATGTCAAGGTAGGATACTGTAGAAATGCTGGAGTTTTATTTTAACCTTCTTTTGAATAAATTAATACACTGTGAAACTGAAAACTTTCATCTATAACCTAGGCCTTTTACTAATAAAGGCATTAAATTATACAAGTTGTCATTACGGTACTCTAAACTAATGTTTAGTATTTGTAGAAAGTGGTATAATTCAATTAGCAGGCGTGTAACTAGCTGTAAAAGCATGACTATTTCTCTTATGTATATATACACCACTATGGTCTATAACACTTATTAGCCACAGTTTTAACATCTTCGTTAAATAACACCTACTTTGACTACTGTCTTATTACTATTTTAACATTATGCATATAACATGACAACTTAGATCTGTTTGTAGCAGATATTTACATTAATAAAAGTGATTTGTTCATAAGTGAGAAATATCAACTTTGCAGTGTGAGCTTATGTAATGATTATCTACTTTTGATAAGCCCCACATTCTAATAACAATAGAATAAAGTGCAAATCAAGGTTTCTGTCTTCTGTTCATCAGATTCCAAACCCCAGATTTCTTTAACATGGACACCAACATGTACATGGAACCTCATTTTTTTAAAATCTCATGGAAATGTTCCATGCTAGCCCATCCATTATGCACCAATGACAAGGGGAAACCAGGCTGGAACTTTTTTATGCCAACAAATGGGGATTGGACCCCGCACCTCCAGGTTTGTGATCAACAAAATTAAAACATTAATTCCATGACATATTTATAGTATTATTAGAATTAAATATTTCTGTTCTTTTTATAGTTGGATCGAGAGCGTAAATTATTTGGATTTTTACCAAGAATAACTATAAAAGATAAATCAAGTTATACACAGTCTAATACTAAACAGTATGATATGGTTAGTTTAAATTTTTATTCAAGTATATTGACCTATAAATTTTAATGTTTACATTCTGAATAGTAATGTTAACGTGCAGTTATGAAATATCCTCAATATATGTTATTTTTACTCCCTATAGTTGTTAATATACCACATATTAAGCTGTTAAAATGTAAAATTATGTTCTTCAATAATGAAATATCCATTAGATTCTTCGAAAGACAGGGGGCTATTAAAATGGGTCTGTCTGTCAAACTTTTTGGGACACAATAACTCTCATACAAATTGAACAAGAATGTTCAAACTTAGGCTTTTTTATCGAATTGCCAAATCGATTTGAATTTAGTGGAGATGTCATGTGACAGTATAGTCGATTTCAAAGTACTTTGGCGAGTTCGTTAAATGCTCCGATTAGCTGTAAACAATCTTGTGGCTGGCCACAGTTGAAAAAAACATGTGATCACCCGATCAAATCGTTAAATCGCACCCTGAAGTGATTTGGCGATTTGATGTAATCGCTTTGGAAATCGGTGTCGATAAATTCGTTGATTAGGGTAACCAATTTGAATTAGATGGACGTTAAAGATGAAAATTTGATTGAATGCAGATCACTTTGGCTAATCGGTGGTCGATAAAAACGCCTTTGGTGTAGGTATATATTAGGACACAATAACTTTAGTTATAATTGGGTGAGGGTGACACACTCAGGGTAAGCAGAGCGATGAGCAATTTCATTGGTCGAGACTTTGGAACACAATACCTATCCTTCTAATTGAGGTGGAATGTTCAAATTTGATGTAGGCATTCATTTGGTGTGTGCCTTGATGGAGTTCGAAGATGAGCATTTTCTGTTTAGGCTAAGCACTTTGATTGGTTCATGCTTTGGGACACGATAACTTTGGTTCTAGTTAAGTAATAGTATTAAACTCAGTGTATAGTTTCATCACATCTATACCTTGACTAAGTTCGATAATGAGCATTTTCGGCTCAGGGTAAGCAGTTTGGAGCTTGTTTCATTACATCAATACCTTAACAAAATTTGATGCTGGGCGTATTCTGCTTAGACAAAGTAGTGACTTCAATCTGATTGGTCGAGAATTTGGAACACAATAACTCTCCTTCTAATTGGGGCAGAATGTTTAAATTTGGTGTAGGTGTCTATTATGTGAATGCCTTGACAAAGTTAGATCATCCGCATTTTTCATGAAGGCTAAGAGAGATAAGCAATTTGATTGGTTGAGACTTTGGAACATGATAACTTTGGTTCTAATTCTGAGAGAGTGGTGAAACTCCAAGTATAGATTGATTATATCAATACCTTGACTTATGTTGGATGATGAAAATTTTCTGTTTAGGCTAAGTAGCAATAAGCAATTCGATTGGTCAAGATTTTGGAACATAACAGCTCTGCTTTTAATTGAGGTAGAATGTTTAAACTTGTTGTAAGTGTTCATTAGGTGAATGGATTGCCTGAATTCAATGATTAACATTTCCTGCTAAAGCTAAGCAGAGCTAAGCAATTTCATTAGTCGATCCTTTGGGACAAGGTAACTATGAATCTAATTGATGGAGATTGATGAAACTTAATGTATAGTTTGACTAACAGGTACTTCAAAGCCTTGACTGCGTTTGGTTGTGAACATTTTCTGCTTAGACTAAGTATAGGTAATAAGTTTGATTGCCCGACACTTTTGAAAAATATAAATGTGCAATTAATTAATGTATCATCTATTTATTTTGGGATTTTGGTGGGGGACATCAGCTTGTTTTAATAGGCTTCTTGTTTAAATATATTTTGTTATGCAATAGTTCAGTTTTTTCTAATTTCAGCTCGCATTTAAATATTTATCATGGTTATTGTATCCATTAATCCTGTGTTATGCTGTCTATTCGTTATTATATCAAGAACATAAAGGCTGGTATTCATGGGTATTAGGAATGATGTATGGTTTCTTACTTACATTTGGTAAGTTTCTGTATGCAGATCTCCATTTCTTCTGGTCAGAACTGAATGGAGAAAAAATAGCCCAAATTTAAAGGAGCCATCCTAAATTCCACAAGGTGGCGTAAATGAAATTGGGTTTAAGTGATGATGTAGCCAATTTACAATTGTACACAAATGGATTATTAAAAAAAAATGGATTTAGAAAAGTTAACCAAATTTATCAATGGTAGATTTTTTCCCAACATAGGTGACACTGTCTTGTTTATATTTTCTGCAGAGGAAGTTGAATATTGCAATATCATATCATATATCATTGATCATATCATAAGGTCTGTATTGAGTCAACAGGCGTGGTTTCGATTCTCCAGTTGTACGTGACAAGAAGTAGGATGGCCTGTCCGACCTCGTGGGTTTTATCCAGGTCCTCCCACTGCTAAAGACCCCTACGCGCCAGCGAATTATTGAAATAAAATGGAACCATGTGTTAGTCTCAAAATGACCTAGTTTGTGTCTAGTGGACATTACACCCAGTTTCTCTCCTTTTAGAAATTCACAATAATGTTTGCAAGGGATTCAAAATCCCTCGAATCACATTGATCAACTTTTATTTATTTACCATTCTAGGTTTCATTATGATGACACCACAGTTATTTATAAACTATAAACTGAAATCAGTGGCACATCTACCTTGGAGAATGTTAACTTATAAAGCTCTCAACACCTTTATAGATGATATATTTGCCTTTGTTATTAAGATGCCAACATTATATAGGTTAGGTTGTCTTCGAGATGGTAAGTAAATGAATTCTATTCTCGTATATAATATAGAGAGGGTTAATTCTTTGCATGTAGTCTAATTAAATTGTCTTTCGTTTTTACATTCCATAATTTATATTTTAACAGCTCTCAGTCTTACTTAACATCTGACAAGTTCTATCATTGTTTTTACTTGTTTACCATAAACAGCCAATGAAAATGCAACCATGGACACTATTTTACCTATAAAATCTCACTTTGACAAAAATGGAAAGTTTTACAGAAATAAAAAACTTGGTTTCTTTGTATATTTCATTTGTATATCATTACAGGTAACTATTTATTGTATAATCATGTACCTATTTATTGTATATTACAGATGTGATATTCTTTATTTATTTGTATCAACGATGGGTTTATCGAGTTGATCCTACTCGAGTTAATGAGTTTGGGGTGAGTGGAGAGATGCTAGATCAAAATGGAGATGCCAAAAGTTTGGAGGATAAACCAGATGAGGCTACGCAAGCTATCACTGATTCTGATCCAAAAACAAAGCAAGAGAAGAAAGATGATTAAAAATAGATATAAATGCTTATAAATTATAATATAAAACTTTTCATCAGAACATTTTATTTGGATGGTGATCTCAGAGTATTAGAATTTAATGCACCAACGATTTTGTGTTCATTTACTTCATCAAAGGGATGTTAAAATTCTGACACTCGAGTCTACTAATTGTTTTATATATATTGTTTTGTAAAGATAGTTCAGTGTGTGATGTGGTCGTATAGTTGATTAGAGTTTGTATGATCTGTGTGTTTACATATTTTATATATAACATTGATCCATATATATTATGCTATGAATGATCATGTGGATTGATCTGATATTGTAAATGATTGTTGAACTGATATCAGTTAATGTATTTTTGAGAAAAGCAAAATTCTTCCATGCAACAAAATTGTGTGAAAGCCATGTGTAACAACAGAATTTGTGATTATTACTTAGTCTATGTTAGAGAACAATTATAGCTTGATGAATAAATTCATTGTATATAATAATTTGATAGATTTCTGATTTATATTTATTGTGAATATTACTGAATCCAAAAAAAAAGTTTGTCTAAAATTATTGACTGCAATGCTGTTTTTTTTATTATTATTTTATTAGCTTTATAAAACTTTATTAGCCATACAAAAAGTTACTATTTACACTCTTGTCAAAAAAATTAAAACAGAATATTATTATTGCTAATTCAGAGTATTATGAATCATTCAAATATATAATCATGATTTGATCATTATTATTTCTTTATAAATCTATTTAATAATTCATTGAATTTTTTTTAATCATGAAAGATTTAATTACATTGTTACATAAATCAATAAATTTTGTGTCCATTTAATGTAAATACTGAGCCATAAAAACCCACCTTTCCTTATATCCTGCATGTTTACCCTGGAGATTAGAATTTGGTAGTAGTATTTATTGAAGGGGAAAAAAAGAAAGCAATGCTCTCTGATCAAGTATGTGGTACACTAAAGTATACATTAACAACTACAATAAAACCACACTCCATACTACATTGTACTTTTGAAATCCACATTTGTATTTATTTGCCAGTCTTATCAAAATTGTGTAATTGAGATTCATTTTTAGAAATATTAAATTAAAATTTTTATTTGAGGTGGGTTTTTTTCTTTGTGGAAAAAATTTAAATTACCTGACAAGATTAATCAGTGTATCATATACTTCTACACACCCGAAAAACCAAGGTCTTTGTACACATAAAAGAGTCCTTGACAGATGGAATTCATTATCCCAGTTGGTGCAGCAAAGTAGCACTTTAAATTTCCCTGCATTGTAAGGCCCTCCCACCCACCCAGACTGGGAAATTCAGAGAAACTTTCTTAGCCAACACCTACAGGTAAGCAAGCCAAAAAGATTATATAAGTGTGGTTGAGAGCATATATTGATACTGCATAAGGGAGTATCCTGTGTGTTGTATTGTACCAATGTATTACATAATGTCGTGTGCGAGGCAATTACTCTATCCTACTTATAAGTTCATTATAATTAAAATACAGATGTTGGCGTACCATTCTTTCCAATGTATGGGGGGCAACTTGCCAATCGTACATTATCTATACTAGATGAAATATTTGACTCGCGTGACATATTCCATTGAAAAGCATGTGCAGGATAGTGTCTGTATTTTAAGCTGTTTAATGGTCTCCAGCTAAAGACATTGCCTCGTGCAGTATCATTATATTACTTAATGTCATGCTCTCGACCATTAAACCATACATAATGTAGGCTACTATTGGTATGTTGATCCCTAAATTGACTAATAGTCATAGAATTGTTTTTGGCTTACTGCCCTACTAAGCCTATAACGAAACATCAGATTGATTTTGAGAAAAAATGAGTTTATAAAGAGATTTTCACTTTGGCAAAAAGATCTGTTGGTGAAGGGATAAGCTGAGCATTTAGTTTATTGACAAGATCTGTAATTTGAACGTAGTTGAGTGCATTAAAGAGACTATCCCGATTTGAACAGAGTCTACAAAATGAAAGTCTGAGTACGTATGAAATTTAAACGCCAAAATATAGAGGAATGTTGTATATACCCTTTCTCAAAATTTTAGCTCAAAATATTGAATCGTTTGGACGTGAACTTCAAAACTGCTTATCCGGACACGTAACCCTTTTAAAATTTCGGGTCAATTTTTCGACAGGTGACCTGATAATCGATTCCCATTCCTTTTGAGGTTTATACAGTGAATGACCCATGTGCTATACTTGATAACGAAAGGTAAATTTCACCGACACATTATTTTTATAAAATAAAAGTCTTGGTTTTATCCAGACACCGCATAATACAGCTTGGGACGCTGGTTTCCATTTCCAGATGAAGATGGACGGGTTTAAGTTGTTTGAAAATGTATCACATATATTGCGTTAGTTGCTCGGCCCTAAGGTAGAGGCTTTAATGGGATTTTAACCCAAAATTAAGCAGTTTTATTCTCCAAAATATTATCGGGATTGGCCCTTTAAACAAATTGCAAAAACTAAACACTGGTAGATAATGGATCAGGATTTTAATAGTTTTTGATTTGTGTAAATTAACCCAATGTACATTAGGCTTATGTCTTGGAGTAAGTAGCTGTGTTTTATTGCCCATATATGGCTGTAAAACTTGTGGTATATCAACACTTCCATCCTGAAATAAAATATAATCCATCTATTATTTCTCTTGATATTAAGTTAAATAAGACGGATCATTTCAAGAAATTCCCAAAAAAAAATTCAATCTCATTAGTTTTAATAGGATTTTCTTATACCAGTAACAAACACATCAAAATATAGTGTGATGTATTGTACAATACTGCCCGTCTTAATTAGCCCAGTTGAAGCAGACTAGTAGGACATTAAACCCCATTTCAATTTATCTGTAAAATACCATATCTTGTGAATAGTATCTCACTCAATACTAATAATATTTCTAATGGCTATAATAATAGAATACTAAGATATTAGCGTATTGGTTATTTCTGAAACAACTGCTTCCTAGACTGCCTGAGTCACAGAACTGATATACAGTCATTAATAGTTCACAGCTATTTATCATGTGATTTATGCAACTTGGGGCACCAGAGGGAGCAGTAGTTTCTTGTAAAAGAGAAGAAAAAAACTTACTTTCCGTTGATAGTTTTCCAAGATAGCCATTATCATTCTCGGCACAGCACATGCTGTTCCATTAATCTACATTATATATATATTCAGTTTAAAAGAGCTAAACCGCTAACGCAATATTTTCAATAATATTAAAAACTAACAAGCCAACAGTGAGGCTGATGTCCCCCGCCGAAATTGCAAAATAAATAGATGACACATATTAATTAATCGCACATTTATTTTTTTCACTAAGTTTCATCACTCTCTATCAGATAGAATCAAGATTATCGTGTCCCAAACCATCAACAAATGAAATTGATTAGCTCTGCTTAGCTTCAGCTCGAAATGTTAATTATTGAACTCAGTCAAGACATTCACCTAATGAACATCTACATATACATCAAGTTTAAACATTCACCTAATAGACACCTATGCCAAGTTTGAACATTCTACCTCAATTAGAAGGAGAGTTATTGTGTTCCAAAGTTTCTACCAATCAAATTGCTTATCACTCTGCTTACCCTCAGCAAAAAATGTTCATTATCGAACTTAGTTAAGGTATTCATATAATAAATCTATACACCAAGTTTCATCAATCTCACTTAATTAGAACTAAAGTTATCGTGTCCCAAAGCATCAACCAATCAAATTGCTTATCTCTGCTTACCCTACGCGGAAAATGCTCATCTTCGAACTCCATCAAGGCATTGACCTAATCAACACATACACCAAGTTTGAACATTCTAGCTCAATTAGGAAGAGAGTTATCGTGCCCCAAAGTATCAACCAATCAAATTGCTTATCTCTGCTTACCCTAAGCGGAAAATGCTCATCTTCGAACTCCATCAAGGCATTGACCTAATAAACACATACACCAAGTTTGAACATTCTAGCTCAATTAAAAGTTATCGTGTCCCAAAGCATCAACCAATCAAATTGCTTATCTCTGCTTACCCTAAGCGGAAAATGCTCATCTTCGAACTCCATCAAGGCATTGACCTAATCAACACATACACCAAGTTTGAACATTCTAGCCCAATTAGGAAGAGAGTTATCGTGTCCCAAAGCATCAACCAATCAAATTGCTTATCTCTGCTTACCCTAAGCGGAAAATGCTCATCTTCGAACTCCATCAAGGCATTGACCTAATAAACACATACACCAAGTTTGAACATTCTAGCTCAATTAGGAAGAGAGTTATTGTGTCCCAAAAAGTGTGACGGACAGACAGACAGACGGACAGACAGAAGGACAGACAGATGGACAGACAGACAGACAGACAGACGGACGAACCCATTTTAATAGTCCCCTGCTTTCTTCGAAAGGCGGGGGACAAAAACACAAATTAGAACATTTCAATCAATATTGATGTTATCTGGCAGTTAAAATATGGAATCCTTATATCCAATATTTAAGACACAATCAACATGTATAATGATTAATCGGTACACAAGTTGTGTCTTCTATGGTTTCAGGTGCCATTTGTAATGAACAAAAGAAAAAAAATCCTACAAGATAACGCAGAAGTAATTAGTAGTGGCTGATTCACAAACGACAAAATATTAATAAAAATAGGTGTAGACTAAGTAGTTGTAAACAACTGTCATTTAATTTGAACTGTTAACATATTTCACCGAACATAATTGATTAGAAATTACGATAAATATTTTTTAAATTTAATATAAATGACTTCATATACATTAATATGTGCTTTTGCACCAATTTTCATGTATATAAAGATTCCAAAGAATAGAGCCATACGTCCTTTAAATAAGAAGATAGCTGAAGCATACAGACTACTTACAGTATGGACATGTCTATTTTCATGCTTCTTGTCTGTATATTTTATTCCTAGACGTCTACTTTGATAATCTGTACAATTTGAAGCACTGGAGATCTGAATGATGAGATTTTTATAAGTTAGCCATCATAGTTTATATACTATTTTGAAATGTTCACATTATCATCCCCATCAATATTAACTTGTGAAAATACTGACCTATACATTTATCATCTGATATTTAGATCCTTGAGATTTAAATTAATTATGTTTACGTAGTTATTGCACATGAAATTGACTATGTAATCAATAATAGCTTGCAAATTCATCGGGTTACTTGGTATGAAACTTTATCTATGACATATTGGATCATTATTTCAATTACTCAGTGTGTTCTTGCCTATAACAAAGCATAAAAATCTAAAAAATATACATATATACACTGGAGTCTTTAATTTCTTTTATGTTCAAATGGTTGCATTTACACTGAAAATCAAACATGCTTTTGCTGCCCAAACGAAGTAGTCATACCTGCAATGGCAGACACTTGTTTACATATTATCTTTCAGATTTTTGCGGTTCTACTATTTCATAAAATGAGTAAATACCAGTATTTAGATTTAAGCCTACTGGTACTTGATAATAAAAGGTTTAAATTGTCTGACTTCTCCACAATAATAAACAAAGCTTCACTTGCATACCTCTCCCCAGAATTGTTTAGCTGGCATCCAGGCTTCCATATCATATTTTCTATAAGCTGGAGCTCCTAAACACTGTGTCGGCATCTCCAATATCCTTAAATAATAAATTTAATTTTATCAATGTACATCTTCTATATGCAAGGATGACAGTCTTTATAAATTATAAATGTTGGTTTAAACAATATCTGATTCTCAACCTCATCATTAGTAAATATATTATGTCAACTATATGGGATGAAATGTAGTACAGGATCTACACTTGTGTGTACTTGGTCAGCAGGTTGGACATTACATTTGTTTTCCATACTAGAGGTTTGAATTCCCTGCAAAACTTATCTTATCACTTATTTCAATGCCTTCTTTGTATTTCAGTTTATTAATGTATTTAATTTTTGTACTATATTAGTCGCGGTAGTTGTGCGCTATAAAATGTACAATAATATTGGTAGTCTGGATACAATTAACCAGTCTGGATATACAGACTGCACATAATTCACATATATAAAGCGGACGTAAAATACAACTAACACACACATACCGGTATACCGCTGGACAGACCAAAACTTGGCTGTTATTCCTTGGACCACATTTGAAGGAGGGTGGGGGTGTACAGCTGTTCATGTGACCCACCCAGGTGGTTTAAGGGGGGACTAAGGAGTCCTAGTTAGGACAGTTTCAGGTGGTCTAAGTGCTAAAGGGTCTATACAAGCGTTAATGATGATAGTAAGTTAAAAGTAGCCAAATCTGTATCATACACAGTCTTTGACATTGCAAACATGACTTATTGGTCAATTTACATCAACATTGATGTTGTTATCTTAACATGAAACAATGGGGCTTCTTGTATCCAATATTTAAGACACATTGAAAATTTTAAACTTGGCTTGCAAGTGCCATTTGTAAAAGGTTAAACATATCCCACAAGGGAAGACAACCGGAGTAGACTGGAATAACCAGACACCAAAGACTGCCGTTGCGACCCATTTGTGTCCATTTCTAGTTGCCAAAGAATAGCAATTTAGCTCCATTAACATTACCTAAAGTGAAGTCCTAATTGAGTAAAAAGATTTTTCTCTATTTGTAGGAAATGTTGTAAAAGTTGATCACTTTCTTCACCAGTTTTATTTTCTGTTACACCAAACATTTCTATCTATAATATATAATAACTTGCATTTTATCACAATAATTAATAAATAATAATGTTTGTAATTTTAATATATTAAATTTAGTATTTAGAAGACTGCTCACTGATTTACAGATTTTTGTTCCTATTTATGGATACTCGTCAAGTTTTATTACCTCTGATAGTGATTGTACAGCAGTCTTTGTTGTTTGTATTTTAGAGTAGAGCCGAAAAAAGCTCCCCTTAATGAACAAATTGAAAAAATTGCTCCCCTAAAAAAGCTCTCCCAGTTTCAATAAAAAGAGTGATTTAGAAATTAAGGAGAGTGATCTGATATTAAGGAGAGTGATTAGTTATATGTTAGGCGGGTCAAAGTAACATTTGACGTAGAACAAATTGCAACAAAAGGTTTTTTGATTTCTATTGACCCATTATGATGTCCAAAGTAAGGAAAAGAAAGTTTACCAAAATCGAAGTCCAAATAAGGCCAGGGGGCATGGCCAAATCCAAGATGGCGGTTGTCGATCAAAAATTGCAAATATCTCTAAAGCTATTGGATTTAGACACCATAAATGTATTGCGGACAGATAGGAAGTCGGTATCAGCGAGTCCAAAAATTGCTACGTTATGTCTCTATGACGTCACAACAGCATACCAGACGTCGCATTTCTTCCAAAATTAGTTCATTTACGCATCCTAACAGCAGAAACGAATGCTGATGCAGAAAAGAGTGTGTCCCCATTACGTTGGGTTGATAAAGGAGAACAATATGTTACAAGTACGGAGAGGGGGGCTAAAAGAACTACTGCTGGATTGCCGATATGTGATACTATTAGAGTAGCTGCAGGAACACAGATTCATTTCAATTGTTGAAGAAATGAAATGAAATGAGGTTATACATCCTATTGTTCTGCTCCGATTTGGCTTCCTTAGTTTACTATGAGGGAAAATTTGCCCTGCAATGGCGCAACAGCCTTCTCGTATATAGAAATTCATCCGCCAAGAGGTCTTTTACTGGAGAAGTAGTGCACCAAAGGGTGAATGGGTGGGGCTGATCAATTTTGACATTTGGCCCAAAAATCATCAGAGAGATTTATATTTTGACACCGGTTTCGTAGATGTACCCGAGATGTGTTACAAAACCAATTTTCGCGGTAATGTGAACAGCACCCCCTGGCGGTGTCCCCAAAAGCATTACTTTATATGTGGACAGATAGGAACTCGATACCAGGGAGTCCAAAAAGGTGAAAATCGGTCTGCCCTGTCCATGCAACATTCAATGCACTTCCACAGTACAAGCACAAAATGGGTGTCAAACATTGAGTCCCTGAGCTCCTTAATGTTGCTCCTTCATGGCCTGTGACAGCGAGATCCAGGCCCTGGGACAAGCGTCACTTGGCGTATATCTGGGGTAACTGGAGGTCACTTTGCTAAAACACATTGGTGTGAAAAGGGTCCTCAATTTGCAAAAATGTCGAAAAACCTCGAGATTTTTAGCACCTAACAAAACGAAGACGAAAGTAGAAATTTCGCTTTCAGTTTCGTTCTTAATGATCGGATACCAGTCAGCCGACCTAGAGCGATCATTCATTCATTGTAGCGTTCTACAGACCCGGATACCCTGACGATGACGATAGCTTCAAACGAAACGAGAACGGGTCGGGGCTCCAGGGCACTAAGGCTGGGGCAGGTGATTTATAGTTTTAAATTTACCAATTTTTCCAAAAAAGTAGAAATGACAAAATCCGATTCTAATCTTCCCCATGAAACTAGATACCTACATTCAGAAAAGTTACCTGTTTTCTTCTGCTTTACAATCAAGTAACAGTGTGTTTTTTTTATTACTTTATACCAACAAATGTATTTTTTTTAAACATTACCATTACGCGGCATACCTCCGGGACCCTGGACAAATGTCGCAGTTGCCCCCACCCCCTCTCTTACGGGCCCTGCTTTATTTCCATTGCAAGGCTTAACCTGGTGTTTGACTACCGGACTAGTACCATTAGCCTGGCTCATCAGGAAAAATACATCCCAACAGACTTTCAGCTAGAGCCTGTGGCAAAACATAAAATGTCGGGTAGACTGGTTTTCATCTTTTTGTACGTATTGACTTCCTGTCTGTCCACATATACGGGGCCCCCAAAACTTAATTCTTTAAGTGATGCTTTAAGGAACACTGCCAGGGGGCGCTGGTCGCATTACAGCCAAAAATTTTTATTTTTTGTAACACATCTCGAATACGCCTGTGTCAAAATATAAATCCTTCTGATGATTTTGTGGATTAACCTACTTCTGAGTGGCCCAAATGTCAAAACTGGTCAGCCCCGCCCATTCAACCTTTAATGCACTTCTCCAGTAAAAGAACCTTTTGCATTTGGAATTCGATATAAGAGTGCCTTTGCGCCACTGCACGGCAAAACTCCCCTCATAGCACACTGATAGAGCCCAGTTGGAGCAGAACAGTAGGACATATATGTATCACCCCATTTCATTTTATTTCTTTTTATTGATGCAGGCTATTTTTGTCGACAATTGAAATGAATCCGTGTTCCTACGACCTACGGTTACTGTAATAGTATCACCTTTCGACAATGCAGCAATATTCATATACTATTAGCTTCCTTCTACATTATTTTAACACATTGTTCTTGTTTATCAACCCATAATGGGCATACCCTCTTCTCTGAATCAGCATTCATTTTTACTGTTAACATGCATAAATGGACTAATTTTGGAAGAATGCGATATCTGATATGCCGTTGTGACGTCACAGTAACGTCATGACATCGTAGAGACATAACGTCGCCATTTTTGGACTCGCTGGTACCGACTTCCTATCTGTTCGCAATACATTTATGGTGTCTAAATCCAATAGTTTTAGAGATATTTGCAATTTTTCATCGACAGCCGCCATCTTGGATTTGGCCACGCCCCCTGTCCTTATTTGGACTCCGATTTTGGTAAACTTTCTTTTCCTTACTTAGGACATCATAATGAATCAATAGAAAACAAAAAACCTTTTGTTGCAATTTGTTCTACGTACGACATCATTTAGCCGTCGTTTGACCCGCCTATGTATAGAAAATGGTTCTGAAGATCAATAACTGCATGTAAGGGGTCATTACCTAAATGATAATAAACATCCTCTGCTAAATAATAGCACTCGTAGTCGTACGGTCAAGTCAAACTTTTGTTACCGTCTAAAACTACTTACTGTATTCCAATAGAAATACTTGTCGACATTTCTAAATATTTATAGCTTGTATAAATTTGGTTTAAAAACATAACCCATATTCAAAATATAATCATAAACACTCAAAAATTCCATCAAAATATAATATATTTTTTCCGGAATTATTCTCATTAGAAATTTTCATGTGCAATCTCTCGTAATTTGTAACGTCTCATGAGAGTTCAACTGTACATTTCAGTTAAATTAACCAATGATGCATAGGTGCCATCTTTTTTTAGCAACATGTTCATCAGAATTTTATTAGGGTGCGATCACATTATACACTAATCGAATACACCAAATAAATGTTCACAATGACAGCACGGCCGCGATGGGAATGTGAGTCTTTTACACTCTTTTTAAAAAAAAAGGTGATTTACAAATAAGGAGAACGATTTTCAATTTTAAGGCGAGGGAGAAAAACAATGACTTTTGTACAGGGGATTTCTGCTCATTTACAGGATAATTATTCCTTGTTTTATTTTCTAACGGTATTTCCTATTTTATCGGTTGAGCAAAAACAATTTATGGAATGTCAACTGTCATGTGCACACCAATGAGTACACAGGATGCCCTTGTTTCTCTGTTCCGTCCGAGTAGCTAGATGCTATTCTTTGCCAAACCTTCCCACAGGGTGTCCTTGGGAAAATTGAAGATCTTATGTTTCAGAAGTACACTTCTTCTGATAGAAGCAAACATTGCTGGCCCCCAGTAAGAAGCAGATGCCAATATATATATCTATACGAATATTTGTGACTGTCGTTTGTCTGTCTGTTTGTCTGTCAGTTCGGGGTTGGCGGCTACACTAGGTCTGACCCGAGTCTGAAATTTGGGGTATAGGGGTAGCTCGGACCGGGGAGTAACATAGGCCAGGTGGCGTTAGTCTACCACTTCCGGTTTCGGGGTTATGACCCCCGAGAGAAGCGGGCATTCTTCTAGTATACATATAAATTATACACACCTTAGTAAATTGATGAACTCTATAAATACCCTTTTCTTCATAACTATCAGACCCTTCTCTTCTATAACATCTACTAACAGCTGTTAATCTAAATAACATATATCACAATTTTAATAATAACAGTTCTTATAAATTAACATATATACATGACTAGAACCAGAGAGAGAAATGCAGGTTACCAGGTATTTAGGTCGTTACAATATTAACACGTGGTGTATTTGCAAAAGAGTAGGAATCTTTGCCAGTGGAAAGAAACCAGAGAAGGTAAGGTAGACGACCCTACCCTTTGCCACAAACACACATGGGATCATAACCAAAGCACTTGCATTTGTTATTCATACTGCATGTTTGACCATTTAGACTACCTAGCACTATATGTATTACACTACAACCACATTTTAAACATTATATAGGCAAAGTAAGGAAAATTTTTAAAGAAAACATAATATATCAGATAAATCAATCAAAAAATGTTTTATTTCCGTATATGAATGTTGAAGTTGAAGCCCTTTCCTGTGTTCAATCATCTGTTGAGAATCAAGTGATCAGGGGCAGAAGTTCTCCGCAGAACACCAGGCATGTAGTATCTGGTTATTAATTGATAACTTTCCTAGCATGATCATCAAGTTATCTAATATTAACTCCACTTACTTTTTTGGCATATCTTGAGACGTTAAGCACTCATCAGCCATATAGCCTAAAATAAGCATTTATTAGGTTATAAATTGAAAATATTTCATAAATAGAACGCAGATCATTATTCCATACTTAACATCGTAAAAGTACACCAAATAGATCAGCAGCATCCGATCGAATTTACCATAAGCTTTACAGACTATAGGCTCTCTACTACAAGGCATAATATGTTGAACTGTCCTGATATTGATAAATATCAACTCATTTACTAATAAACAAGCCAACAGTGAGGCTGATGTCCCCCGCCGAAATAGGAAAATAATTAGAGGACACATATAAATTTATCACAAATTATCTTTTACAAAGTATTGAACAATCAAACAGTATATCTTTACTTATAGTCTAACAATCAAAGTAGGAGAGTTATTGTTTTCCAAAGTCTCGACCAATCAAATTGCGTATCGCTCTGCTTACCCTGAGCAGAAAATGCTCATTATCAAACTTAGTCAAGGTATTACTGTAATGAAACTATACACCAAGTTTCATCAATCTCACTTAATTAGAACTAAAGTTATCGTGTCCCAAAGCATCAACCAATCAAATTGCTTATCTCTGCTTACCCTAAGCGGAAAATGCTCATCTTCGAACTCCATCAAGGCATTGACCTAATCAACACATACACCAAGTTTGAACATTCTAGCTCAATTAGGAAGAGAGTTATCGTGCCCCAAAGTATCAACCAATCAAATTGCTGCTTACCCTGAGCAGAAAATGCTCATTATCAAACTTAGTCAAGGTATTACTGTAATGAAACTATACACCAAGTTTCATCAATCTCACTTAATTAGAACTAAAGTTATCGTGTCCCAAAGCATCAACCAATCAAATTGCTTATCTCTGCTTACCCTAAGCGGAAAATGCTCATCTTCGAACTCCATCAAGGCATTGACCTAATCAACACATACACCAAGTTTGAACATTCTAGCTCAATTAGGAAGAGAGTTATCGTGCCCCAAAGTATCAACCAATCAAATTGCTTATCTCTGCTTACCCTAAGCGGAAAATGCTCATCTTCGAACTCCATCAAGGCATTGACCTAATAAACACATACACCAAGTTTGAACATTCTAGCTCAATTAAAAGTTATCGTGTCCCAAAGCATCAACCAATCAAATTGCTTATCTCTGCTTACCCTAAGCGGAAAATGCTCATCTTCGAACTCCATCAAGGCATTGACCTAATCAACACATACACCAAGTTTGAACATTCAAGCCCAATTAGGAAGAGAGTTATCGTGTCCCAAAGCATCAACCAATCAAATTGCTTATCTCTGCTTACCCTAAGCGGAAAATGCTCATCTTCGAACTCCATCAAGGCATTGACCTAATAAACACATACACCAAGTTTGAACATTCTAGCTCAATTAGGAAGAGAGTTATTGTGTCCCAAAAAGTGTGACGGACAGACAGACGGACAGACAGACGGACGGACAGACGGACAGACAGACGGACAGACAGACGGACAGACAGATGGACGAACCCATTTTAATAGTCCCCTGCTTTCTTCGAAAGGCGGGGGACAATAAAAATATCAGTAATATATACAGCATACAATGTATGAGAGAGAGAGATGGGGTTTAACGTCCACTCGATACAAATTAGGTCATTTCGGGACTAACATATGGTTTAATTTTATTTCAATAATTCGCTTGTGCATAGGGGTCTTTAGCAGTGGGAGGAAACCGGAGGACCCACAGAAAACCCACAAGGTTGGACAGGCGACCCTACTCCTTGTCACGTACAACCAGAGATTCGAAACCATGCCAGTTGACTCAATGACAGGCGTTATGATACAGCACGCACGTGCTAACCATTCGGCCATCCCATCCCCCCATACAATGTATGAAGATGAATCTACCTGCTAATGACATTTCTGAGGTTCCAGCTAAACAAACATCATTATAGGCTGTATTATCTATCTTATAAACCTGATTCCTTTCACCACTGGTTTTAAAACCACATGCTTCCTGCAACAAATTTTATTACATGAATTAACTGCAATAAATAATTTCATTCAAGGAGTTAAATTCTCTTCGATGAGAATAAATAATCCAATATAGCATTGTCTGAGCTTTTCCATTTGGCAACCAAACTTATAACTGTGCTCCAAAAAATCTAAATCAAAACCTTAAATGTATCCAATCCAAAATGAGTTACTACTGATATTTCAAAAACATGCCCATTTTAAGGTGTAAATAAGGTGTAAGTATGGTTTATTCCACTTAATACTCCACATTTTAACATCTTGATTATCAAACCTATTCTTATATTTTAGGAACACCACTTTATTTTACTGATCATACTTGTAAATTGTCATTAGTAGTAAAAAAAATATGGAAAACTTACAATTACTGGAGAATAAATTAGATCTGGTACAGAGACTAATGTAAAACCCTACAAATACAAACAATAAAAAAACCGTTCAATTATTGTATATTAAACAAATTTTGTTGAATTTTTTATATTTTGGTAGAATCTTCAAAGATGCAGATGGTTAGATCTGTAAGAATATTCACAGAATTACCAATCTGAGTTCATCATTTAGATCATGAAAATTTAATCTCTAATATGAATATCGGCCCAAAATTTGTTCATTTCAGTTTAGTATTTAATAAACTTTGATAAATAGAAATATCATCAATCTATAGCGGAGGAACCTGATGGGGCTAGTTTAAATCCGATTGAATCCAAGCAGGGAGATCATCTGGTGTTGGTATTTTGATTTTGTTTTCTTAATTAACTGTTGAATAACCAATCTGAGGACATTTAGCAAAAATGCAAATAATGCACTGAGCCTTTAAGAAATTTAAAACAGTTCAACTGAATATGTGATATTCGTACCTGTTGTTGTAAATACTCTAATGTAAACTGTATTAATGCATCTTCTAAATTAACTAAATCATCCATAAAATAATAGGTTCTATGTCCAGTTGCTGCCGTTACATTGCTGAAACAAAAACAACTCTTGTATAATATAATTTTGTTATAGGTTAATAGCAGACTATTACTGATTAACCTGCTGTCATAAATTATTTTCTTACAGTGAAACATATCATATGTTTGGTATTTCTTAGCTCTTGTAAAATTAATTTTATTATAAATAAAATGAAATGGGGTTTAACGTCTTACCGTTCTGCTCCGACTGGGCTAATGACGACAGGTTGTATATGAATATGTTTGGAATGTTAAACAAATATTGTAGATGCATTAAATTTTACACTGCTAATTTATTGTAGTGTTAATTTGAACTACTTGATTGTACTTACTCTGTTCTAAGTATGTGTAAATCTTCACCTAATTCAACAACCGTCTTTGGTTGAAATTCAAATTCTGCAAAAAAGCATAAAAAACATTATTTCAAAGAAAATTTCTTATTTGCAGTTCAACATGAGCTCAATATTACATTTGGAAGGGGGTGTGGGAGGTGTGGAAGTGAGAGACAAACTCTATTGCACACGAAACAACAGCCAACTTGTCAGAAGAGTTGTAGACATACTCTGAACTGTGGCAGACCACAAGTTTTTTTAAAAGATGAAATGTAAATTGACGTAACTCTTCATTTTATGGTGAATTTTGATGGGGATCATATTTTTATAAACTATACCTAGTGTCTTTATAAAATATATTGCCCTACCTTTTAACATTCCTACAGTTTCTACTAGTCTGGCATTACTTTCTTCTCCTATAGGCTGAAATATAGCATATTCAATAATAACATCAATTTGACAATTCTATAAATATTGATATACAGTGATTGAAACAATCTGGTTAAAACACAGATCCTATTTCGTTTCGTTTTTATAGTTCAAAATTTCGTTTTACTTGTCTTTACTACACTTGGATCTGGAAGAGTTGTTATTTAACTCGTATTCTGAATGGTGTCGGGGATAAGCCAATGAAACGGTCTGTTACGGCGAGCTTTAGGTGTGTTTTCCACAGAACTGTGGGTAATCCACTAGTAACATCAATGCTGATTGGTTAATCAAATGTCTGACATCATAGGGTCATAAGTCGGTCTTTTGACCCCTGACGTGACCTATCGCTATAACTTGTCAGATCTTCATGTAGTGTAGGCCATCAAAAGTATAAAAAAACGAAACGAAATATAGATCTGTATTTTAATCAGATTGTGACTGAAATGACTTTAGAACAAATCTGAAAGATCTACCAAAAAGAATAAACAGCGTTAAAAGGTCAGTGAACAATAACCACCATATTATATAATCAAGTGTTGCTACAGACTAGTGAGAAGTGTGCTTAAAAAATCTAGAAGATACTCTTTATTTCATGCTAAGGCTTGACCCGGGATATTAAGTCTACAGTTCAGTTGCTCAAATACCACAGCCTCTTGTTCTTCTATAACTGACTTGACTTCTGCCAAAAAAAACCCTAGGAAACAGGTGACATACACATAAGTAATGGTAATTAGCATATTGACTATTATATGAATCATATAACTTACTGTTGATGTATGATGTGTATTTGGTAAATCAGCAGCAGCTTTTATTAAATCTTTCCACACTACTTCTTTATTTGCAACCTGGAAAAGAAAATGTATAATTAAAATTAATCAATAATAAAAATTACTTAAACTGGGAAAGAAATCGTCACCTTATAAGTTAACACATCAATAAGTTCATATCACTGTTTCAATGGCATTTAGTAATTGAACTAGAGTATACAGGTCACAATTCTATGGAATACAATTACTGCTTATTACTCAGCGACGTTTCGACTAGGTTTCTCTACATGTAATTAAAGGGAGATCTCTGGTTTGTCATCATTAACTAAGTATTGTTGCGTACATGTATATATTGTCCTGTCATATTATCATTTTTTATCATAGCTTGATAATGACTAGAGAGAAGCCTAGTCGAAATGTCGCTCAGTAATAAGCAGTAATTGTATTCCATAGAATTGTGACCTGTAAGTTCATATCACATTGATTTTTAACAGAAATCAGTTAAACAAGCTAATAAATTTTTTTACCATAATCTCTTTGTTGTATCTATCCCACAAATATAGCTGAAAAAAATAAAACATATTGTATCAATGGAAATTCACACAGTTTATCATATTTATTGTGTCTCTCCCTTGCTGTACATTATTGTTAACTCAGTTCTTGACAGAATTTTTTAGTCACCAGGAAGAACTATGTTGAAATTATCTTTCCTTTTTTATTAAAATTTATAAAAGCATGGAAATACAATAGAGAACTAAGTTCTAGACCAAATTTCATTTGGGTACAAGGAATTTGACATTATATGTCCTAATACAGGATCAAGTTCTCTGTGGGATTTTGCAACACTTGGTGGAAATGTACTTTTCGACCCTATAAATTTCCAGATGCTAGGTTTGAAACACCAAGCAATCCTTTAATCATCGATGTTGAAAATTTGTTAATGTTTTCTCACTGGGTCATAAATAATTATTAGACCATGATATTTAGATCTAGAATGGACAACTTTACTGCTAGTGGGTTCATCAGATATACATACCACTTTTTGAATATCTCCAACACCTTTTCTATTCTGGATATTATTCTCAATAAAAGATAAATTTTTAGAATTACATAAAAAATCCCAATCAAATTCTGGATTAGTCGATTCAAACTTAGTCTGCCATTCTTTTGGATTTTCTGGTACTTTTCTCCTCTTTGCTGACAAGGAGAAGTACCTACAATCTTTACATGGTTGAAAGTGTGGTGCTTGATCAATAGATCGTTTCATCACAGTGGTAAGCGATTTTCGTAAAGATTTAAAGAACATTTGTCTGGCAGGAAGTGTCATTATGATTTCTGTCAACAACATCTTTACAGGAAAAGTTTGGTTATGATGTGTAGACTGACCTGGAACAACAACCATTATAAAAATTTGACCTGGATGCTTGTCCATAGGAATAGATTTAAAAATCATCAGGTATGTATGTATTTGGTTCAATTTTATATGATAAATTTTAAAGATATTTCATCAAAATGAAATGGGATTTCACATCTTACTTATCTGCACCAACTCAGCTAATGGAGTTTGGCATACAACATAAAATGTGTGTGCTATGAGGTAAATTTCAAAGACATCAGTCTTTCCACCAGATCTTCAAATTCCAACTGCCTAGGGATCTTTGTGTAGGCTACACACCAATGTGTATATGGGACCGCAGTTTTATCATGTCATCCAAATGAAGTTCCTTGCCCAGCACTGACTGATCACTCCATTCTGAACCACAGACAATTGGACAGAGAGAGAGAGAGGGAGGGAGGGAGAGAGAGATGGGGGTTAAGGTCCACTGGACACAAACTAGGTCATTTATTCCAATAATTCCCTTGCGCGTAGGGGTCTTTAAAAGTGGGAGGAAACCGGAGGGCCCAGAGAAAACCTGCGAGGTTGGGCAGACGACCCTACTCCTTGTCACATACAACTGGCGAATCGAAACCACGCCAGGTTGACTCAATGACGGACCTTATATGATTCGGCTATCCGAATCCCCACCCCACAGACAACTGGAAACTCGGCTTAAAGATCAGAAGGACAATTTCCTGGTATAATGGTTTTAAATTTTGATATGTATTTCTATTAATTCAAAACGGTAGTCCTATATTACATGGAATAGCTCAGTTAAAGACATCACCATTGTAATGGTCGAATGTTTCATATTGGACTGACTCTTCATGCTGACAAAGCATATTATCATCCAATGTTGGCATACCTCAATTGGTTCTAAAAATTAATATAAGACTCCGTGAGTACAAGTATGTGTTCATTTGGCCATGCCCTTGGTGCATCTGCAAATGACATTTTGATAACATAATATTTTTATATACTATAATATAGTAAAAAATGGAACTACTGTAGCCTACTTAGTACTACATAGTACATGTATGTAGTAAATCAAAATGAAATGTGCCAATGTGGGGGTTGACTGGAGCGTCTTTCATGACATTAGCAAGACGTGTTTCTCATATTTTATCCCCAGTGGCTAACCTTACGTGTAGGCTTTCTAAAAATTGTCCAATTACCGAAATATCTACTTGTCTTGTGTTATGAAAAATTCTTGCACATGGAGGCTGACATCTTGTAATTCAGTGCCCTCTACCTCAAGGGAGATAACTTCAAAGATATCTTCTGATTCACTTATTTTCAGAATTTATTTCAAAAGATGGTTTGTTTCTCGATTAATCTAGATACACAATGTCAATAAAGTTTTTTTCAAAATGCACCTTGTTAAAGTCTTTGAAAAGCATGGATTTGAAATACACGAATTAAAAATCAACTGCAGAAGTATCTTCAATAAATGTCAGTGGTGTGATGTAATCTTTGGAAGAAAAAAAACAAAACTCAAAACATCAGGCTAAAAACTTTCAAACCCATGGAAGGGCTAACATTTTATTTCACATCCATTACATATATATTATCTTTTAACACTCATATTGAAACAAATTTGTACCAAATGTCCCTGCAGCCTTGGTAGCCTACTTCTCTTCATATAAAATTATGAAATATTATTGCATCTTCAAAAAGGTTTTTAAAATTTTACTGAAAATAAAATTCAATTAATCTTTTGTCAATTGCTAGGGCGGGTACAAATATTGTTCAAATTGTCGACTCATTCACTTTGCTCATTAAAATCAATACAGTTTATTTTCTTTAAAATGAGCTCAAGCTCTTATAGATAGCCTCACAAGTTACAATTAAATTCTGCGAAAAATACTGTAAAAAAAAAGGGCAATATGAATGTGTATTGAAATTAATGTGATCCTTTTTATGTCATCAAAAACTTCAATGTCTGTGTGTTATATGTGTGATGTGTTTTGTCCGCCGGTTTTTCTTATTTAACTTCATTTCATGCTCAGATTTAATTTCTTTCTTACAAACTACATAACGACTTTTGTTTGTAACAATGAAACGTTTATGCTAGGTTCCCATTACCACCATTCGAGCTGCGATTGAAATCGTGGTTTTAATCATGGTGATCCTATCAGTCGCAGCAGTTGTGTTGATCATATCTAAACTTATCCGTACGTATCTGCATGTACCAGTTCGTGGACTCAATAGGCACAATTCTATCGTAACGCATTGCACGACAGTGGGAAAATAGCATTACACTTTCCTTTCACGGAAATTTAAATATTAGTTTATTAAAACAATGCCCTCAATCAATGTATGACTCCATACACACAGTGTTACCATAATCTTTTTTATTCTGTACATAAAACAACAGGTACAGGTTATAATTTTCCCTCCCGTTGTTTCATACTACATTGAATGAACCTCTTTAATTTTGCATAAAAATGAAATGGTTGGTTTCAATGGATTCTATATCTTGATGTGACAAAATTTAACCTAAAATTAATAAATAAGAAACAAAATTGAATTGTATAAAGCTCCATCACAAATCGAAATAACACATCAGATCAATCCAATTCTGTACTTCATTTTGGCCTAAAGAGGTTTCGCTCCTTTAAATTAAAATCTGGATTCAAGAAAACATTTTCTTTAGAGTTCAATGGGCTAATATCTATACAGGGAAGATTGACAATGAATATGATGAGGTTATGTGAAGATGTATAAGATATAATGTTTTTCTCTCATTCTCTTCTTTTCTTTTTCTCATAATCTCGACTAGATCTAGAATCATTCTCTTCTTTTCTTTTTCTCATAATCTCGACTAGATCTAGAATCATCATTTGATCGTTTTTGTCCAGTTTTTGCTTCTTTAAAGAATTTATCAAGACCAAACAAATCCTCCTCCACATCTCGTTCAAACTGAACAGGACCCTCTCTTCGCCGACTTCGATCTGTTCCTTCAAACTCTTTGTCTGGAACAAACCTGAAAAAGAAAGAAAATGCCAGCATTTTTATTGTTCAGACATAAAAATTCTTCAAACCTGAACTGTCATGGTGCTAACTGTGCTCCGAATCACAGATTCTGGGGTTTTGTACTATTCTTGTCAGACATTCAAAATTGGATACAACAACATCCTTTAGGGAAATTTCTTTGCTTGTGTTCTTCAGTGAATGTAATTTAAATTTTGATGTTGTCTGATAAATATGGAAGTTAAAATTCAATGACAGATAAATTCCTTGAAAGTCATGCATATTGGTTGCCCGAACAACATATATAACAAGTTACAATTGGGGAATCCTATTCAATTTAAAAAATACTGCCAATGCAATCGTAACAACTAACTTGTAAGCATAATAGTACAAACAGGTGTCCGTAAAATAGCAAGTCTATTTCTTAAGAAATACCATATTGTGCTAGATGATCTAATTAACCATGAGTAAATATATCTTTAATATGGGGTATAACATTTATTCTGACCTTCTGTTCTTCATCAAAGAATCCAGATCACCACCATATGTATCTTTGTCCAGATTTTTAGATGGTTTGTAAATTGAGTTACCAATTTTATTTTCATCTCTCCAAGCTTTATCATAAACATTATAGGCTTCATCATCAGCAAAACCACTGTCCATTCCCTGAAAAATAAACAAGAGTTTATTATCCAAGCAAAATATAAATATTAAAACCATTCATTTGTTGATTTTCTGTCAGCATTCTTTATACTTTCAACCGGTTTCACTGAAGGGAAACAATATTTGAACAATCAATTCCTACTTGCCTACAGTGTGCAGATTTGGCATTAAGAGATCGTACATAAGCTCTCCTCAAATGAACAAGGTGTCTTAAACTAAAATAATTGGAGGATGCTGCCTTTCGATTTGCTAACAGCTAAAAATTTGACTACGATTCCAGTTCTTGGCCAATGGAAATGATGCAGCCAGCTTAAACATTGGGACAAAGTGTCTCTTTCACGGAGACAAGGATTCAACACCAAAGCAGTGGGGAATGAATATGCATCCATGTGGGTTTAGTTCTATCTAGCTAACTGTTATATCTTCAGATCTATATTAAATTACCTTAGATTGATTGAACAATCTTTGATCAAACTGTGTTTCTTGTGAACCTCCAGCATTTGGTAAACCAAGAGCTATTAATTCACTGACATCCCTATCTTTTTCTCTCTGAAGACGATTCCTTAAATAAACAAAGTTTATATATGGTAATCTGTCTGTGTATAAGTCACCATAAAACTAATTCAACTATATGCAAATGTTCTTGCTTTTCATGGATAATGTTTTCATTAAAAAAAAAGAAGTATTTGGTACCACTGAATAGTTTCTACAAAAATCTTTGAAAAATATTGTTGTTTGAATTGGTCTAGAATTAAATATAACTATGTTAGAACATATAATCTTCTTATTCTGTCTACCTACCTCTTATCTGGTGCAGCTCTTGCCAAATTTCTGTCTCTCTGTCTTTCTTTTTGTCTGTCTCTCCTAACTTCATCTCTTTCTCCAACATCTTCATCTTTATCTGAAATAACACACACATTTAAACAAACAATCTGCAACATACATAAAGTTTTTATTCTTCTGGACCAATTTTTCTTTCGATTGAAAAATTATCAGGTAAACATCATAATGATTTGTAACAATCAGATTTCATGCATACTGGAGATAAAGATTTTATTAAGTTTTTATAGCATGGAATTTTCAATATCAATTTTAAACTTACAAAAAAGTAGGACGTTGATCCCCATTTCATTTCATTTAATTTCATTTCAAACTTACAAGAAAGAAGTATTTTCTAAGAAACTAACTTCAACACTCGAAATTAATCCAAACAATTGGCTAATGACATTGTGCTGTAGCAGCTACAACATTTTTTTCATTTTTGGTGTCACAGTAGAATCCTTGGACTCTTGTTTCTTTAACCATTAAAATAACCAGAGACACATCCTTTTCTGACTTGCAGATGTTACAAATTACAACTGTACTTTAAAATTTGTATTAGGACTATAACATTAGACACCCCAGCTATAAGACCACTGTTCCGAATTCTTTAGGGCAATAGTTTATCTTAATTCAGCTAAAACAAAAGTGAGGATACTTTTTTACTCGTTCAAAACTTCTTTCACTGAAATAATAATAAATCATAACCTACCATCTCTATGTCTAATACCAGCTCGTTCTTCCCTAGCTTTAGCAGCCAACATACGTAAACCATCCTCTCTCTTTTCTTTCTCTTTTTGAGCCATTTTCTTCTCTATTTGAGCTCTCATTTCTACAGCTTCTCGAGCCTAAATATAAAAAAATACTTCTAAAAGACACAAATAATGATGTAATTCTTCAATCATGTCTTACAATTAATAACGATGCTGCACAAATAGGTCTGCCAGAGTGAAAACATTTCAAACATCGGCTTCCATCTAAGTAACAAAGGAATATCAGATGAACAACGTGCATTTATAGAAGAATTAAAGAAGAAATTTACATTGGCAAGTTTCCTTCTTCATATTCCAGCTTCTTGAGAATCTCTTAAGCTTATCACACACAAAAACAAGCCTAGAAATCATTTTCCAAAATATTCCTAAACTTTCTGTCTTAGGCCCTCTATATTCAAAGATAACATGAAAAATTCAACTTACTTTTCTATCAGCAATATATAAAGCTTCAGCTAATTTAGCAAAGTTCTCATTAACATGTACACCTTGTAAACCACGCCCATCAGCAGCTAATCTTTTAGCTAAGGGAATTGTATAACCCTAAAAACAGAAAACAATTTCTACAAGACACAAAAATAGATTATTTATTCTCTTTTATCTTTCTAATATTGATAATCTAAATTAACAAATATCTAAATCCATGTACTTTACAGTAAAATGACATTTAAACAGTATATTATAGAATAAATTTCAATACATATGGCAGATTCCATAAAATTTGTTTAACATGACTATTTACTATTGCTCATTTTTTTATTTATCAACAGCCACTGCTGTATTAGGAGTGCCATATTATATGCAATTTTAGAAATAAAAATTTCTGGTTGAACAGAGAGAGAGAGAGAAATGGGGTTTAATGTCCACTCCACACAAACTAGGTCATTTCGGGACTAACACATGGTTCAATTTTATTTCAATAATTCGCTTGCGCGTAGGGGTCTTTAGCAGTGGGAGGAAACCGGGGGACCTGGAGAAAACCCACGAGGTTGGACAGGCGACCCTACTCCTTGTCACTTACAACCGGGAATCGAAACCCCGCCAGCTGACTCAATGACAGACCATATGATACATGCTATGCCATGTATTTAATACTTACTCTGTTGTTTTTCCAGTTTGATATACATGGTGGAATCTTCCATTCCTGTTGTTCTTTAACTGTAACCTTTAATAAAATACAATATCTAAATTTGTAAAACATTATTATGTTGAGTGTAAAACTACTAATTGGCTTGTTTACTAATTTTTTTTTTTTTTTTGGCTCACTGTTTCGAGAGCAGAGAACCCAATTGCTTATATTTCATCTTGTCAATTATCACCCATTTCATACTATTGGCTAATAATAAGTAAATCAGCGGAGGGCATTGGTGATCGGTTCATCACTTAAAGAAACTTACTTTTCTATTTGGTGAATGCATAACTGGAGCAGGTGGAGAGGGTGGACCACGGGGTATTTTTTTGTTTGTCCTGAAATAAACAAACATGATCAATTATTTAATCTTTCAAATAAAGTTCAGTCTACTTTCAATCATTGTATAATATGCCCTTTTCCTGATTTACAGAGAATGAAATGGGGTTTAACGTCCACTTGACACAAACTAGGCTATTTTGGGACTAACATATGGTTCAATTTTATTTCATTAATTCATTTGCGCGAAGGGGTCTTTTGCAGTGCGAGGAAACCGGAAAATCCAGAGAAAAAACACGAGGTTGGATAGGCGACCCTACTCCTTGTCACGTACAAGTGGGGAATCAAAACCACACTACTTGATTCAGTGACAGACCTTATGATGCAACCATTTGGCCACCCAATCCCCGATTTAGATACAGTAACTGCTTGACAAATATTATTTTGTATAATTTGAGTTAAATAGCACTTCAGAGATCTTTGTCGGTCATTAAAAATCACATTTTCAATATAGTGTGATTTGACTAAACAATAACACACAGGCAATTTGATATTCATTAAGATTTGTACACTACATACTCTCAGCCTGTAGCAGCCTTTCAGAAAAATTGAGTTACGTTTAACATGGCATTATGTAAAATTAATTATACTGTATTTTATTTTCTTGATGAAAGTGACAGTTAAAAATTCACTTCAATGTAATGTATGCTTACTTAAATCGTGGCGGTTCCATGGGATCTTTTTGTGCTTCTACCATTCTAATCACCCTCTGTTTAGCACCAGAATTAAATGCTACTCCTTGTTGAGAAGGAGTGTATCTGAAATAAACAAACTCATTATTTGTAACATCTTATTGTAACACTTTAACTAAATCTTGAAGGACATTTTTTTGATAAATACAAGAATCACATTATTGTTATAAAACCTGTTGTAAAGACTCCTGACCTCAAATTTATCAATACCCATAATGAATGTAACTTTGGTACATGTTCTTACCACCTTCAAAGGACTCAACAGCATTACCGTAAGTACTATATTAGACCTTTATTGTTCTACCATCAGACATTCATCATTAATTATCAACACAACACTCAGTATAATCTGTTAACAACTATGTATACAACTCTATATATAAGAGCAATCATCAGATTATGTGGTTTCTTATTCTATATGTGTGCATTATTCTGTACAGGCCGTAGAATTTTATAGTTACTTGACGAAGGTGGATCATACCCATGTCTGAAAATTGGGTTTGAAAAACTCGCCATTTTTCTGACGTACAAAATGACCGATGGTCAGATTAAGTTTCAGCCCTCAGTCTTGACCGGCATATACGGCCAACATGGAACCCATGATTTAAATACAAGGAAAGGGAATGCTAGAAACTTAATCAAGTATTATACATGTATATTAAATGTAAAATTACCTGATGTATTGAGCAGGAGCTTGTTTTTCTGCCATTCTAACTGGCATAGCTGCTGCTATTTTACTGTTTGTTAATTTTTCTAAAGCTAATCTAGTTTTCTCTGTAGTATCTGCTATTGCATCGTCATCTGGTCTCTGTAGATCTGGATCAGCCTCATCCATAACTTTAGGAACCAAATCTTGGGGTCGGGAATGAACAATCTAAAAACAACAGAAATTTATGTATTTTAAATATATTATCAAAGTGATTCTAATCATTGTATTAAATCTTTTAAAAACGTTTTAGGAAAATATTTAAAACAAATGAATTTCTACTGTCAAAGCCCCTTGCCCTGCACTCCATACTGAAACCAGTCACTGACGTGGTGAAAGCATGCCAGAAAGCACTGAGGAACTCTCTCGAGCTCCGAACCTCCTGGTTTGTGATCCAGCAATGCGGCTCCCCAAAACCAATGCCTCAATATAAAAGCACAAAGTAAGTGTCTCACCTTGTCCTTGTAATGTCCCTGTCTGGCAATAGCATCATATTTAATCTTTCCTTTCTCATCTAGAGATACAGCTAAGGAATTGGAAGTAGTCTTTTTTAATCCCATACTCAATGGATACTGAGCTATGTGAACTTCTGGGAAGGCTCCACCATCCCCAAAATCCTGAAAGAAAGTGCAAGTAAAAACCATTATGGCAGGAGAAGAATACAGGATCTGCAATTAATGTATCAATAATTAATGTCTGAAACAGACAAGACCTCTTTCATTTGGGTTAAAAATATAATTGTCAATCAATTTGTTTTGTGGGATGACAACCTTTGTTCAAAACTGGAGATAAAGCCAGTATTGATTAATCAACTTTACATTTCTGTGTCAATCCAGTAAACCAAAAATCAAAATAAATGAACCTGAATTCTACTTTATCTTTCAAATGAAAAATTGTATAATATGGAGCTTGTCTCTCTCCTCCCCCACTCTAATCAAAATAACACATCAGATCAACCCAATCAAATACTTCATTTTGGTCAGGTCAATTATAACACAAAACTTAAATATGTTGTTTTCCTTAATTAAAGAGGCATTATGGAAGTTTAGATAAAGAGTTGAAAGTTTTCGCTATAATAGTTAAAAAATAGATAACGTAAATAGAATATGCTGAAAATTTCAGTCAAATTGCTTCACCCTGAACTGAGATATTAGCTTTTGATTTTTAGGATAGCCCCAATCATCATTACTAAAGTCGGTATGATATCATTATCAAACGAAGTCACGATTATCCATTTTTACATTTTATTATTTTTCAAAAAATGTATTCCAGTCGCAGGTTGATTATAGTCTGGATAAGTTGATACATGTCTAATTAATCATTTAGAAAACATTTCAGGCCTAAAGAAAGCTTGGCAATATACAGATTCAGCTCTTGCATATAATGTATGTTTAAATGTAACCCAGATAAAACTAATAAAAGTATGACAGAATTTTAATTGAAGGTGGACTTATCACAGATTAACAATGGTAAAAGCATGATCAAAAGTAATGCATAATAATTGATTAGGGGATTACATCATTATTTTTATTACCTCTTGGGTTCTTGGAATCCATCCTTTTCTATGTCCATATGGAGGTGCTGTTCTTTTACTAGAAACAGGTGCGACCTAAGCAATAATAAAAAAATATTTTTTTCTACAATTTTCTCAAGGAAACATAAAATGCACCAACATTTTTTTTTTATCTTTTTATATTTTATAATATTCTCAAAAGATAGGGTTGGCATCACAGAGATACTTTAGGGGGGCTTTATTTTGTAAATGGAAGCTTCTCTATGTTAAGAATAATTGTAAATCTCACCTGAAGTTGAGATCTATATTGTTGTTCATCTTCTCCTCTGTCATAAAATTTCTGCGACGGTGCAGGAAGTATACTATGAAATAAAAATGTTTTTAAATTGTAAAAAAAGTATCAGCAGAATTAATAAAGTAAAAACAGCAATACAAATACAGTTTGCTATGATGATAGAAATATTGCCCAGACAACATTTCCATCTACCAGGTACTCTTCACTGAATTTAAAAGAAGCTATTAAATTTTCCATTAAACCAATCCCATCTCTCCCTATATGATGGAGAGATTTCCAAGCTACGAGAAGATGATTGGTCTGATGAGAAAACAATCTCATTTTCATCAATGTCAACATTCGCTGCAAGTATGGATCAGGGTAAACACCCAGAAATTGCTATAAGTACATTATAATCGAAGACCGATTGTTGGACTTGAAAAGGCGACTCACACAAGAAAAGTTGGGCATGATGGAGTATGCGGATGCCGCTTCCTACTTTTAGCACAAGGACTAATTTGCATATAATACATGTACGATATGTGTTGTAAATTATTATAATAAAATGTACAGCAAATGATTATATATAATCCTTTAAAGTGGAGGCAAACGATAATTGGGTATAATTGGATTAAAGTACTTATAAGTACACATAAGCTTACTAATCCTATTGTTAGTTTCAATTCCTTAACTCACAATTTTGCAGGAAGAAGTAACACATTTTTAGATTTTAGATCATCACTAAAAAATGACTTTATGGTTTATGCTAAGTTAACAAAGTATTATACGGTACGATTTGTTCTTTGTCAAGAAAGTCATCTGAAACTAATGTAAATGATGCCAAGTGAAATATACAGAGAAACGTTAAGTATCACATATCAGCAGTTATGCTAGTCATCCAAAATTAACTATTAGGCCTACACATAGTTTTTTTAATGGGAATTATTGGAGTGCTGAACTGAAGTTTTATATTAATTTATAGATTTTTTTTGTATACTTTTGTATATTTTATACAATAAAATTCCAATATATTCTTTGAGTGAGTTAAATTTTACAGTGTTTTTAATTTTAATATCCAATGACATGAAATCATGACTTTTTTTCTCCAGTCCTGTTGTACCGTAGGCCTATTAGCTTGCAAAATACCATTTTTAACAAGGCATAATGCACATAATATAATATGAAAAACAATTAAATGGTAAAATATTACACTAGTATAATTTATTACTATATTTATTTTTTATATTGCAGTTAGATCTACTATATTATAATTTAGTAGGCCTACAAAGGCTACATTAGTACATTAACATACATTCATAAAAAAAAGCAATCTTGATTTTACTCAAATCAAGTGCTTGTTATTGAAGTCATATATTGACAATTGGGGTAGGCCTACTTCGTTTAAAACAATACATATTGCTACCGATCATTGATCTCTCGATTCCAAAACACGTCACGGTCAAGACTTTAGTTTAGCTTTAACATAATGACTACCGGTGGCGGTGTTTTATCCGACAGGACGTGAAGACGGTGAAGCATGAAACGTAACGGTGTCTGTTTTTGTTTTATCCTGGCTAATCTAACGTATGGATTTTGAACATGAAATATGAAGAATCATATACTATACTCTTTATTAATGGGGATAGACTTAGGTGCAAATGGGCACTATGTTCCAGACAATTGTAATTTTGTTACAGATATTTTCAACTTACTGAGATAACGACGCCATATTGGTTCCCTCGTCGGATTTTCTTTTTCGATTATCCAGTCCTTATTCGTCATGGATACATTCGGGTGGTGAAAAGTAGATGTGGAATCATAGATCGTACCTGATTGGTATGCGGGTATGTTGGATGGGTGTTTCGCTACATTTTATCTTAAAGGCTCAATACCACTCTTGTTGTAACTGAATAATATGTCCCAATCTTTATTCTGGTCAACAAATTGCACTATTTTACAATATTCCAATTAATTGATGATACAAATTTCATCTGAACACACCTAATTAAAAAAATTGGAAAAATTCAACTAAATGATTTGAAAAGCCTGACGTAAATTAGTCCAGTTCTGAACGTAAGTCTCATTACACTCACGTGTAGAGGTGAGTGTAATGAGACCTACGTTCAGAGCTGGACTAGACGTAAATAAAAGCTTTTCAAATGTGACTTGGATTTAAAAATATTTTTGAACCCTCTGGACAAGTAAAATATGATTTAATGGATAATTTACACTACAGGTAGGACACTAACACATCTAGTACTTGGAATAAGGCTATTTTTTTATTTTCTGGAGCTGTCAAGCCAGCAAACGTGTTATTGTCCCTTTAAGACACCCAATGACAACGGATTACTTACAGATCAAAATTCTCAGAGTAAATAATGTATAGCCCTTGGCAAGCTCGAAATCAGGATGGTAGTGCATGCCTATGGCTTATTTACACAAATGACGTTACATTGTTAATGCGAAATATTTGTATTTGGTCCACTGGCACTGTTTTTATCATAGACAGCAGACAGGCACATAAATGAAAACAACCAAAAGAGCGCCCGAAGTTAAGCAGCACAAATTGTATCCCTGTTATCCAGACCATGGACATTACAATAAATCAATAAATTAGACAGTAGAAAAATAACAAAATTCTTTTAACCAAATATTCAAATTAAATTAATTATCACATGTTATGTAAGTCTATTTCAGAAGCTTTGCTCTATTGGTTGTGGTTGTTGTCATTATTTATTAAGGATTGAAATGATATCATTTGGACACCAAAATAAGATTATATACTGCCCATCTTAATCATTGCCATTAATTAATGTGTGGTTTAAAGGACAATATTGGTGTCAGCCATTATCAAGATAGATGCTTAACGCAGATTTGAAGAAACGAAAGTGACAAACGCAAAAGGAAAACATGAGTTACAGTATCCTTCTTGATAACTGACTGAAGTATATATATAATGAGCAACATAGCCTACACGGGCAAATTTCTGCTCACTAATAATTCCTTCGAAGAACAAAAGTTGTTATACATGTATGAGACTGTGAGCTGAGGATATCTGACAATTTAAAAAATTAATTGAATGTCACTAGATTCAAAACGAGAAAAAAAGAAAAAGCCCGTACATTCCCTTGTTTTTATTCATTCTATTAATAAAAACATGGTAATGCACAGACTTTTTCTATTTTTCTCGTTTTCTCCTATCTTATGACAGTCAGTTCTTTTTATAAATTGTCAGATATCCTTTCACAGTCTCATATAACAATTTTTGGTCTTTGAAGGAATTAGAGCGAGCAGAAATTCACCTGTGTATCTGTTACCACTCGTTACTTCAGTCAGTTATATAAAAGGATGACTCATGTTTTTCTTCAAATCTTCGTTACACATTTATCATAGCAATGATATCTGTGTTAAAATAATATTTGGAACTTGTTTAACCAGTTCTATCACCTATGTGATAATGGCTGACACTAGTGTTGTCCTTTAATTGTCGAGTTCGAGACATTAGATACTATATTGAAGATACATTGTCTCAGATACCGGGCAAACTCCCCCCTGCAAAAATTCCTGGATCTGCCCCTGGCACGAGGACATTACTCCAAGGGCTGTTTCAATGCTCAAGGCCATTAAACAACAGATTACTATCCCGCACATGCATTTCAATGAAATCATCAAGCAATCCATCATCTAGTATAAATTAATGTACTGTTGGCACAACCCACCCACCCTACCATTATTTCAAATAATGGTACCCCAACATCAAAGGATGATGTTACATCTGTATTTTGATAACAGATACTACCACCAGATGGCCCCTGTTCACTGTGTAGAATCTTGCATTGACTCTTTCAGAGGCAAATTTCATCATGTCCAAGCAATTGCCCTTGGTTTTTTGTTAGAATCTTTTTAACACTCCAGTAATGTTTTTTCATAAAGTGATTTTCATACTTAAAGAATTACAAAATGACAACCATGATGAACTGCTTGGATGACTTAACTGCGGCTGGTGTATGCTTGGTTTTATTAATCCGTTAAAATGATAAAAATATCCCTCAGTTATATGATGAAACAACAGGATTAACACAGTCACATGCATTACTGCATGGATTTTACAACAGAAGTTAGAAGGTATTGACACAATGTTTATTAGTGAAAAACACATCATTTTAAGTTGCTTAATTTAAGCCTTTCCATTTTACATATTATATTTTATATAGATTGATGCAAAATGGAAGCAGGAGATAGTTTGAACAGCACACTTCCAGTAGAATCACTGATTGATGATAGTGATGACGATAATGATGCTAATAATGATTGCAGCAAGCTATCTAGAAAGAAAACTATTTTATTGAAGGAATTTCCTTTAAATCGTCATGGGTCTTCTGCAGAATCACAGTACATTGTGCTATCACAAAATGATGAGGTTGTAGATCAAGCATCATTAAATTACAGAGTGGAGGATTTCCTCAGTGAAGATGATAATGATGAGGAGGACATTGAAGATGATAATAATGAGGACGCTGATGATGATAATAATAAGAAAGACACTGATGATGATGATGATAATGATTGTGGCAAGCTTTCAAGAAAAAAAACAATTTTAAAGAAGGAATTTCCTTTAAATCGCCAAGGGTCTTCAGTAGACTCACAATATGTTGTGTTATCACAGAATGATGAGGTTGTAGACCAAGCAACATTAGACTACACCATGGAGGATTTTCTCAGTGAAGATGATATTAAGGATGATGATGATGATAATGCACACAATGACAAAGACACTGATGAAGTGAATAAGTGTACAAAAAATGATGAGTTGTCTAATACTGAAGAATTGATCAACGATGATGATGAAGATACTGATGTTGATTGGGATACAGAAATAAATGACGAAAGTGTGAAGAAACCTAATAATAATGAAGATAATAATAAAAGAGAAGATAAAGATGCCACAAACAAAGTTTCACCAATTTCACCAAGTTCTTCTAAAACAACCGAAGCTGTTAGTTCCAATAATAATGGAAAGACAGATACTCCGGGTTTATCAAAGTTTGAATCTTGTTACAGAGATGCTAAGATTATCAACAATATTGTTCCTAAAGATATTGATACAATTTATGATAAATTAGTAGAGAAACGGTCCAACCCTAATCGTATGGATATTGTAACAGCAACACTTTTAGATGAACCGGACTCCACCACTAGTGATGATATATTTAAAGATGTGAAAACAGTCATTAAAAATGTTCAAGATAAATCAAATGATAAACTAAATGAGGCATATATTTTATCTTTACTGCGATTAAATGAAAAAAAGAAAAATCGAGTAGATGTGGTTACTGGACAATTACTTGTATCTCTACAAGATACAATTCCAAGCAGAGATTCTCCAGATGAAAATACTCCAAAACTCAAGAAATTTGATACTGATTCAGATGATCCATTGGTTAAAAATGATCCAATATTTCAAGATATGAGAGTAATTTCTAAAATGTTTCCAGATATAGATAGAAATGAGATATATGCTTATCTCGAGGCACATCACCATAAAAGAGATCGTATCCAAGTTGTGATTGAAGAACTTTTAAAAACTGGCAACAGTCAAGGTAGTCTTGATGAAACTGACCACTCTAATCCTACCAGTAATCCTCTTACAAACAGAAGTCGGGGGGAGTTTGAAAATCTCTGTGATATCTTCCCAGATTGCGATCCAAATTATATTTTTGAACAATTAGAACTTAATGCAAAAGATACTGACAGAATGAATAACCTAGCAGCTAAAATGTTCGAGTCGCGAGACTATCCAAAACTAAAAGATGTTCTTGATAAACAATCTAAATATTCCATTAAAAGAAAGATTCAGAATATGGAGTTTAATTTAAAACAGTTCGTGGCGAAGATTCCTGATCCTAAATCAGTGTTTGAACTGAACGATAAAGCAGTGAGTGCAGGCTATAAGGAACATGTTCTCATTCATCTGAAGAATGATTTTCATCAGTTTAAAGATGGCTATGTCAAAGAAGTTTTGGAAAGAAATAACCATTCATTAATTAAGTGTCATAGAGAATTGAATGAAGAATTAGCTGCATTATTAGGTTAGTTGATTACCAGTACTTTTTTTGAGAATCAGATGGCTATATACATAGTTTTTTTCCCAAAAGTCAAGGGTACCTATTGCAGAAGTGACAAAGAAATTATGTCGGGTCATTGAGGGGATATAGAAAAGTGAGGTCCAATACACAAATTGTTAGCGCACGTAAAAAATCTTTACAGAACTTGGAATTCGAAGGTGAGTAAGTAAACATGTTGTTGTCGAAGGAAAACCCCCTTCTTCGCGTTCCATAGCAATAATAAACAAAAAAGAAATTAGTATTTAGTCTCAAAATGACTAAAGTATTAGGTTGGCAAAATGGCTTTGCCTTTTGATAAATGATTAATGTAAAGACCTGCCAGAAAAGATAATTATTCCCATGTAATATTTTATGATGTTTTTCAGGAACTGGAAGGCGTTCTAAGAAGATGCGTGTAAATCCAAGAATGACAATGATACCATATCCAGACAATCCTGATGAATTCTTTTTTAATGAGCTGCTTTACATGAATCATGAGTTGGAAATCAAAAGTAAGATTAAGTTGTAAATTGGCAAATACTGTTTATATGTAACATTTTACTATAAATAAATTGAATTGCCAAATCCATCCACAGTGTTACATAAGCCAATAATTAGACCTAGTTGTTTTAATATCTATAAGTACTCAGTTTGTTTAGACCACCTTATCTAATTACTCGCTATTATTCTCTATTTTTCAAGTGGATTAAAATGGTGGGGACATGATGGATGGGGACATGTAGCTGGGAGGAGAAATGGGGTTTAACGTCCACTCGACACAAACTAGGTCATTTCAGGATTAACATGTGGTTCAATTTTTACTTCAATAATTCGCTTCGGCGTAGGGGTCTTTAGCAGTGGGAGGAAACTGTAGGACCCTGAGAAAACCCACGGGGTTGGACAGGCGACCCTACTCCTTGTCACTTACAATCAGGTAATCGAAACTACGCCAGTTGTCTCAATGACAGGTAGTAGGTGGTCTTGGGTGTGGGTCACTCACAATTTCAATGGATTTTATGTATTGTTTTTTTTTTGTGGGGTGACAATCTGTCTATGTTTAAAAAAAATCGTATCTATAGAAAAAGGCTTGTGTTAAGATATATCTGATTTTTTCCCACTGCTGACACAGTAAGCCAAAAATGAAACTAGACTTTAGCTTTATCTTTCGAATGTATAGAGCTTGATTACCCCATTAGTAGCAGTAATCAAACCAGCTACTTTAATACTTTATATAGACCTACATGAAGGTTCAGTTGCTTTAAGTTTAATATCTATTTTACGTTTTATTTAAGTGCACTTAAAGAAGTTAGAAGATGAGAAGAAAAAAAAGATAGAAGAAGCTAAGAGTAATGGAGAACTGTATGAATGTAGTTGTTGTTTTGATGATGAAGTTTTGTTTGAGGATATGGCAACATGTGCAGATGGACATTTATTCTGTAAAGAATGTGTTAAACGTTCCACAGAGGCAGCCTTTGGAGATGCCAAGACCAAATTCCCATGTTTAACTGGCACCTGCGAACATGATATTCCACTGTCAGTTCTACAGTCAATTGTTCCTCCAAATCTCTTTTCAAATATTATACGAAAGTTACAAGAAGAAGAACTTCGACTCGCAGATATTCCTGATCTTGTTTCCTGTCCATTTTGTAGTTTTGCTACAGTTATGCCCGATCCAAATGACAAAGTATTTAAGTGTCTAAATCCTGAATGTTTGAAAGAAACGTGTAGGTAAGATGCATTGTCTGGAATTATTAATTTTATTGTCATAATTGCAATTTGTTTCAGATTCAAATATCATCATTTTAATTTATGTGCAGTGCTTAATGGAAAATGCATTGGCTTTTGGAATTAAATGTAATTTTAACATTTAAGTTCTTTGATAAAATAACCTTTCTTTAGATTAAAGGTCGTAAGGTCTGAGTCAAGTGACATTGTATTAATCCTTAGCTTGTATGTGACAAGGAAAGGGATTGTCTGCCCAATAAAATTTACCAAAATGACTTAATTTTTGTCTTGTGGACACTAAACCCAGTTCTCTCTCTCTCTACGGTATTTTAGTGCTATATTAAATCTAACTTGCACTATCTCATCAGTACGCAGATATAGCTGGCTAGATTGTAATACAGTGGTAAAGTATCTTATTCAAGTGGACAACACAAAGATTCGACATTCAGATAAAACATTGAGTCGTATGGTTACAGATCTAGCTTGTTAACCATTTTTCTGCTTCCTAGAACATTATGTGAAAAGAGTTTACTATCTCAAGACAAGATGTTCTCTTTCATTGTACATGTAGTCAAGTATTATTCTCAGCGAACAATATTAACAAAACATTAAATCCATGTTCATTACAAATGTTTTAATGGTGTGTCTGTAGATTGATTTATTTTATTTCAGATTCTGTCAAGAACTAAATCATGTTCCTTTGAAATGCAGTGAAGTTGAAAAGAAAACTGAAACTGATATGAGAACATATATAGAAAATAAAATATCTGAGGCCATGTTGAGAACTTGTTCAAACTGTAAAAAAAGATTTTTTAAAGATTTTGGATGTAATAAGATGACATGTACATGTGGTACTACTATGTGTTATGTTTGTAGAGCACCCAATATAGATTATGACCATTTTAATGATGCAGGCGGGTAAATATATATTTAAAATATTCAAATATGGTTAATTTTAAAGGGGAAGACCAACGATTTTCAACAAGGTTTCCATCAATCTTATATATTCAGAAATAATCTCCTCTGTAAGCGAGAAATTAATTTTTATACGCCCACATTTTCATGTGGACGTATATTGTTGTCGCCCCTGTCCGTCAGTCCACAATTTGTTTGTGGACACTCTACAGGTCACAATTCTTATCCGATTTTGACGAAACTTGAAATATAGGTTTATCTCCAAAAGATCTAGGCTGCTTTCGATATTGGCATGTATCGGATCGAAACTTCATGGATTATGGCCCCTGTTTGTACGAAAAATTCTGTTTTTAGCCTGTGGACCCTATAGAGGGCACAATGTTTATCCGATTTTGTTGAAACTTGAAATGTAAGTTTATAACCAAAAGATCTCGGTTCCTTTCGATATTCGCGCATATCGGACCGTAACTTCCTGTATTATGGCTCCTGATTGTACGAAAAATAGCGTAAAAATATGGTATATCAAAGTTGTGGACTCCATAGAGATCACAATGTTTATCCGATTTTGTTGAAACTTGAAATGTAAGTTTATAACCCAAAGATCTCGGTTCCTTTCGATATTTGCATATATCGAATTGTAATTTCCTGAACTATGGCCCTTGATTGTAGGAAAAATCACTTTCTTTTTAGCTTGTTCTCTATCCATCTCTCGAAAATGTGGGCGTATCCTGCCTGGCACCCAGTGGTTATTAAAACCGGAAGTGATGTTGTTGGTTCAACATGCTCGCTGGTCTCTGTAAGAAACATACATAATTGGCATATGTTTAGCCATGTATTATGTTCACAAATCGTCGTTTGAATGTGAATCCGACCAAAAGGACTGTTTATTTGGATATTTTCAATATGAAATTATGTGTTTCTTTACATTTACTTCACAAATCCGACATGTAAATTCACTCATACTGAACAGTACATTGCGGCCCAATTCACGCCACATGGCTAATTGTTTACATCACATGGTTTGTTTGAAACCCGGCAAGTGAGAGATATTTCATCTGTTTGAACATTTTTGCTAAAGTGCACTATATTATATGTCTCACATTCCAATAATTTTGGTCTGTTTAAGTTGAAAAACACTGCCAGGAAGCACAAAAACATTGAAGCAGACGAAATAGATGTCACTTACAAGCTGTCAAACAAACCACATAGATTGGATCGCAGCGTACTGTTCGGTATGAGTGAACTTACTGACGACTTTGTGTACTAACCGTTTAAAAAACATAAATTTGTGTTTATAACATCCTAATAAACAGCCCATTTGATCAGATTTTTGGCCAAAAGACAACACATGAACAAAATACAGCAGAAAACTTATGCCAAATCTGTATGCTTACTATAGGGACCAGTCCTAGGTTTCATAGATTGTAATTAAATTATCATCTATGAAACCATGGACATTTTTTTCCAGTACCTGTACCGAGAAAACAGAGGGTGACAGTCAATCGCTGTCCTGAGCTTATTGGTTGTCTCAACTTGGTTGTTTGTTTGTTAATATTTAGGATACTCTGGAATATTTCTGGACTCATCCTCATGTACATAATTTGAACTTGTAACCTAGATTACTATAAACACACTGCACTCTACCGGCTTTGTACTAAGACGACTACGCAACCACCCGATCATCAAGTACAAAACAACATTAATTGAAGTGTTCAATGCGATGACGACTAAAATGCATTTAGAGGTGTCACAGTGTTTGTTTAGTGATCGCCAAAGTTGTCGTGTAGTGTACTCATTCCACTTATATTGCGGCGATATTTGTCGCCAAACTATTCACTTATATGAATATGAATGTAATAGACTTTTAGCATATATACTTAGCCTGTTACCTTGAAAGAAATTTTCGATTTTACAAGTGCCTGTGCCCAGTGGTATTTAATCCATGACATTCTTTTGTATGGAATTCTGTGATTTTCAATTTTGATATCCAAAACCAATATAGACGTCATAAAGACATAGCCAATGTTTACAATTTGTTTGGTTTTTATGTATATAGTGCTCCAAATATTCTAATTAAAGATACTTCCCAGAGTACAAATTAATCTATCAAAAATTTGCTTCAAATCAAATCCCTGACAAAACATTGTATTTGGGAAGAGATACTCCAAGCTATAAAAAAATCTATTTTTAAAAGTCCATTTTTCAGAACATACGAGTGTTTGTCATTACTTACTGTTCATTTACCATATATATTGAGGCCTATGTAAATTCTGGAATTATTTTCTGCCAACTTCTTTTTCCGCCTATGATACATTTACACCCCTCAATGTTTCCAAAACCAACTAACTATTCGATCAAGAAATAACAACCACTCCCTAAGTTGAGCTGACAGACAATAAGCCATCGGGTTACCAGTTAGTGATACCCTGACATTTTTGCTGAGTGCTTGCCCCATGGTTTTTTTTTTGGATAATTCAGTATTTCTCTAGTAAGATTGGGAATCTATACTTTCAATATATACTAAATTTGCCATACTTTTATTGGAAATAACCACCCGATAAATACTTTTGTGAGAATGTAACTTTAATGTTGAAATTGCAAAAATCGAAAAAAAAACTATTATTAGGATTCCCTAATTATTGGTCAATCCCTAATATTTTCATTTACATTATATGTTGACATTTTGATTATCTGCAAACTATTTTTTTTTTTTAGTTGTTCAAATGCAGAGGACGCAAATAATTTACATATGAAGGAAATGGAAGAAGCTGCTGTGACTGCCAAGAGGAAATATTTAGAAGACCATCCTGAAGCTGCCAACATTGAAATGAAATATGATCCACAAAGACTAGTGGATGAAAGTAAGTATATTTATACATATTTTTTCAGTAAATCGTTGTTTAAATATACAGATAAATAGTCAAAACAGTACCTTTTGTGTATTGTTTATTCAGTTACTAATTTCATCAATTTTCAAATAATTCAGGATTCAATCAAGCACTTGCCATGCAAGATACGCACACATTTTGCAAGTAATGGACAGAGAACAAGCTAAAAATGTGATTATTCGTACAATCAGGGGCCATTCCAGGATTTTACGGTCCGACATGCGTCAATATCAAAAGACACTGGCTGTTATCTTTGAGATATAAACATCTATTTTAAGTTTCATCAAAACCGGATAAAAATTGTGACCACTAGAGGGGTCAACCGTTATTATGGTGTAACTGTTATATGTATGGAGGCTTTTAAAATCAATTTAAATTGTGCCCTCTAGATGTTCCAGAAACCTCTAGATGGTCGATAGTTCGATATGCGCCAGTATCGAAAGGAACCAAGATCATTGGGATATAAAACATATATTTTAAGTTTCATTAAAATCGGATAAAAATTGTGACCTTTAGAGTGTCCACAAACCAAATGTGAATGGAGACAGGGGCTAGGCATAATGGTTCCACATGGAAATGTGGGCGTATTAAAAATAATGACCAGGCTATCTGAATAGATAGTTAATCTAGAATATATTTGTTAGACTGGAAAAGTGTTCTGGGAATGTCAACTTACCAATCAGGAATTTTAAGTATCTTTTATACTTGATATATTATGTTTCATCATAGAATGTTTTTTTGTTTCAGTGAATCAGAATGTAAAACGTCCAAGGTAAATATGTTTTGAGAAGCCTACATTTAATGTTGTGTCCTTTTTCTATTATTGTCTGCTGATAAACTTTTAATAAACATAAGATTTGAATTTTTATCCAAAAAATATTTGTAATGATCCAGAAAAACAAAATCATATAGTCAGAATGAATACCTCTTAACTATTAATTTATTTAGAACTCTGTGAATGCTGATTTTTTGTTACGAAATCTAAGAAAGTACTTAAATAAATCACAGATTTTTATACGCTCACATTTTCATGTGGACGTAGGCCTATATTGTCGTCGCCCCTGTCTGTCCGTCCACATTTTGACGAAACTTAAAACATATCTTTATATGCCAAAGATCTCGGTTGCTTTCGATATTGGCATGTATCAGACCATAACCTCATGGATTATGGCCCCTGACTGTACGAGGTTCCAATTTTGATCCGATTTTGATGAAACTTGAAATGCATGTTTATAACCCAAAGATATTGGTTCCTTTCGATATTTGCGCATATCAGATCGTAACTTCCTGAATTATGGCCCCAGATTTACAAAAAATCACGTTTTTAGCTTATGGTCCCTCTAGATGTCACTATTAATATCCCATTTAAAAAACCATTTGAAGATATCACCATTACACTGTAACGACGCTTGAGTCAGACAAAATGGCCGCCCCTCGTACGCCAAATAAGGTAAAAATATGGTATATCAAGGTTGTTGACTCTCTAGAGGCCACAATTTTGATCCGATTTTGATGAAACTTGAAATATACCTTTATAAACCAAAGATTGTAACATCCTAAATTATGGCCCTTGATTGTATGAAAAATTGCTTTTTGTTTAGCTTGTTCTCTATCCATCTTTTGCAAAATGTGGGCGTATCCTGCTTGGCAGCCGCTGGTTTAAAACTTTGTATCTTTGTAGACTTGAACATGGTGATTCTGATGATGGTTATGATGATGAAGATGAATATCGTGATGATGACGAGGATGATGAATATATATAACTGTACTTCTTGGAAAATTTTCACACATATTTATTCTTGGAACTACGATTGTGATAACATTAATGTTATTAAATCAGCAAAACACGTCAGAAATATATGTAGAAACATAGATAAAACATTCATTTATTTAAAGCATTTATTTTGCAAGTGTACTGTGACTACTGTCAATGCAAAAGTGTCTTCAGAAATAAGTATAATTTTACTAGAATATAAGGCATTTATATATTTGAATGGAAGAGGAGCAATGTATTCTTAAATATAGTAAAAGAGAAGTTAGTGGCACAATGAGGATCAATTCTGATTAACCATCAATTCAAATTCAGTTCCATTTGATATTAAAACATTATTATATTGTTATTACTGTCTGTCAACAGTTTCTTACAAAAATCTATAAGTCAAATATTTTCATAATTACAGGGATTTTAGATTGGATGATTTCAATCATAGGGAACCTTAGACAATTTCAGAATTGTTCAATCTCAAATCCCAGGGTTATCTCCATGTTTACTTTCAAACATGAAACAAAATCAAGTTGTTATAAGGAAGAAACCTATTGAATTTTAAAGTATTTAATTTGAGACAGTTATTTTTCTGTTGACATTTTACTTTTGAAGCTGGTATAAGTAATGTACAAGAGACCCCCCTGGTTCACTTTTAATGAATTGTTCATTTGTGTTTAAGAAGGAACCCTATTGACCACCATTAAATTCCACCATCATGATACCCACAAATGAAGTTCCTTCTATTAACAGTCTCTCTCTCTCTCAATCTCTTTTCTCCCATTTTGCATGACATTTTATATACCCAAATTGAAATGTGGTTATTGTCACCCTAAGCAATTGCTCTAGAGGCTAAAGTAAATCGATAGATCTTAAATTTATACAGTTTTTATGGTCATAAAACGTAGAATCCTATTGATTTTCAACGATTTCCGATATTTACTGCCATGGTTATGGCCCTTGATCACTTTTTAAAAATTTTGTGTACACTCTAGAGGTTAAGGTTATCATTCGATTGACTATAAATTTATCCACAGTGTTTTGGTCATGAAATGAAAAAGCTTATTGATAATTACTGCCATAGTTATCACACTTGATAACTTTGAACAATCTTGTAGATGCTCAAGATTATAAATTTATTTTTTGAGTGCCTTTATTTTTACACAAATGATGAAATCTAGAATTGCTTTCTGTGGTTATTACCATTGATCAGTTTTTAAAATATTGTGGTTTCCCTAGCAGTTAAAATTATTTTGTTATTGATAAGAATATAATACACAGTGTTTATGTGATATTCTCAACTATTTCCAATAACTCGAACCACTAAATTTATCATCATTCCGTACATTTTTTGTATTATAATTAGCATCTTAAAGAAATAGTAGACAATCACATTTTAATTATTTTTGATAATTACTTGGGTTGTTACTCTTGATCACTTTTAATGTCTTGTAAATGCTCATATTACCTTCAAAACAATAAATATTCGTCAATCTTTGTGGACTGCTCCGACGACTTAGCTGCTGTGGGTGTATGTTTCGTTGGTAACCTATCTTTTCTTGACCTTTTGGTTATAGTAAGCTTCAAGTTTTGTATCTTTAGATTGCAGTGGTCAACCTCATACAAACTTTGTGCATATAACCACCAGGTCTTTTCAAAATTAGTGGCTATAGTGTTCAAGCATAGGCCTAAGGGGCTTGGACAGTGGACTCTCGACTAGAATGCCCAGGGTTCAAATCCCAGGATGAGCTAAGAAGAATCTTCAGGATTTTTCCTGGTTCCATCTCGAAAGAGGTAGCACCTGCTGGACTGACATGGAAAGTGTGCCTATAGACCAGTAATTCTCAACCAGTGTGCTGCGAAATTTTGAACAGCACACTCAGAAAATGTGAAAAAAAAAACACCACTGATAAGTTCATAGCCTATTTTTTCTTATTTAGTTTGTCATTCTATGTGTCTATGACTAGTCTCTATCTCCGGTTGTATTCCGTCTGACTTACCATGTTGTTATTTTGAAAAATTCAAATAGTGTCATATATATATAGCCAGGTGTGCCGCTATTTTTTCATGTGTTCCAAGGTGTGCCGTTGGCAAAAAAGGTTGAGAACCACTGCTATAGACATTTAAATGTGACAAGAATTCAAAGTTTGGCTGCTGAACTTTAACAGTCATTAGCATGCTTAAAGCCTACACATATCAAGAATTAGTTGTTACAGAGTCTAATTTTTTGTCAGCACACTAATATTCTGTTACCAACCCTTCGTTGGTAAATGTACAATGTACTGTTTCTTAATTGTTCCCCAAATCAGTTATTTATCCAAAGCTCGCAAAAGCTTAAAGAAACCATCTTTGCTATCAATCTGTTCACTTTATTTAGCCATGTGGATTGTATGTTGGAGACCAAATATCTGTCAGTAGTAGCGCACATACAGCACATACAATATGTCGCACATACAGCACATACAATATGTCGAGCTGTATAATTTACAGCAGCCCAATAGTTATTCATCAGGCCTTTAAGCTCATTATTTACACTATATTAATATCTCTATTTTGATAACACTAGCACTTTATAATAGTAATAATTTTTCAATAAATATACATAAATCAATAATTAAAAGTCTTTAACAATAATAACAGTTATTATTACTTTAAAAAGTTATTATTACTTTAAAAAGTTATTATTACTTTAAAAAGTTATTATTATTTTAAAAAGTTTTTATAAAAAGTTCAGTTTTAAGTTTTGGTGTTGTCTGTTCCACAGAATTGGGGCTGCCAAAAGCAATTGCCAATTAAGTTCTTGGTGTTACAAGCATTATAACACAATTTCATTATGTTGTATCCATCATTTCCATACTCTCATGGTTCATCAAATCAGAACATTCTGATATTTTTGATACACCCTGTTGGATATCAAACACGCTAGTATACAATACGGGCCTTACTCCCCAAGGGTTATTTCTATATATTCCCATATAAGTATATGCATCTGGTTTATAGCACATCTGTGTTTTGATGCCAATATTTCGAATAGCATTTTCAGTTATATAAACTTCATCTTTATCAGCAAAATTACTGTTATATATTAACACAACATGGCGACCAGTACCATCAGCGGCTGAAACCTTTGCAGATATTGCTGGATGCAATGCTCCAGATGCAATATTGGTAGCTACTTTTTCCCATAGATAGTCCACTTTTGCTCCTGTATCAGTAAAAAACATCCATTTTCCTACACAAACATTGAACATTTGTGCCAATTCAGTCAATGTTTGTGTATTAATAGGTCGACCAGAGGCCTGTAAACAATCAAATGACTCTATTAATCCATCTAAATTACTTTCATCATCTTCACTTTCATCATCTTCACTTTCATCTAGTCCACATTCCTGGGTTGTTGGACATCGAAGAGAAAGCCAGCGAATACCACTATCTCTGAAATATTAAAACATTATAATAATTAAAATAGCCATTTCCAAATACCAATAAAGCATTTTAAAACAGATTTAAAGATACATTCCCGCATACAAACTGGGTGATTTAATGGTATATATGGACTAAAAACATATTCAAACAAAACAAATTAATTTGTCATAATTTTGCTTTAAATCCTTCGCAAACATTGTAATAGAGAAGAAATGCCCGGCTATAAAAATTCGATCAAACCAGGTCATCTTTACGTCACGTGACTTATCTCTCTTGGAAGTCAGAGGAGAATTCATTGCATACATAAGACGATGTTGTCTTTAATCGCTTACTATTTATTACAAATATCGAATCCTAATTAAATTCTCGGATTATCCACTACCCGCGTCTTTTTTATCTCAGAAAGTGTTGTACGTCTAACTCTTCATAAAGTTTATCAACTTGTACATCAAGCACTCAATCAACACCATAATCAACACTTGATGCAATCGGATGGCTCCGATTTTAAATAGATTAGAATGTTTCAGCCATTTAATGATTTAATTTTAAAAGGCGAGGCTAAGACTAGAAAGAAATGGGGTTTAATGTCCACTCACACAAATTAGGTCATTTCGGGACTAACATATGGTTTAATTATATTTCAATAAATCGCTTGCGTGTAGGGGTCTTTACCAGTGGGAGAAAACCGGACGACCCGGAGAAAACCCACAAGGTTGGACAGGCGACCCTAATCCTTGTCACGTACAACCGGGAATTCGAAACCACACCAGTTGACTAAATGACAGGCCTTATGATACAGCACGCACGTGCTAACCATTCAGCCATTCAACCCTCCCAAGACTAGAAAGACAAGTGCGGTGGTTACAATCAATGCACACACCTTGTCAAAACTACAACCATTGATAACTTCACTCAAAATAAAGTAATTTGAATGAAATTTCCAATATATTCATTTTGCATTATCTATTTTTGAAATATTGTAGCGAGAATGGCCAGCTCTTTATTTAAATCTTACATAATGCCCCTTTAAGCCATGACAAAGACAAATCTGTGTCAGGCAAAATGACAGAAACTACAGTAATTGTGTCTTAAAGGGGCTTTATGTCGACTTTGCAACTAGTTCCAGTCAGTTGCAGATGTGGTTATGTCCATCATATAAGCAAATGAGGACAACTGAGAGCTACTGAATTTGAAACGATAACACTTAACACATGACTTAATTTATTTATCATGTGATCAACAAAATGGTAAATACCTTAGAAGAAGCACCCCAAAGGCATGGTCAGTCCTTCCACAATTCTATTCATGCATTATTGTCGACATCATCAACATTTGAAAAGTGGGTGTCTTCGTTCACTTCCATTTTTGTTATTTATAAAGTCACATGTCTCTTATCATGAGATGTTGTTTCGATGGAAATGAGTTGACACCAGTTGTACAAGCGCTCATGTCAACGGCAACTAAGTGCCGCTAGTTGAAGCGAGTTGCAGAAAGTTAAACATGGGCAATTGACTGGAACTAGTTGAAGTGGGTTGTAAGAGGCAGTTGCTCCCAGTTGCCGAAATGCCAGATGCTTTCAATTGTAAGGTCGACATAAGCCCCCCATTATATCCAGGCTTGGTGACAGCTTTATCACGAAGCACTCTGGTCTATGATAGTTATTTCTATAATCAAAACTTTTAAAATGGATGAAAACAATAACAATAAAACTACATGTATTTATCAAGGGTCTTTGATTAAGGGCCCAAATCTGGGTTCACATGGTACAACAAGGAAACAATTAAATACCAAGGCCATATAATTTCAACAAATAAAAGCCCACGGCAGCTAAGTCATCCAAGCTGTACATAAAGGTGTCAAACCACGAATCTTTATACTGAATAATATCATTGCCATGTTGACAAGATTCTGTCATAATCAAGGGCAATAACTCTACAAGTAAAAATAAGAAATTATTGTAATTGTTATTCATTGCAACAATCGAAACAAAGAACATAAATTTAAACTATGGTGTAGATTATAGTGAAACAAGGGGTATAAATCCGGGAATAATTGAAAGTGAAACAAGGGGTATAAATCCAGGAATAATTGAAAGTAAATTAAACAAGGGGTATAAATCCAAAAGTATTTGAAAGTAATGTGAAATCAATTGGCTTAGTCGCTAATTTTTTTTTACTGTTTATCAGAAAGAGAGAGATATAGATAGAAATGGGGTTTAACTACTACTTGATACAAACTAGGTCAATTTGGGACTAACATAATTTTATTTCAATAATTCACTTGCACATAGCAGTCTTTAGCAGTGGGAGGACCCAGAGAAAACCCACAAGGTTGGACAGGCGACCCTAGTCCTTGTAGTAAGATGAGATGAATTACTGATTAATCTGTGATGGTCTGAATTCCTCCAACCATGTATGGATACTTCCTGTATAATTATTTGGGTTGTACACTATCCATCCTGTTAAAAGATCATCAGCCATGGAGTGGATTATTGCAGTAAATATACATATAATTCTAGATTTATTTTATCTGAAAAAAAAAAAAAAAGAATATTACAATATTGGAGGACATAAGCGTAAAAATGAAAATATACTCTTAATCTGTGGTGGCGAAACAAGTGGCTGAATTGTGATTATTGGCATGCTTGTAGACTGGAATTTAGTGACAAGAAAATTGACAGCAACTGTAGCAATATTTGTAGAATTTTTGCTCTTTAAATTAATGATATATTTAATAAGTAATTTAGTTAACACATTGTATAGAAGTTATATTGTCTTATATGTACTTAAATCATATTAGTGAATGAATTTGTAAACAATATTTTATTTCATTTGAAAATCGATTGGACTGGAGCCAGGCCATAATTCAGGAAGTTACGGTCCGATATGTGCGAATATCAAAAGGAACCGAGATTTTTGGGTTATAAACTTATATGAATATGAAAATACGGTAAAATACTGCTATTCTCAGGCTCTTTTAGAACCCTAACCTTCAATTTTTCACCCTGATTCTTTATTTTCTGCCAAAAGGAATCATTTCTCACTATATTTGACACAAATTTATAATAATTCAACACCATTTTCAAGTAGAATTTAGCAATGAAATAAACATGCGGTTTGCACATGTTTGAGTCTGGCAATGGCTGATCAATTCAAAAGTATTTTGTGTATGTTTTTAAACGCAGAATTCTACTTCAAAATAGTGTTGAATCATTATAAATGTGTGTCGGCTGTGGCGAATACAGTAGAATCAAGGTCAAAAATAGAAATGGTTCCAGTACTGATGTCTTCCTTCTTGCTCCAGCCACAGTAATGGTCCATCCTAAGGCCTTCCATTGAGCAAGTTTTGTAGTCATCTGACTACAAAAAAGTTACTGACCTATAACTCCTTAATTTCCAATTACACTCACGCCAAACAGTACTGTACATAACTTAAACATACATTATGCAACAGCTAAATCTGATTATTGCAAGTCTTTATTTAGGCTTCAGATGTCATAGAAATTATAAATTAGATATTTATTTACACAACAAGCACAAAATCAACTCTGTAGACCCACGGATTCGGCTTTGATTTAAACAGGATTTCATTGATTGATTAAATTTTTAAATGGCGTCGTAAGCGGAGATGTTGACGTCATACTTCCAGAAATTTTAGATCGAGGCTAAATGATTGAGTGAGGCCGCATGTCAGTCAATTTGATTGAAAGTTCGATATATACGGCCTTGATATTATGTTTAGTTGTGGTTAAAATGAGAGTTTCGATGTCGGTAGTATACGCTCTTTTGTCACTTGTGTTTACGGAAAAATTATGGAAATTGATAAACATCGTAGCTAACATCACCCCAGTTGAATTGCAGCCCCAGTGGATCACTGTTTGCTATTTATAATAGCAAACAGGGAGTTACAGGCCTACCAGTTACAGTACAAGAGTACCCCCAGGCTAACAAGAAGTCAGCAATAATTATGCCTCATTGATTTGGTCCATTCCTTTCAAACTTTCGCTTCTTATCTATAAACCGGATTACAGCGCATGCGCCAAATGAACCATGACCTTTTCCCCCGCAAACTTTGACAGTTCTGTCATCAGTTCTGTCAAAATGGCTGCTCAAACTAAATCAACCATCATAATTGTTTTCATCTGGATAATTTGTATAGGGACTGAAATTAACTTTTCTGTGAAGAGTTCCACATTTTGCGTGCTTGGCATGGTTCTGAGACTGGTTATTTTAGAGTAATGTAAACGGGTCAATCTCTTGAAATTTATCGCGGCCTGGTACCGTGCCCAGAACGACACGCTTATCGCGGCCAAGTGTAAACGGGGCTTTAATATTAAAAGTCTCATTTTTAATTTGTAGTAAAAATAATTGTCATATGAATTGAATTGCAACCCTGTCTCAAACCAAATAGGCTAACGGTACCACAGCTATTGAAAACGTTACTTGATAATCGAGATTATGTGGGTGGAGTTAACGCCTATCAATCAACCGATCGATACAAAACTATTCGTTAAGATGAGATTAGGATTTCAGTGTTCCACCTTCACTATTTGTGACATAATTACTTGTTTCCATGCAAACTGTGATGATATGTGTTGAATTGTGTGTCAATTGTAGCCGTGAATAAGAATTATCACTGTTAATAAATATTGCAGCTAAGTGAAAAATAGTAGGTAAGGATTCCAAAATAGCCTTAGAACAGAGGTGGGGAAGAATGGTATTTTCATATTGCAACTATAGGAAGTATAGTCTTCTAATGGTAGCACGTCATTTCGGACTTAACACAAACGTTGTTTCAGACTCAATACAAACGTCGTTTCGGACTCAGTTTGACGACTTTTCGGTCCCCGTCTGGGACTTTTCAGACTCGGACTGGTGACATTTCAGACTCAATAAAAGTTTAAAGACTCTTTATGTATATATTAGTAATAACTGTTTTTTCTTTCGTTTTATGTGAGGCTCAAGACAGATATCATTCATGTGTTTTATTTATCCCATAGAGACCTTATGATGCAACTTGAAGTAAAACCAATGTTACTTGCCTTTTGTTTTATTTAATTGATTTTGTTGTTTATTAAAGATTTAACATCCTATATTATACATTACTAGCAGGATACCCGGCTTCGCTCGGGGGTCATAACTCCCCAGTCCGAGCTACCCCTATACCCCAAATTTCAGACTCTGGGCAGACCTAGTGTAGCCGCCAACCCCGTACAGACCGGCTTCGCTCGGGGGTCATAACTCCGAAACCGGAACGCCATCTGGCCTATGTTACTCCCCGGTCCGAGCTACCCCTATACCCCAAATTTCAGACTCGGGGCAGACCTAGTGTAGCCGCCAACCCCGAACAGACCGACTTCGCTCGGGGGTCATAACTCCGAAACCGGAAGTGGTAGACTAACGCCACCTGGCCTATGTTACTCCCCGGTCCGAGCTACCCCTATACCCCAAATTTCAGACTGGGGGCAGATGTAGCCGCCAACCCTGAACAGACAGACTTCGCTCGGGGTCATAACTCCGAAACCGGAAGTGGTAGACTAACGCCACCTGGCCTATGTTACTCCCCGGTCCGAGCTACCCCTATACCCCAAATTTCAGACTCGGGGCAGACCTAGAGTAGCCGCCAACCCCGAACAGACAGACAGACAGACAAACGACAGTCACAAATATATATATATAGATGGACAGGTTGATTTAATTAAATGATGTCAGAGGGTTCGCTCAGACGGCACCAGCGAAGCAGGTATCGACATATAGAGGGCCAACTGTTGAAAATTTGGGACGAATATAACCACCATGAAATTAGATCAGTCATTGTATAGCCCACCTGTTCAGTAAAGAAAAACCTGTATCAAAATATTTTTTTTTAAATAATTCTGATTAGAATTAAAATAATTGGAAAATTTGGAATGTGTCCGTTTCTAAATGATAAAATAAATGTATGTTCAATGATAAAATAAATATATGTATGTTTGATAAAATAAATGCATGTATGTTTGATAAAATAAACATCGAGGGGCATATTATTATATTTTGGAGTCCGAAACGACATGTAATCCTTCTAAGTTTGTTGAGACTGAACTGAGTTAGTTCAGCTCTGAACAATGAGACCTACGTTCAGAGCTGAACTAGAACTGAGTGAGAGTCAGTAATTGTTCATGATTTTAAAGAAGATGTAATAATCCAATTACATCAGCATACAAATTTCTAAACTTCTTCTTTGTTGCCACAGCTGACAGTTCGTGACGTATAGTTTCTGGAGTTCATCGCACACTTCCGCCAAGGGTAATATGGTAATCGACTCGTTCGATTCGATCCGATCTCGCGTTCTCCGGAAAGATAACTCTATAATATTTATATTGACGTGATGATCCGTTGGAAAAATATTGGAGAGGGAATTCTTTCATTTATTTCTCTGTATTACTTCCACAAACAATAAGTAAGAGTTTAGATATTGTTTATTTAATGATCTTACGCGGATTAAAATAGGCGTTTATTTAAAGTTGATAATATTTGGGATGTACGCTTAGTGGTTGAGTTGGGTGGATCATCACATGAAATGTTTTGGGCGTCCTCATCAACAACGATCAATTATGAAGATGTTAAGAGTTTACAGTTCAGAATCCAAAGAAAATGCCTTGAAAACTTCACAGTTGCGCTCATAAAATTATTTAATTGATATACATATGAATCATACAAAGTATCACTATTAAATATGGCTCATGTTAGAGAGACTATAAAATTGCTTTCCAAAATACTGCTGCAAAATGGAACGAGTGAAATTTCTCCAGAAATGTTCAGACAGGCAAAATTCAACAAAAAAGAGGCTGTTAGTTTTGGTCATTTTATTTCCCTTTTATTTTTAAAGAGACTTTAGAACTTTGGGGATCTCTGCTGGTCGGTAAAAAAAAAACAAATCAGACCATCCGAGTTTCCAAGCTAATCTTAAGAAGGTCACCATTGATTTTGATGAATTGATGGTTTTCAGCTTTTCTCAAAATTAGTTCCTGACTTGAGTTATTGCCTCTGAATTTCATGATTGTTGATAAATACATTATGTACCATACAAACTATCTCTCAACTCTGGCTTTATGATTTATCTAGCTATGGACATAGATTTTCAACTTTTAGCTAGTATAGATTACTGTAATCTATAAAATCCAATACAATCAACAATTGCTTTTTCTTATAAATCAATAGCCTTAGCATTATAATAGCCTAGAGTAGTTTTCAAAATTGAATTACATTTATTTTCTTGTTGAAAGCTCAAATGTCTCTTTGAAGTTCTTTCTTTTTTCCATAAAGATAAAGACGCCACTTATTGTCTGAAGTGAACCATCGTAAATTTTAAAAGGATTTCTTCGATTATGAACAAGCTACTTAACTTTGGTTTTTATAAATTTACCTGTGTGTTTGAAATCAACTCCTGTTCAATCAAATCCATTGCACAACTAAATATCCCAACGAATAAAAAAGTTCTATTCATAACAAAACACAACACAAGGTATATATGGATGTAACTACTTCTCTATTATTTAATAACAACATTTCGTAACATATAAAGGTCATGTTTTCAAGTTAATGATAAACATCCATCTAGTCAGCCTATTTATACATATTAAAGCTTACACCAGTTTAATTCCAAAAACCAAAAGAAACCATTAACATAATTAGCAGTACCTAAACCAACAATACATAATACAAACAGTAATAATGAAACTAACTGACCCTTAGTAGGATCATAACAGGTAATCAGTACTAAAGATCAAAGACCACATTGATAGGGTTTCACCAAAAAAATATATGATGCAAACATTAATAATAATAACTGACCCTTTAGTAGGTTAATAACAGGTAATCAGTGCTAAAGGTCAAAGACCAGCCTTAATAGGGTTTCACTAATAACATGTTAATCAGACCAACCTTACTAATCACAACTTAATAACTGTTAATTTAGATATAGGCAGTAATAACGAAAAACTAATATGTTACAAATACTAGAGACAGCTCCTTCAACCCATCATTCCAACTTAATAGGGTTATACAAATTACAATCAATTATAAGCATTTAATCATATAACAGACCACACTTTTCCAATTTGATATTTGATTGAGTCCTATGTGTTTATGTTTTTTATGTTATTTAATTACTAAAAATAATGATAATATCGTCATTTATAAAGCATGTTAATACTGAGAGATACAGTTTCTAAGGCGCTGTTGGTTTTTATATTCACTGATTATTTACAGATCAGGGTTTTGAAATAACAACGTTTTGAGTTGAGATTTGAAATGGCCCACAGACGGTGATTGTTTTATTGATTGTGGTAGTCTATTCCATAGAAAAGGACCAGCATAGGAAAAGACACGTTTTCCAAGTTGTAAGTTAATGGCTGGAGATTTTAGAAGATATTTTTTCTAAATACAGATTACACCAGGAGAAAGTAAACTCTCCCATATTATTAATTTATCACTAGGCATATTAAGCCTTAAAAGTCGCTATTAACTTGTTAAAGTATACTAGTAAATAAACCGTTAATGAAGTGCAAAGTTCTAACAACACATAGCACACAATCTTTAAACTATCACATCATCCCAAGCCTTAGATATAAACAGACCATTTCTCTCTTGACAAATTTGACATACCGCGATAGTTTGAGTTTGGGCAATGAAAAATATAAACTGAAGGCAATTACATAGGAGATTTATATTGAAACAATTGATCGCCAGTCTATCAAATTTATTCAAAAAGAAAATATCACTGATTGCACGGATACTCACAAAAATAAAGTCATATATAAACTAAAAATATCCTATCTTCTTTATGTTATAAATAATTTAACAAGGATCATGAAGCTGGCCTCAGAAGTTTCCGAGTGTATTGTTAATTTGATTGCATTCTTTCGATCAAAATAACCGCATCAAATGATTAAAACAAAATATTTCAAAAGGTAAAGTTATGAAATTTGCAGAGATTTTACTAGAATGTAAAAGACCGTAACAAAATAAAAGAATACAGACAGATTAAGAGCTGTCAGTTCTCACTATTATAGTTAAAAACTCAATGTCGAGCCGAGACTTATAGCTAATTCTTAAACCAAACATGATATGTTGTAAAAGTAGCGAAAACCGCTTCAATTTGCTATGCTGTCACCCCCTTTTACGAAATAATATCTCCCAAAGAGTGACGTAATCAGCTTCCATATTGGTATTTTTCTGTGTCAGAACTTTGTGGGATTTCAATTTTTCAAGAGAGAACTTTTCTATTCGTTGGGATAATTAATTGTGCAATGGATTTTATTTAATGGGAGTTGATTTCAAACACACAGGTAAGTTTATAATAACCAAAGTCAAGTAGTTTGTTTATAATCGAAGAAATCCGTTCAAAATTTACGATGGTTCAGACAGTAAGTGCATTTCAGTTGAATAAAACTGGTTTAATTCCCAGAAAGAATTTCTGGCTCTTTATGTGCTTTTTCGTAAATGATTTTGATGCAGGTATTGGCAACCAGTAGATGGTCAGAAGGATTAAGTCTAAAATATTAAAATTCTACCAAATTCCATTTCATTTTTGGGTTGTTTAAACCACTTCATCTTGGTCTAAAGACATTTATTGATAGGGTGCTATCACTATTTAAAAGATTCTGAATGTAAACCTCCATATACTCGACCTAGTGTCAAGTGTAAGGAGGTCTACGTTCAGAGCTGAACTGGGGGTTTGGATGGCTGAATGGTTAGCGTGTGCGCGCTGTATCATAAAGTCTGTCATTGAGTCAACTGGCGTGGTTTCGAATCCCCGGTTGTACGTGACAAGGAGTAGGGTCGCCTGTCCAACCTCGTGGGTTTTCTCCGGGTCCTCAGGTTTCCTCCCACTGCTAAAGACCCCTACGCGCAAGCGAATTATTGAAATAAAATTACACCATATGTTAGTCCCAAAATGACCTAGTTTGTGTCGAGTGGACGTTAAACCCCATTTCTCTCTCTCTCTCAGAGCTGAACTATGTCAACACCCGATTAACTTATCAAATAAAACCTGTGATACAGAAATATCCAGAAAATGTTTTGAAAACCAGGATTATATGTTAATGGGACTGACCATCTGATGAAATGAACAAAAAATTACATCTTTTTTTTAATTAGATTGAACATTGGGTCAATTGGGTGCATGATAATTGATATCGAACTATGTGCAGTTTGAGACCAGCTTGTCAGAGTTAAAACATGTAGGGCTAACAGTGAAAGTTATTCTGGTTGTTTAGATGAGATCAAATTGGTTGTGTGGTGTGCTGTTTGATTGTGTCTATGGAGATGGACACAAAGACTTACTATCTTGCAGATACATTATGGGAGATTAGATTAAGAGCAATTGAATTTTCGGCCTAGCCTCGATCATCATTACCGAAGGCGGTACAATAAAAAACATAGTCTTGATTATCCATTTCATGATTAAATCGTGAATGAAAGTTGAGCAGCAAATCCGATCCTAATCGCAGGCATAGAGAGTTGATTATGGTCTGGATCAGTTAATTAGTGTCTAATTAATAATTTAGATAACATTTCAGGCCTAAAGAAAGACCTGCAATAGGCAGATTTAGCTCTTGCATAATGTATTTTGAATTGATCTAATTTTTTTGTTTTATGGTGTTCTTTATTCATAATTTGTTTTCCTTCATACAGGCACCAGTGTTATGGAAATTAATGTTCCAGTTGGTATATTTTTGTAACTTTGGAATTATTGATGAATCCGCAGTCAAAGCTGAAACAGAGTTAACACAGGGTTAGTACAACTTTAAGCTATTGTACTATATTGCCCTCTCCTGTCGGTTCGATAGACTTTAAATTTATCATGAGACAAAGAAGCCTATATATTTTCAACAATTTCTGATAAATACTGCCAGAGTTATGGCCTTTGAACTTTGATCACTTTGAAAAATCTTGTAGATGCTCTAGAGTCTAGAGGCTAAAATTAATATCCGATTGACTTTAAATTTATACACAATGTAATGTTTGAGGTCATGAGATGAAGAATCCTATTGATTTTCAACAATTTCCGATAATTACTGCCAGAGTTATGGCCCTTGATCACTTTGAAATATCTTGTGGATGCTCTACAGACTAAAGTTAATATCCCATTGACGTTAAATTTATACACAGTGTTATAGGTCTCATTGTTCATACTATTCGGCAGTCAAACCCTTCATATGGCCGCAGAATGATCTAACAGCCATTTGTTATAAGTTGAGTCTCAAGACAAGTTATAGTTGGTCAATTTCAGACTATTATAAATTTATATGAATGTGCCTATCGGGTCATATTCAAAATACTAAAGATAAATCTATCTGTTTATTTGTTTATTTATCTCAGAGGAAAGGTGTGTGTATGTAAAACAAGAATTACAAAAATGGGGATATCTATTACCAGATTTTGCATGTTTATCACCAGACGGCAATACTGGAAGTCGTGAGCTATTATTAGCTCTAGCCTGGTTGATCTGTAAGGAAGATATTATGGAGAAATTTATGAACAACTGTACTTCACCAATAGAGTATGATTCTAATTTACTATTTGAGGTATGTAGGATATACATGTATCTTAGTTTTTGAGGAATGGACCATGGTTTGAACATACTGATAATCTAAAGTTTGGTTGGTCATAAAAATTGTATTCTGAATTTTTATAGAAAATACCCACTGTAGTCAGCTACAGTAATAAACAATAAAATAGATTATACAGAAAAAATTAGGCCCATTAGAAATGTGATTGGATGATCTGGAGGCTGGTTGTATTTCAAACTCTGCAACAGACCAACTCGCCTTCCAAAAATGTTTTATTGCTTAGACACTTAACACCTGTATCATGTTCATGTTAAATTATGTAGTCTACCATTTGAATATATGTATATAATATGTTTTTTAAGCTGATTGATAGGTTTATATTTTATTTGAGCAATAAAAAAAATGGTATTCAGAACATTATTTTAGTGCTAATATCAAATCATAGTTTCATCTTTTCCAAAACACAAAGGTCGGAAGTGTCTATGTTAAATATTTTCTGTCCTCAGCCCGGTTGGTGCAGAAAAGTAGGACTTAAATGCCATTTTATTCATTTTAATTTTATTTATTTTTTTATACTGATCAAAAGGAGGAAATGAAATTAGCACCGTCTGTTAAGAAATGTGATATAAAAGAACCAAGTTGTAAAGTACAAAAGCTGCTGATGTTAAATGGTAAACTACAGTTAAATCTGAGAAGATTATATTCTTTACAGATTCAAGATGTTAATCTTAGCCACAAGGTGAGAACTCTTTTGCTCTCCCTATTCCCTCTCTAATAACTAAAGTTTACAAATCTCTGTTCATTGTGGTGTAATTCATTTTGCAGTAATCTTGAGTAAATTTTAAAGGGAATTCAGCTTTGAAGGTCATAATTATTTGAAGAACTGATGGGATAATGAGCTTTTTATCAATTTGGAAGTATATATTCATCACTTGCACTCATTTGTCCACAATTCTTGTAAATGCTCTACAGGTCAATGTCTTTTAGGTTCCTTTTCAAACTCACTAGGGTTGTTCAACTAGTCCCGAGGATAAATCCTGTTGAAGTTCATAGTTGCATGATTATTTTTCACGGAGTTCAGGCTCCTGTCAGCAAAACCTTGGCTTGTAAATGTTCTTGCTGGGATTGTTTGGCCTGTAATGCTATGTTTCAAAGATTCGATTAACATACCTAAATATTTCATTATTTACAGGTTCATGAATCTACACAGGGTGTATCAATGACATCTTATAGAAACCATTTAACACCTATGGAAGTTCGACTACTCAGACATCCAGCTCACTTAAAAAAGGTATTATACAAATATTAGTAACAAACAATAATAGTATATACCATCTGAAGTTGGGATGGGAGAGGTGATTATTCATAGGATCTGTCTGCTATCTAAGAACAGGGTTTGATCCCAAGCTTGTAACATTACAAGTAGTAGGTTGCCTTCCTAACCGTGTGGATTTCCTCCACATACTCTATTTTCCTCTCTCCTACTTCCAGCACATTGTTTGGAATATTTTTTATATGCCCACATAATTTATGTTGGATTTTTTTTTTCAAATTTGCTGGGATTTTGCTAAGGAGGTTCCTATCAGAATTCAGAGTTCTGCAACATATTTTTCAGTGTTATTGCCCTAACCACTGAGTCCTATATAAAAACAAACTACAGTTCAGAGTTTTGGAATTGTCTGTGATATCACAAACGGTGGAATCAGACGTTAAACACTAATAGAAAAAAAAAGAGTTTTGGAACAATTGTTATAAACTTGATTGGATTGTCATGTCAGCTTTAATGTTTATTGTTTTTCAGAGTAATTGCATGTGCTATTTAAACCTTTCTTAAGGTTATTGCTACTTTGACAATTATTAACAACAAACAATGACGATATTTGTCTCCATTTATTCAAAACAGCTGGTGGGCATATATTCTTTCAATGTAGCTATCATTTAACATGTTTCAGATGCTGCATTTATTAGAAAAAGACAATGAAAGAATACAGAATTTATTATTATGGAAAGATCAGGAACATATATTTTGGCATTGGATGGTAATTATCTTTTATTTTATAATAGACAAACAGTATTCTTAGTTCACTGGACTTCTGTTATTGAATAGAAACTCTACTTCAGTTTATAAATACCAGTTAGAACTATTCTAAATGGAGTTGGTTTGTATTAGGTTTCATAATGCAGTTTATTTGATGAAAATTAGTGTATGTTAGCCTTGCACTAGCTGCTATAATCTTGTGTTCCCAAAATGATTGCATTTGTGATTTAGCATACGGTTGCTGTTGCTCTAAAAACGTAAGACTTTGATCACTGAAAAATTTTCCATTTTAAAATATTGCATTCAGTTATCTTTAGAGAATATAACTTTTTCCATCTATCCTAATATGTGTTTGAATTGCATTACCAATCAGCTGACAGATCAAGTGAAATGAATTAAAATAATGATTTGTGCAAAATATCAGTATTGATTTGATTAAATTTGATTAAGCCTAAAACTAGTAAACAAAATGACCTCCACTTTAATCATGTCCCATGACTAATCAAAGTAACACATCAATCCAATTCATCACTTTTATTTAGACCAAATTCAAAAAGTTTTAGGTCATTTTAGTGAGATGTATAATTGAATTATATCTTGTTTGTTTTGTAAACTGGTTCCTAGACAGTCATTCAGATCTACATGAAATTGTTTAATCAAAATCAACAATAGTAATACATGGTTATTTGTTCGGTCTGTTTTGAAGGAAAGTGTACTTGAATTAAAACTAAGTGAAGAAGATATCTCTACATCGCATAGAGGAATACCTGTATATTTAAATCTACCATCTGATTGTAATGAAAGAATAAACAGTACAAGACAACATTTAGTAGAAACTATTTTACAATATGAAGATATAATAGATCAATTAGAAAATCTATGGACAAGAAAGGTTTGTACACTATATTAATTTTGTTTACCACCCACAACCAGTTTTGTTCATTGAGTATTTTTGTGACCCCCAGTACATGTGACTCTGGGTATAAAGAGCATTTTATTCAACGTACTTTTCCTATTGAGAAGGGTTGTGTGGCCGAATGGTTTAAAGTGTGCTTATTATATCACAAGGTCTGTCATTGAGTCAATTGGCACGGTTGACAAGGAGTAGGGTCGCCTGTCTAACCTTGTGGGTTTTCTCCAGGTCCTCCAATATCATCCCACTGCTAAAGACCTTATTGAATAAGATTGAACTATGTGTTAGTTCCAAAATGACCTAGTTTTGTTGAGTGTATGTTAAACCCCTCTTCCTATTGGATAGATGACACAGTTGGCTATTGATTTTGAAGGTTAAAGTTCAAGATCATCATTATGTTTTGTTTAAATGTAAAGTTAAAAACTCTAGGGAGAGCTCGATTGTCGTGTAACAGTTCTTAAAACAGATATGGTGTGTGTAGAATCATGAAGTGATCAAACATTTCAGCTATAATGATTGCTTGAGATAGTATCATATACAGTTAGAGCATGTCTTGTTATCCTAAATTATTCTGTTTACTCAATCGACACCTTTCCTGGGATTGAGAAAATTCGATTCCGGAACATTCATTTGAGCATCCTCTAATGAATGAAAACTTTCTGATCTATTTCAAACTTGCATTCTTATTAGACACAATACGAATGCAGATGTTCCAAGGTGAACGTTTGTTCAGAAACTTAAATTTAATTGGATTATTATGTCGCAATTATCTCCTTAAATCTCTCGTATATTGTAGCATGAAGATATCAGTGAACAAGATTTAGATAATTTATTGACATCCATCAATATGGAAATAGCACTACAACGAGCTAACTTATCACTATCTGCTACTGAAACTATGTTAAAACCTCCAAAAGAAACCAGATTTATTCTACAAGACAGAACAAAGAAAACTGCTGCCAGACAATCCAAACATCTGGCTCCTGCTTTTTCAATTGGACAAGGAGATGGTCAAAGTGTTGATATTAATGTAGCTATTGTTGATATTGAGAGACGTATAGAAAATTTAGAACATGATTTATTGGTTGATCAAGGTATTTGTAAAACAGAAGTGGAAAATCTGGCCAGTAAAATACCAGATACTATCTGTATTCCACCTCTAGCATTTAAAAGACGGGTTTGAATCTCAATTTTTTAATTGGAAAACCTTACATTCCTCAACATGATTACTCTATTTTACAAAAATCAAAATGTATAATTTTTAATTTATTTGTTTCTTGTCCATTGTTGTTGTTGAAATATTTTAGGTTTTTTAAACATTAAATGAAATTTAATATTGTAGATAATATTTTCATGTAATAATATGGAAGTTGCATTAATTTAATTTCACAACCTAGTTAGTTATTTAAATGAAATGAATAGTAGTATGTCAACCATAGAATTCACATTTTATTAAATTCATGGTTCAAGTCTCTGAATGTCATTTAAAGAATCCTTTGCAAACTACATATTGTGAAAATTGAATCTCTAAAAAGAATGTAAACCTAAAAAAACAGTCAGTATTCGCTATCATCGGCAGAAGATATAAAATGGGATATGGTAAAAAGTGAGCACCACCTGCTATTGTTTTTATGGCCGTCTTATTAATCCATTTGAAACCAAGTTGGAAGATTATCAAGTGTTGATGTTTTGATTTGTTAATTAAATGTTAAATAATCATTTTAAGTACATTTTAAAATGGATTAATCTGTGAAATATATATTTATATATATACATGTATATATATTTTTTTTTCTAAAAATGCAAATGATGTATAGAGACTTTCCATATTTTTCTGTATATGTTTTAGATTTTAATTACGAATAGAATTAAATATTTTAACAATTTAGGTAGATATTGCTTTGGATTAAAGATACATTATGTAAGATTTAGATCAAGAGCTGACCATTCTTGCTATAATAATTAAAAAATGGATAATGTAAAATGAAAATATTACAAATTTCATTCAAATTACTTCATTCTGAGCCAAGTTTGTAGCTTTGGCAAGATGTGTGCATAGTGGCAACCAGGGCACTGGTATATTCGAAACTTGACCTCGCTTTCCCATTTTTTAATTAAGTTTTAAAATGGTGAACCGTTCTAATCTACTTAAAATCTTGAGTATCCGATGCCAACGAGAGTTGATTATGGTCTTGTTTTGTTAATCAATGTCTAATTAATAGTTTATATATCATTTCAGGCCTAAAGAAAGACCTGCAATAGGCAGATTTAGCTCTTGCATAATGTATGTTTAATTATCATACACATTTGTATCATTCACTTTTGGTTTTGTACATAATCTAGTCAGCATTTTGCTCAACATAATTCTCACAGGAGTGTTAATATATTGTGAGGTTTTAAATGATGATTTTAAAGAATTCTTTTTGCAAAGAGTTTTCCATGTACCAGTTAGCATAAACCTTGATGAATATCCGTCCATGCACTCTTATTCATTGTAGTATGCCTTACACAGCCGTAAATGAACACTAATATCAGTTGAACTTACTTAAAGGGGCATTATGGCAGATTAGATAAAGAGTTGAAAGTTCTTGCTGTAATAGTTACAAAATAGAAAACATAAAGAGAATATGCTGAAAATTATTTCAGTCAAATTGCTTCACTCTGAACCGAGATATTAGCGATTGAATTTTAGGCCTAGTCTTTATCATCATTACTAAAGTCGGTACAATAAAAAACTAAAGTCTTGATTATCCATTTTGAGGTTAGTCATTCATCACAAAATGTATTCAAATCCAGTAAATATATCAGGCTAGCGATGACATAGAGAGTGGATTATGATCTGGATAAGTTAATTAATGTCTAATTAATAATTTAGAAAAGATTATAGGTCTAAAGAAAGACTTGCAATAGGCAGATTTAGCACTGGCATAATGTATGTTTATGTGAATGTTCAACCTCAAATGAGTATGTAACAGCTATCATTTATGTGCTAGTATTTGATTATAAATAGTCATGAATGTAATGTTCTCTTTTTATCTATCAAATAATGAAGCTCTTTAAAAAATCTGAATTGTAGTAATATTTATCTCAAGTATTAAAATGATCAAAAAACACAAAACTTTTTTGGGGGATGCCCCGCCAATCTATTTTAGCCATCTACAGCTCTGTCTGTAGTTGCCATGAGTCACAATTGTTTTTGTTATTATTATTGTTATATTTATTGTATTTGTTTTATGGAATATTATTTTGAACAATAAACATTCCAAAAAAATTGCAAAGTTATTCTCTTTTAGATAATGTTTGTCTTTTTTTTATTATAAAGCCCTGTTGTTACTGATATGCCATTAAACTCTGTCAATTCATTATAATTCTTAAGAAAATGAAGTCTAAAACTACAATCATGATGTTTATATGTCAGAAATCGTATCTATATTCAAGTTATATGGGAGGTTTAGAGAACAATTTTCTTATGAAAAAAAGGATTGTGTGATTTACAGAAAAATTCAACTAATTCATGTGGTGGAGACAGTAGGTTCAATTGCTAAAAAAATCCTTTGATTATAATTGTCAAAGATTATAGTAGGCAATTGATAGGGAATTATAACACCTCCATTCTTCCTAATGGATAACTTAATGTAAATCAGACATCTCATTAAAGAAAGTCCCATGCAAATGCCAATGGAATACAGTATTTCTATCTCACTTTTAATGTTCTTGTGACTTTAAACTCACCTAAAAGTCTTCTTCCTTGAGCATATATTCATTTTGATCTCTTTCTTGCTAAACACAAAGCAGCAGCAAAGAAATTTACATTCAAATAGAAAAGTCTAAGATTAAACTATATGTAGTTTCTCAATATTATGTCAGGTACACAAGGACTCGTTTTAACTATGGCATTATTGATGTAAAGGACACCTTGACAATTATAGGAAGTTCACTATACAAGCATTCAATTACGGTAAGCAGATTTCAGCTTCCCTTGCATTTTGATATGCTTGGTTGACTGAACAAGTATTAGCTGTTAGTTGAAATTTGAATATATTTAATGCACTTTCTGGATTAAATGGGCTAGTATAATGATGAATCCAATGGAGATATCCTGAAAATGACACAGATTGCAACATTACACAGATTTGTGGTTTGTCTTCTGGGTATCTGTTTCTTGAGTGTGGTGTTTTTCTCATGCACTTACTAGCAGAAGAAATGGACAAAATTTACTAATGCATATAAACATTTATGTCTTAAGAAAATAGCTGTTTATTATATAGATATATTCCATGTAGAATTTTGGTCAAATAATACATACATAAATATTATGAATTAAATAACAGACAAGTACTCTAATAAATAGTGTTTGTATCAAAAACATGTTTGCTTTTTGGCCATATTTAGGGTATAGGAGATTACTGAAAGTAAAACAAATTGGACATTAAAATCAAGCTAAAGAACAAATCAGAAATGTAATTCAAAAATGACAGCAGTTATAAAATACATGAGCAAATCATATATAAATGGGTTGGTGTAAAAGGCTTTCCTGCCCTCTGCTGTTCCCAAGCTCTGAACTAATAAATTTACAGGGTTTGGACTAAGACTGTCAAAAAAGATAAATCCTATCACAGTACAGGTTGTTTGCAATAAGTATTACAATACAAAATTTGGCATATTAATTGCTTAATTATAATATTTTCTGTTTGATTTTTAAAAATAATTTAATTGTATGGAAACAACTTTCTTTTACTTTCTTCATTAAATTTCATCAGCACAATGGTATAATAAAAGGATTTTGATAATAGACATCTTTTTTCTGTATTTTAATTTTAGTTTCATATTTTATTACACCATTCATTAATCTAATTCCAAAATTTTTAAAAAGTCCCCAGTCTTCATAGCCCAGTAGGAGCAAAACAGTAGGATGTTAAACCCCATTTCATTTAAAAAGTCCATAAATACATGCAGAATTGTTCCCATTCTAGGCTGATCTAATCAAAATAATGTTTTTCTTCCAGAAATGAATTTCATAATAGGCCTTCATGTTGCTGATCTAATCAAAATAATGTTTTTCTTCCAGAAATGGATTTCATAATAGGCCTTCATGTTGCAATACACCTGGTTATATTGCAATAATATATTGCAATACAATTCTGGGCTGCAATACACAGTTCAACAGCTTGGGGGTACTCGATTGAACATTCCGGAATTGAATTCCTTCAATTCCAAAAATAGTGACAATCGAGTGAAAAGGTGGATTTCGGGCTACAGTGCATGCGTCGACTGAATAAGTAAATATCTCAACCAACCGTGCAGCCGAAACCTTTTAATTACGTCATGATTCTACTCACACCACTTCCGTTGTTGGGACTGACAGAACTGTGACAGAACTGAATTCCGCGTTACTCGATTGCAATTCTGTCAATTCAGGACGTTCTTGACTGTGAATCGAGCATCCCCCTAGTAAAGGTTTGAGATTTGATCATCCAGTAAATAAAGGACCTACAGATGGATAGGAAATAAATGACCTAGTAGCCAGTTGGAAAGGAAATAAATAATCTACTGGATAGGAAAGTATTTTACACCAACCAGATATAAAACTATTACATTTTCCCCAAAATTTTGTTTGTATATACATTTACATATGCTTTTGATTATAAATCAACATTTATATAGAGATATAAAAGACATCTTTTGATAAAATCTGTAAACATTTCAACGAGAAAAAACAAAATATAACAATGACAAGTTATCTGTATACAAATAAATAATTATGAATATTCTCATTAATAACAAATTTTAGATTTCATAAATATAAAGCTGTAACATGATTTAAATATATGAATCATAGTATTTTGCGAAGTTAAGAGGTCTGTTTCATTCAATGAAGAGAACATGAAAATATCTCTTGCATTGTAAAACTATGGTTGAAAATTTATTACTAACTCTTTAAATTCTAGCTGAGGTATACCACAAACCTATTTTAGCATTGTAAGACAAAATAAGCCTCTTATCTCTTAACTTTGCATAATATATTGAAACCACCGGCACACATCATTGACAATGAATGCATGTCTGTAATATTTATATAAAGCTTCATGACAATTAAATGGAAGGTTTTATTGAAACAAAATGAACACAGAAGTGGTTCACAAGTTAAACATAACAAAAATGTTTTGTTTCTGAACTGCAAAATGATTTTACAACAGAATAATAACCTTTGAACTGGGGGTTTTCAGTTGATTTTATTTTTTTTTATTTTTTTTTTTTAACAAAAATTGCATATATATTTTCTCATCACATGACCACATACACTAAATTGCAAACCAACTTACACATATCACAATTCATTTAGAAAAATATATTACAAAAATATTTCATTTTTTACAATTTGAAAGGCATGACTTAATTGTTATCAATCCTTGGTGAGTTAGTAAAAAAAGAATTATTGGTTGCCAAGCATTAAAACTGGGCATTTTTATTCTTTTGTAGCCACTAGAGTCATTTAAAAGACACTAAAAACTAATCAAGGGCAACAAATAAGTAAAATTTGATAGGGTTCCTCGTAACACTATCAGAAACAAAATATGTACCGATGATAATCAAATATTGACGTCAACTATTCACATAATCAGATGTCATTGAAAATTAAAGGCTTTTAGGTCTCATGAACATAAACACAGCATAAATTCCAAGCAACTGTGGACAGACAGACAGACACAAAGTGGTGGCAACAATATCAGACCATATTTCTATAATTAGGATACATACATAGGCCAAGATATACATACATTGGTAGATTAAATTGAAAAAAACCCAAGATTTCCAGCTATAAAAATCTAATAGATCTACTACCAACAATACGCTATAAACAGTAAACATTGTAAAACGTTATAACTAAACCCTTACCAATAATATCTACATAAAATAAAATTAATATTGCCCTATAAACCTAGTTTATTTACATGTACATAATGTATTAAAAATCACTTTGACTTAAAGCCACAAATCAACATTTGCATTTTTCAAACACTATCTAATTTTTCGTAGCTTAAACGATTATGCTTAATCCAAGCTCAAATGTATTCAAATTGATTAATTATTTAATTATAACATCTAAATAAAATCCGAGTCAGATTGGATTCAATCATATTATGCTGTTTATTATGCTGAAGTTGCAAAATGTTCAATTGATCATAGTTCTGAAAGCAGAATTGAACCATTTTTGGTCTGATATTCCTTTCAGAGACTCAGCTTTCACAGTATTGTAGTTTGCAACGGATTCAAAATCCCTCAAATGACGATCGGTCGCTTTAATAATATTATTGTTATTATGAGGAATTTCTGAGGAGATATAAACCTGAGACTTAACTACTGCATCCAGTACAGTCTTTTGTTGTAGTAAGAGATATATTTCCATATCCTTTCAAAATTAAAATTGAGCCAAAATACTGTCAGAAATTCTACAAAAATAGTGACTGAAAAGAAGAAATTAATGAGGTCAGTTTTTATATATGAAGGATTATTCAAAACGTACATTAATATAATGTAATATTATTTTAAAAAACAGCAGATTAAACTTCAACTTGCAAAAGCAATAAAACATATTATGGCTGCATGAAGCAGAAGATAATATATGGCATTAATGTACATAAAGGCTGCGACATCCATTAAGTGAATTATTTTGAATAATCACCTTGGATCATGATTATTCAACCATATCAATAGAAAATTATTATTATTACAGATGCAAATATTGAAACTGATTCCTGCAATATTTTTGTATTGGTTTAAGGAATAAAGCCATGAAAACAACTTTTCTACTCCTGTAACATCTACTTTGGATCTTCTGTTGATCATCATGTAGGTTACACAGACAACACTCAAAAGATTTTGAGGTGAGAAAATTCACTAACTGGACAGTGGTCTAATAGGAAAGTATTTGACCTTACTTAATGCCATTAATAACAAGTAATGAGATGAAAACTGAACACACTTTCTATTGTGACTCAACCTATACAAGAATAATTGTGGGACGACATCTAACAGCACTAACAAAGGAGAATTCAGACTTTATCAGTATTGTTTCAATAGCATTTAGTAATTGAACAGGAATACATAGGTCATAATTCTATATCGAATACAATTACTGCCCATTATTGAGCGACATTGATAAAGATTAGAGAAGTCTAACCGAAACGTAATAAGCAGTAATTGTATTCCATATCATTGTGACCTGTGTATTATCAGTATAGATTGGGGCTTTTCGCATCAAAATTTTGCCAGGTGGTCAATTTTTGATGTATTTTGTTTAGAAAGATATTTATCATAGATTTTGGCAATTTTAGCATTATTCCAATTTTCTAATATAAATTTTTAAGTGTTTGTTCGCATAAAAACTATAAATTTAACTGTATTTATTGTATTTTAAGGTTAATTGACTGACAGGTAAGTTCTCCTGCTGGTCAATTTTGTTGCCGGTCAGTCAAGACTGACAAATATGACTTTGTCACTAAGAATTATGGCAAAGGTACCGTGAACGGATAATATGCACCAAAATATAAATGGATTAATAAAACAATGGAAGAGATTATATGAGGAAAAACAAATTTTTATAAACTATAATTCATCTTTCATTGGTTCTGTTTTATCTGCTGGATGTTGAGTTGTTTTATCTGCTGGATGTTCTTCTGTTGGTGTTTTATCTGTTATTGTGTCATCTGATTTCCTATCTTTAGCTGTATGATACAGACGTGAGTTACCCAACTGTATTAATTCAGCTCTAGCTTCTAATTCTTCAGTTTCCACTTCTTCAGGTCTGGCTTCTTGATCTCCCTCATAAGCTAAAAAATACAGGATTATATTTTATAGCCACATGTCAAATATTATAGATTTCTTCTTTTTTTTTCGTGATATACAGGAGATAAATGACATGTTTAAATATGACATTTTTCTCTTGTATATCAACCCGAAAAATGAAATCTAATTAATAGAAACAAAGCTAAATTCTTATATTTTCTTTTTAGATGAGAATATTTTTAAGGATTACAGTAAAAAGCCATTTATTAGTTCCTTTTTAGGTCCCAATTTCAGAAGTAAACTGTCAGACAACATCAACTGAAGATTATTTTTAATACATTGTGGGCCAATGGAACTGCATAACGCAGTGACTCTCATAAATTTTGGTTACTTCATAACTACACCCCACAACCACTGTCACCGATCAGATATTGTTTGCTGTGATTTCTACTTCCTTTGGAGGATTATCTCTACTTCCATTTCTACTTCCTTCAGAGGGGATAATATTACTTCAGGACATTGTAGGTCTTTCATAACTAAGATACCATATCAATTTAAAACCATAATGGCTATCCGTTTTCAATCTGATCGATTAGATATTTCCCACTTGCAAATATTTGAAGAAATTAGGAGGGATTCTGTGGTTTTCTTGTACAAAGTGAATTGTATATATTGGTATTTACCAGCATCTGATTAAGACTTCCAAATTAACTATGTATCTTGAAATAAAATCTTGCATAATAAAACCCTAAAGGGGAATCACATTCAAAAAGTCCAAAATACAGCATGACTTAGCAATATAATTGTAGGTGGACTTTACCAGTGTTTTAGAAAGAGTAAGTATAACTGCCATCACTATAAATGTAGATTATGAAAGAGAAACTTGGGTTTGATAGACTTACCATACCCTTAAAGTGCACATAAGATGGTCCCGGAAGATTTGAGATACGTGTAGCCAATGGTTACTATATCCACTTTACGGCAAGTTCACGCCAATCTGGTTGAAATTAATTCAGTTATCTTCATTCAAAGTCGTAAAAATAGACCTTCTGTAAAAACGGCTTTGCCAATTATCGAAAACACTCTTAATCCCCTCAGACGCCAGTGACGTCACAGTGACGGCGTGTGTATTCTTTAACGCCTGAACGATTCCTTAATCCCCCTAATTAAATAAAACAATTGACTACGGAATAATTTGTTTTGTAATTCATTTTAATTTAAGATCCAATTTAGAGTGCCTACAACTTTTAAACTTTGAAGTCCTGAACTCTTAATTAATTTTTTACAATATGGAACTTATTGGACGAACTTTTCCACATAAAGTGTAGTGTCGTTAATATCTGTCATTAATTAATCAATCCGACTATAAAAGTTATACAGGCATGGGTCATAAATAAATTTCAAGTTGGTGTTAGCAGTGAGTGTTAGTGGGATTAAGAATGTTGATTAGGTAATTATCTTTTTTTACGCCGGCCAGATCAAAGACATCACTCTCAGTGGAACGTGTGCGTAATACCTCACGAACGAACTAATGGTAGAATCATACACACACACATTAATTGTATAAAATAAATTAAGTTTTACTAATAAGTTGTTTAAAATTACAAAATACCCAATAATTATTGCTCACCGGTGTTTTTGTAATCAAGTAGCCTCGTATTGTTTGTTGATTGGCGTTTAAACAACATTTAATTGATGGATGGATTAACGTTTTTGATACGATTAGGTTATAATGTCTAACATCGGTTATCTTCTTTATAATAAAAGTATTTTACAATTGCATCTCCTATTTTAACTTTCATTATGACAAAGTGAGAAGATGACCCGCCCTCTCTTCCCACGACAACGATTTTCAAGCCATTTTTAAAACCGTGTTTTAAAGTGATTTTTAGATATACAAGAACTTTTAATTATTTTAAATCTGTTTTAAAGTGACGTTTAGATAAACAAGAACTTTTTATTATTTAGTGTTTTTACCTAACTTCTATTTTTTATTTAAGTAAATAACTTAATCAAATCAACCTGTCCATAATATCATGCATTATGTATTGGACGTTAAATTTGTAATAAACAACAACAACAACAGCATTGACAGTTTAATCACTCACCAAACGGCACCAGGAACTCCACGAATAATCCCGTGCAATTTTCGCGGCGAAGTTTAACCTCATTTACTACACCCGTAGTACATGGAACGGTACATGATAATAAGATACCAAGCGTTGATTGGCAGAGAAATGAGTGCGATCTATTGTACATGTTATGCATGGTCATCGGAAAATTCCATATTCACTGTAGTTGTTCTTTATGTATAGAAATGGTTATTATTATTATATATAGCTAATAATCAATATATCGACAAATGACTGGCACCATTTGTATTTCTGTACTTAAGTTTGGGATATCAAGTATTACGGGGTTATCCAAATTACCGGTAAATGCGCTAATTTCTTGAGTCATCTTCATTTGACACGTGGCCTTTTTAAACAAAGGCAGCTTAAATTGATCTACGGCATGATACGGCATTTTAAATTCACTCTAAAATATTCCAATCACAAATGTCTAATCTATACCAATGAAAGACGATAATTCGGTGATTATGATTAGGCCAGTCACGTGGTAATTGGACCGTCAATAGACGCTTGCCCAGTTGCCGTGTGTATTGATAGTGCTATATTGTACATACGGTGAGATATTGTATAGATAATGTATATCCAATGTGTAGTGCCTGTGACGTCATCAGCCAATCAACCGGATTAAGGTCGTAATTGAAAAATCGAAAAGCGTTTTGGCGTGTCGGATACTTAAACGTTAACAGCGGACTTAATTTTAATCAGATTGGTGTGAACTTGCCGTAAAGTTGATATAGTATCCATGGGCTATACATACATGAAATTTAGATTTTTGATCTTAAGTGGTCTTTAAGTAATGTCCTAGGATGCCCTGGTGACAACCGACCGTAAAACTTTTTAAATGAAAATTTAAGCCTGTTTGGTAAATAACCAAGTATCAGTAATTTAAATGTCAACAGAGTCCCCTCTACTTATAGAAAGTCCACGAAGAATGTACAAGCTCTAGCATAAGGATGAGCTCAGAAATATAAATATAAGCTGGCAACTGCACTTATTGGGGTATGTTACTGGCATACATCACATATATTACAGTAATTGTGTTAATAATGCTGTGTTTACACTGCCAACTTGTTATCAGTAAATTGGGTCCAACTTCCTGATTTGATCTGGTGGTGAAATGTTTCTCTGTCGATGACTTAGATTATTGACATTTAGTCGGAAAATACGACAACTTTAAAATCATACCAATTTACTGACAACAATTTATAGTCTAAACCTAGTAGAACCCAGACATCTTAAAGAGGCTTAATCTATATCTTACATATTTCTTCATTGTTAATGAGTTCAGGAGGTTGACCATGTTCAGCTTCATAATCCATCATAGATAAAAAGTCATAACTACGACCAGATGGTTTCCAGTCTCCATTTGGTAATGTTTCTAAAATATACAAATAAAAGCCTGTCTCACTTAGTTCTGTAATTTATGGTCTTGGGTGCCAGGCAGCAAAAGATACATTCACAAGTGTTATAAAAATATAGTTGCATCTCTACTTCCCCAAAAATTGGTTCATAATATTCAAGCTTCTGTTACAATGACAAGATTTCAAAACAGGAATCATAATTCCGGATGTAATCATTTAAAATCATTGAAAAGTATCAGGTTTGTTTCTCTCAATACCATTGATACGTATTCATTCCTTGTTTGTCTTGAGAGCTCTGCAATGAACATTGGTCGGGACAAAATAGCAAACATTGAGTAAGTGGTTGTCTGTTTATGCATACTGTTTCCCTTAAGAACTTCTAGAAAATATTATTTGAGTCTATCCGTTAACAATACATTCTGCATATTTCGATGCAATATAAAGGTTATTTTTGTCTCAACCAATAGTAAACTCAGTATGACTCTTCTGACTGTATAAGCAAAGGGCACTATTTTGTTCATCTCAATATACATTGTAGTCGAAGTGGAGATAATTTTAGATGGAAAGATCAAGACAATACAACCACAGATTTATGATGATAAGGGGAAGATGAGTTAGTTATGAAAACTTTTCAATCAAACTAGAATCAAGTTTTGACTAGCACTTACTTGATGGTTCAACCATTTTTGATAAAACTTCATTAAACCATTTTATTAATTTACTCTCTGAAAACTCAGTGCTGGCACCAGGATAATTATATACATCACCCTGTTTCATTGAAAAATTATATCTTTTATATGTTTTAAAGAAAAAAAAAGAAATATTACTCCTTGAATGCTTATATAGCTATCTGAATATTGTAACTCATTATTCAAATGTTATTCCAATATTCATTTCAATTCAAATGATCAAACATTTCTTAAGCATTTTTCAGATGTCTAGAAATTGTGTTTCATTCAAATCAATGTAACTATTATTTGATTATTTATTTATATTATTAAGTTTGAATGAATAACAAATATTTCTTTAAGATAACAACAACAACAACATCATAAGATTATCATTACTTTTATGTGCCACAGAATAAATTAAAAATAAATTCAAAACCAAAATATCTACTTGAATTTTGAATATTCATACACAAAATGATTAATATATTTTTTTTTATTTAGCAAAAAAAATTACACAGTAGCTTACATAATCTTTTACAATTAAGAGAAATATCAAATGAATATAATATTATTATTACCTTTTTATTATTTACAATAGATATAGCAGGTACTCTACTAGATTGTGTATATGAATTTAATATCTTTTCTCCTATACCACGATTTGATGTTCTGCAAAATAAAAACATATCTCATAAAATAGTACTAACTATAAATAAAGCATGGAAATTAGAAACTAGTTGAAAATCTTAAAACAACATATTTACAGAAACAGAGAATGACATCGTCGCCACTATCTTGGTATTGTGACATCAAATCAAAAATTAAAGTTTGTCAATCAATGTGCAATTGTCCAAGGAATAAGCATGCCTAGTTTCATGTTGATTGTGCTTGCACTAGTGGAGCCTTAGGCATTTTTCGAAAGAGCATTGCCCCCAAGAACAACAACAGCGAGTTAAGTAGCACTTGGGACCTAGTTCCAGGACCAAAAATCTTTATACAGAAATGACAGAAATTTGATTTCTTATGATTATTGAATCTTAATTGATGGTTTATACTTACATATCCATCCAGCAGAAAGTAAATTGCGTGAATTTACGAGATTTAGCTATATTGGCTAATGTTTCTTTTATATCACTACTAACTGGTTCATCTAAAAATAAAATAACTAATGGCTTTCCTCTTTTAAATAAATCTGGGAATCTGTATGCTGTTAATTCTGGCTGAAATAAGAAACCAAGTCACATTTAGTAGTATATACATCAACAATATGTAGAATAAAGTCAGTAATCTTAAAATGATTGATCTTTGTCAGGTTAATTCTCTATCCTAACCTATTTGTACTAAAAACAAATTTTTCAAATTTAATATATTATATGGACATAAATACATCTATATATATATATAAATACGGTATATAGCTTGTATGTATGGGTCTTTAGCAGAGGTAGAAAACCAGGGGAACCGGAGAAAACCTACGAGATTAGATATACGACTCTATTCCTTGTTACATACAAATGTGGTTAGACCTAAGAAAGAAACTTATTGTGTTGGGGGATATTTCTGAAAATACATACAGACAGAGAATTTATGATCACATGATGTTTACCTTTTACAAAAATTGCCTCACTTCCACATAATGTTTCCTATATCTTAAATATATCTTAAAGACGCATTATGATGTAAGAGCTAAATTTTCCTATTTCAGGGCTCTTTATTTCGACAATTGTTCTCATGATAAGCCCATAATCAACTCTCTAGGCCATTTGATGGTTTATATATTGAATGGATTAGAACCCACTCGTCATTTAATAATTTAACAATTGAGACATTGTTTATTTTCGGAACAATGTTACTATTTTGTCCAAACTTCAAACACTCATAACTTCGCACAACATCAAGTAATTTGATTGAAATTTTCAATATATTCATTTCTAATCATCTATTTTTTAACTATTATGGCAACAACGGCCAGTTCTTTATCTGAATCTTACATAATGTATCTTTAACAACTAATAATTTCAAACTTCCCTTTAATGTTTGATATTAAATATCTTTTAACTTACCAAAACAGGTAATCTATTATTTTCTATAAATTCTGCTATACTATCTGTACTAAAGTCTGATGTAAGACTGGAATCTTTTTGGAATGGGTCATTATGTCTAATAATAATAATAGCTGGAGATTTGGTTTTAGCTGTAGTACTATCAGTCACTCCAAATACAATAGTTTTCATGTATTGTTTGGCTATTTTAGAAAAGGCACTTAATTCTGAAATTAAAGGAGAATATCTTTTAAAATATATTTGGCTTTGGGGTGGCTGGCTACAAAATTTGGAAATCAATTAAATCAATTTTAAAAACTATATGGGGTGGGGAGGCCACAACTCTCCAGCAAAAAAATATCTTTGGAGTTAAATTTTGGTTGACTAATTCATATATTGGGTGAGCCTAGTAACAAATTAAAACAGTTTGTATGACAGCCCACAAGGTTATATCAATATTTTACATCAAAAGTTTCAATCGATACATCAAAAAGGATTGAACAGCCTTTAAATGTTGTTTTGTCGAACTTTGTATTCATCTTGACATTTGGGTTAAAATTGTCCTTCTTTTATTTCTTTATAATAGGCTTTCCACTAACTTTGATATTTTTTATATTTCTCCTTTTTATTGATAGACAGTTCTGTTCAATAATTTGATACATATTCAAATGTTTTCAAATGGTAAGTGGCAGTAGACTAGTTCCCGAAGAGATTAAATGAATAGAGATATTCAAAGTGTGTACACAGCTTTCTCCATCGCAAAATCTTGGCTATATCACTGTTTAAGGATATAACTTTGCATAAAATATTAAGATTCACAAAAAAATTCACTGCTAGAAAAGTACAAATACAAATTAGATAGTTCAATGAAACAAAATTCAATGAAAGAATAAAAACCATTTATACATGTAGATTAACTATTTAGTAGGACTGGAAAACGTGGAGGGGTACGGCAACACTCCCTTGAATAAGTAGAAAAGCTGGACAGGCTGGTACATCTGCGTAGGATCTGGATCAACAAGCCAACAGTGAGGCTGATGTCCCCCGCCGAAATAGGAAAATAATTAGAGGACACATATAAATTTATCACAAATTATCTTTTACAAAGTATTGAACAATCAAACAGTATATCTTTACTTATAGTCTAAGCATACAATGTTTTTGATGGAATAATTATAGCATATTAAGGGGAAAACATGCTCTATGCCTACAGATCTAGAGTTTGGTTGTATCAACGGGTCTATTTTCCATCTTGCTGCAAGTTGTGCAAAGTTCACTGTTTTCTTTCTGTCATTAAATGTCAATTCATTATTGCATACTACATATTTAATTAATTTATAATAGTTTCTTTTTCAATTTGTTTTTTCCATTTATTTGTTTATTTACCTTGCCTATATTCATTGTATTGGATTGTATTGGAATTGCTCAATTGATGCTTTTATCAATACCTGGTTATAATAATTTTGAACATTATAACTCAATTCGAAGGAGTGTGACGGACAGACAGACAAACAGACGACGGACGAACCCATTTTAATAGTCCCCTGCTTTCTTCGAAAGGCGGGGGACAATAAGCATACACACCAATTTTGAACATTTTAACTCAATTCGAAGGAGAGTTATTGTGTTCCAAAGTCTCAGCAAATCAAATTGCTTATCGCTCTGCTTAATCTGAGCAGAAAATGCTCATTATCGATCTTAGTCAAGGTATTACTGTAATGAAACTATACACCAAGTTTCATCACTCTCACTTAATTAGAACTAAAGTTATAGTGTCCCAAAGCATCAACCAATCAAATTGTTTATCTACTTAATTAGAACTAAAGTTATAGTGTCCCAAAGCATCAACCAATCAAATTGTTTATCTCTGCTTACCCTAAGCGGAACGGACAGACAAACAGACAGACGGACGAACCCATTTTAATAGTTCCCTGCTTTCTTCGAAAGGCGGGGGACAATAAGCATGAACATTTACTCAATTCGAAGATCAACCAATCAAATTGTTTATCTCTGCTTACCATAAGCGGAATGGACAGACAGACAAACAGACAGACAGACGGACGAACCCATTTTAATAGTTCCCTGCTTTCTTCGAAAGGCGGGGGACAATCAAAGTAGGAGAGTTATTGTTTTCCAAAGTCTCGACCAATCAAATTGCGTATCGCTCTGCTTACCCTGAGCAGAAAATGCTCATTATCAAACTTAGTCAAGGTATTACTGTAATGAAACTATACACCAAGTTTCATCAATCTCACTTAATTAGAACTAAAGTTATCGTGTCCCAAAGCATCAACCAATCAAATTGCTTATCTCTGCTTACCCTAAGCGGAAAATGCTCATCTTCGAACTCCATCAAGGCATTGACCTAATCAACACATACACCAAGTTTGAACATTCTAGCTCAATTAGGAAGAGAGTTATCGTGCCCCAAAGTATCAACCAATCAAATTGCTTATCTCTGCTTACCCTAAGCGGAAAATGCTCATCTCCGAACTCCATCAAGGCATTGACCTAATAAACACATACACCAAGTTTGAACATTCTAGCTCAATTAAAAGTTATCGTGTCCCAAAGCATCAACCAATCAAATTGCTTATCTCTGCTTACCCTAAGCGGAAAATGCTCATCTTCACACTCCATCAAGGCACTGACCAAATCAACACATACACCAAGTTTGAACATTCTAGCCCAATTAGGAAGAGAGTTATCGTGTCCCAAAGCATCAACCAATCAAATTGCTTATCTCTTACCCTAAGCGGAAAATGCTCATCTTCTAACTCCATCAAGGCATTGACCTAATAAACACATACACCAAGTTTGAACATTCTAGCTCAATTAGGAAGAGAGTTATTGTGTCCCAAAAAGTGTGACGGACAGACAGACGGACAGACAGACAGACGGACGAACCCATTTTAATAGTCCCCTGCTTTCTTCGAAAGGCGGGGGACAAAAAATGATGCCGGCGGGGCGGAGTAGTAGAATATTTTCCCTCCAAATATCTTATACTTTGGGAAGCCGCACATCAAGATTTCGGAAAAGCACTCACGAGAATCCTATCCAACTATTGGAAAGAAAGAAAAACCGACTTTTCCCTCCAAACAACTTATACTCTGGAAAGCCGCACATCAAGAATTCTGAAAAGTACTAACTAGAATCCTCGCCAATTATTGAAAGGAAGATAAATCAACACACACTTGGATTTTATTTAGAAAACCTATTTTCCTCCCGAAGAAGAATAAATATCACCAATACGTACCAGATTGAGGAATATCTATATAAAACCTAATCGACACCCTAATTCTACAGCATTCATTTTATACGCTAGATTCTAGATAAACTGTTTTTCGTACAACCTCGCCTTTAAGCCTCAACTACCTTATCTTCACTTAGTATATCCTTCTCCCGTGGCCCTCTAACTACAGAAACTATATTTCATAGAGGTGACCAACAACCCATCTATTTAACCTGAATACGATCCACCACTCATCATTATCACCGATTTCACGATCCAAAAACTACATAATTACTCCTTTTAACTCTATACTCCGCTAACCACACAACCTTCAGTCCAATCGTAGCAAACCCCTTACGTATTCTAGTCTTTTATTCCTCCTCTGCACGTTTGAAGACTAGGAGGTTCCGGATGACCGAGACTATACGTATCAACTTATCCTATCAATACAGAAGAAGATGAAACAACCACCGCCTCAGCCATCCTGGAGTACATTATCTACTATTCATTTTAAATCGCTCCATAATTAGCAAAGAAAAAGAAGAAGAAACAGCCGTAGCCACAGCCATCCTAGAAGACATCAATGATAATTATTTTATTTAAATCCGCGATAATCGACCTATTCTTTGTTATTTTAAAATATTAAATCTTTACTTATTTTTATAATTATATTAATAATTTTACTTATTTAACAATCTTTAATTTAATTTTTAAAAATCCTTTTTGTACATACAAATAAATTTAACGATCCTCGTTTTTAACAATCCTTAATTTTAACGATCCTTTTCTTTCAAACCAATCATTGTACATTTATAAATTTAAAAATCCTGTGATGTCATCTCTTTTGTTTGTATATAAGGCGTCACAGGATTCACAAAAAATCATTCTCGAAAAAGGGTATTGCACCCGAAACGTTGGATTGATATAAAGATCTTTTAAATCTACAAGTCTGTTGCTGGTTCTGTTTGGCGGGGATTCTTTAATTTTATCTATTTAGTAGGACATGCGGGGGATAGGGGAAGGAGAGAAATATTTTGATTGTAATAATACCTACCTGTTTTATGAGAAGAATCAAAGACACCCAATATACTAGTATTAGTTAGTTGACTTATGTTTGCTGGTAATCTACCGTCTATAAAATCCATCACCTTTTCAGATGAATGCAGTTTTATTGGACTACCAATTTGCAATCTGCAAAGAGAAAGTTCGACATTTCAAAAACATTTCCAAATATAAATTCCAAGTTGTCTTGATCTATCCTAAAACTTGATATGACTGGACCTCTTTAATTTTGGTCAAATATAAAATTATCAACTTCACTTCATTCGTTTTGTAGGATGACAATTAGTCTTTGTTGAAAAATCTACATCTATTGATAAAACCAGTGTATAAATATAACCAATTTTATGTTCCACTATCATAGGTTTGCAGTCAAAGAAACATGCACCCACAGCAGTTAGTTCATCCATGCAGTCCACAAGGGCTGTCACATATTTATTGTTTTGTAGGTAATGGGAGCATTTAAAAGGCATTCAAAAAGAGTAACAATCCATTAAGTAATATTGCAAGAAATAATTACAATTTGATTGGCTGCTAGTTCTTCAAGATGATAAAATTTATCATACAAAACATTCACTGGCAATGATGATAAATCTAGCTGTTTGATTTGACAGAAATCATTGAAAATAAGAGGTCTGAGTATTAATTTCAAATCAATCAGAAAATAACACCACTAGAAGGCCCATAAGATTTTAAAAACTGATAAAGGGTTATAACTCTGAAAGTAATTCTAAACTTTTTATTTCTTAAAAATATATTTATAATCTTTGGTATCTGCAAGTTTTTTCAAGGTGGTCAAAGGCAATAACTCTGGAAGTAATTAATGTAATGATCACTGTCGGATAAAAATAACATCTATCCACAAGATTTTTTAAAGTGATCAAGGGTCGTAAGTCTGGCAAAAAGTATCAGAAATCGCTGAAAATCAATGGGAGTCTTCTGCCTATGTCCTTAAACAGTGGGTATCAATATTACGGTAGTTATCAAGATTTTTCAAAGTAATCAAGGATCATAACTCTGGCAGTAATTATTGGAAATCGTTGAAAATAAGTAGGATTCTTAGTCTCCTGGCCTATAAATTAAAGGTCAATCGGATCATAACTTGATCCGACAGAGCGAGAACAAGCAAATGTGAACAGGGTGACGACAGTATACGACCACATTTCAAAATTATCTTTAATTCAGATTCAATACAATGCAAAAGAATAGCAAATAACTGAGAGGTGGTATAAAAGGTTCTAGAAAAAAGTAAGCATACTCTGCTTCATCAACAACACCAGTCACTACAGCCAAATGAAGCAACAGTTTAGACTTGAATATATACAATTAAGAGAGAAGTAAAGTATGTATTTCAGTGCTAATTGATTCCTATAAACTTCAGGCAATTCTCTGCTGAATACAAGATATTATTTTTTATGACTGACTGGTCAATTGGATGTTTAGGAAATATGAATATCAGAAATGGACAGTTCACTTATAAAACTAATATCACTTGGTAGTAAAATTTGTTGAAGAGTTAGATAGCTAGGATAATACACCCACCCTAATATTTCTACTTTTAATAATTAAATAAAATGTATATGAGCATTAATATATCATATATTCCATATATAAAACAAAACATGGTTAGTCATTTATCTATAACACAAAAGAATTTGTGAGGCAAGCAAAAATATTTGCATCTAATGAATTCATATGGTATTGTAGGTACAATTTAATAGCTTTCGTTTTACTTTTTATTTTGTGCTATATTAAAATTTGACATACTTGTTTAAAGTCGCCATACAGATGATGTGAACTTCTTTAAATATGGTATTGTCTGTATTGGTTTATTGTAGTAAATTATAGGAAAGAATATATGGGAATGTTTTTGTTCGGTTTTGGAATATGCTTTTTTGATAGACATGTTACTCTTGTAGGAAGAGAATCGTTTCAGTAGAAAATTAGTTAGATAAAAATGCTGTGTCAAAAACAAAAACCTCAATTTAATTTTTAATAGTTATAAGCAAACTTTGTATATTTATTAATTTATGGATCCAGACCATGTACTTTATCTTTTTTAATTTATATATTTCAAGGCTTCAATTCATTTGTGTTGTACTTTGCATTCTAAATTTTGTTTGGACAGTGTTGCCTCCATAAACACTGGCCAGTTTTGACCATATAGCTGTGATGGGTGTCATGAACAAATTAATGTATGCTTATTCTTTCCCAAAACCAGCGGCTGCCAGGCAGGATATGCCCACATTTTCGAGAGATGGATAGAAAACAAGCTAAAACGAAAGTGATTTTTCCTACAATCAAGGGCCATAATTCAGGAAATTACAATTCGATATGCGCAAATATCGAAAGGAACCAAGATCTTTGAGTTATAAACTTACATTTCAAATTTCAACAAAATCAGATAAAAATTGTGACCTCTATAGGGTCCACAACCTTAATATACCATATGTTTACGCAATTTGAGAACGAGGGGCGGCCATTTTGTCTGTCAGTTTTGGGCCGATTTTTACGAAATTTGAACTCAGTCGTCCTTAGGGTGTAACAGTGATATAATAATACGTTTTTTTAAATCGGATAAAAATTATGACCTCTATAGGGTCCACAAGCTAAAAACGCGATTTTTCGTACAATCAGGGGCCATAATTCAGTAAGTTACGTTCAGATTTGCACGAATATCGAAAGGAACCAAGATCTTTGGGTTATAAACTTACATTTCAATTTTCAACAAAATCGGATAAAAATTGTAACCTCTGATATACCATATTTTTACGCTATTTGAGAACGAAGGGCGGCCATTTTATCTGTCAGTTTTTGGATGATTTTCACGAAATTCGAACTCAGTCGTCCTTAGGGTGTAACGGTGATATAATAATATGATTTTTTTAATCGGATAATAATTATGACCTCTATAGGGTCCACAAGCTAAAAACGTGATTTTTCGTACAATCAGGGGCCATAATTCAGGAAGTTACGGTCCCATATGCGCGAATATCGAAAGGAACCAAGATCTTTGGGTTATAAACTTACATTTCAAGTTTCAACAAAATCGGATAAATATTGTGACCTCTATAGGGTCCACAACCTTGATATACCATATTTTTACGCTATTTAACAACGAACGGCGGCCATTTTGTCTGTCAATTTTGGGCCGATTTTCACGAAATTCCAACTCAGCCGTCCTTAGGATATAACGGTGATATAATAATAAGTTTTTTTAAATCGGATAAAAATTATGACCTCTATAGGGTCCACAAGCTAAAAACGTTATTTTTCATACAATCAGGGGCCATAATTCAGGAAGTTACGGTCCGATATGCGCGAATATCGAAAGGGACCAAGATCTTTGTGTTATAAACTTACATTTCAAGTTTCAACAAAATCGGATAAAAATTGTGACCTCTATAGGGTCCACAACCTTGATATACCATATTTTTACGCTATTTGAGAACGAACGGCGGCCATTTTGTCTGTCAGTTTTGGGCCGATTTTAACGAAATACGAACTCAGCCGTCCTTAGGGTGTAACGGTGATATATTAACACCGTTTTTTAAATCGGATAAAAATTATGACCTCTTTAGGGTCCACATGCCAGAAAACGCGTTTTTGCGTACAATCAGGGGCCATAATTCATGAAGTTACGGTCAGATATGCGCGAATATCGAAAGGAATCAAGATCTTTGTGTTATAAACTTACATTTTAAGTTTCAACAAAATCGGATAAAAGTTGTGACCTCTATAGGGTCCACAACCTTGATATACCATATTTTTACGCTATTTGAGAACGAATGGCGGCCATTTTGTCTGTCAGTTTGGGGCTGATGTTCACGAAATTCGAACTCAACCGTCCTTAGGGTTTAACGGTGATATAATAATACGTTTTTTTAAATCGGATAAAAATTATGACCTCTATAGGGTTTAACGGTGATATAATAATACGTTTTTTTAAATCGGATAAAAATTATGACCTCTATAGGGTCCACAAGCCAAAAAACGCGTTTTTACGTACAATCAGGGGCCATAATTCAGGAAGTTACGGTCCGATATGCGCGAATATCGAAAGGAACCGAGATCTTTGGGCTATAAACTTACATTTCAAGTTTCAACAAATTGGATAAAAATTGTGACCTCTACAGTGTTCACAGGCCAAAAACGTGATTTTTCGTGACCTGTAGACTGTTCACAAACAATTGTGGACGGACGGACGGGGGCGACGACAATATACGTCCACATGAAAATGTGGGCGTATAAAAACTAATACCACTTGCCACTAGGATTATCTGTGAGAGAGATGTCCTGTGACATGTTTGTCTGACTGATAGATTTGTATTTGTTTATTCTGGTATTTTGGTAACAGTTTTCTGTTCTGTATATTTGTTAATACTAGGGTGGGTGGTGGGGTAATTTCAGTCATACATTTGTACAAAGTAAAGTAAAAACTACATATCTTCGGCGAGGAATTAAAAGGTTGTACCTTCAGAACCAGAATTTTTTTGCGCATCTTTCAACATAGAAATACAACATTTTGACATGATGATTTAATTTGATATCATGTATCTTAAAAGCTGTTTGGTTTTTGGTTCTCCTATACAAATTGACAAAATTCAGATCCACATATTGACTCTGCAGTAACGATTTATTTCTTTTACTTACAATCTTATAGTTCTGACAACAGCTTGTGTGTCTAATAACCCATTATAGTCTTCTATGTATTTTCCCTTTTTAAATACACGTATAGTAGGGTAGGTAAATACATTCTCTTTACCACAAACATCTGTCCAATCATAACAATTCATTCTAGCTAATACATTCGGTGTAGAATTGTCAACTAATAATTCAGAGGCTTCTCCATAAGCTCTTAAAAAAGCCATACTTTTAGCATCAACTAAAAAATAAAATAAAAGATAAGCTGTCACAGCTGCAGGACAGAGAACCTGACAAGAAAAAGTACCTAGTTTTAAGGATGGAATGAGAAAACAAGGTCACTTGTATACCATTGACAGCAGTGGCTGCCCTCTGTTTGTCCCCCCCCCCCCCCCAATAACTTTAGAAAATAAAAAAAAGTATTTGTGGTACGTTTCGGTAATCAATACCTTCTATGGTGAATAAATCTCACATCCCCACTCAGTCATAGACTTGCAGATTGTAGAGCATTTCCGACAGTCAATTTTTCAAAATTTTCTTGGGGAGGTCCCCAATACCCCACACAAGGACTCGCTACTTTGGCGCTCATAAAGGGAATTCGTTGAGGTTCGCATATCTGTTCGTTTGACATTTTGTTCTCTGGTCAGATAAACTAGTGATCAGGCGACGGACGGTATTTGGTCAGATCTATTTATCTCGACGATTGGTGCCTCCGTAAAGACTCCATACTTTGATGCTCGTGAGTGGGCTTCGTCGAGGTTCGCAAGTCTGTTCGATTGACACTTTAACTCAACTATCAGTGCCTGAAATACTGAGGCTGCATTTTCGGCAACCTGTTTTTCAAAATTTTCCTGGGAGAGCCCCCCCCCCCTCTAGTTGAAGCTCGTGCCTTCGCCCCCTTAAACTTGGACTTTGCCCCAGCTTTGCCCCTCCAACCATCGACGGCTGGCACTGATTGACAGTACATTAAAGATCCCCTTTATATGATTGATAACGACTTGTGAAATCTTGTTGAAACATCGCAGTGAAATAAACCATAGTAATTGTTATCCATAAATAGTGTGTTATTTGATTATGTTCCAATTACTAAATGCCATTTAAAGAATGGATTTTGTAGGTTGATTTGATTTGTGAGACATGTGCAGATAAAGCCAGTGTTGAGATATAATTGATTCTGTGTTCCACTACAATAATATTGTATAAACTGTTGAAGCAAAAGTTGAATTCTATAAAGCTCTATCACTAATGTAAACCAGCAGCTGCCAGGCAAGATATGCTCACATTTTGCAAGAGATGGATAGAGAACAAGCTAAAAACAAAAGCGATTTTTTGTACGCCGTACAATCAGGGGCCATAATCCATAAGTTATGATCTGAAATGCACAAATAGCAAAAGAGAGAGAGAGAGAAATGGGGTTTAACGTCAACTCGACACAAACTAGGTCATTTCGGGACTAACATATGGTTTAATTTTATTTACATAATTCGCTTGCGTGTAGGGTTCTTTTAGCAGTGGGAGGAAACCGGAGGACCTGGAGAAAACCCACGAGGTTGGACAGGCGACCCTACTCCTTGCCACGTACAACCGGGGATTCAAAACCACGCCAGTCAACTCAATGACAGACTTTATTATACAGCGCGCGCACGCTAACCATTCAGCCATCCAACCCCCCAAATAGCAAAAGAGACTGAGATCTTTGGGATATAAAGATGTTTTAGGTTTCATCAAAATCGGATAAAAATTGTGTCCTCTAGAGGGTCCACAACCTTCGTATTACATACTTTTACACAATTTGCATACAAAGTGCGGTCATTTTATCAGGCAGTTTCATTTCGATTTTCCCGAAATTCGAATTCAACCTTCATTATGGTGGAATGGTGATAATAATACACTTAAACGGTTTTTAACATCGAACAATAAATTATGACCTCTAGAGAATCCACAAGCTAAAAATGTGATTTTTCGAACAATCAGGGGCAATAATCCAGTAGACGTGGCGAACTGGATGTATGAGATGTGTTGTTGACGTTTGGGAAAGTAGGACGAGGGGAAATGTGTAGGGAGTGAAGTGCTGTAAAGGGATAGTTAGATGTATTATGAATGGTTAGAGTGGCTGTGGTGTTACGGTGAAATACTATGCCGCCACCGTAACACCACAGCTTTATGATTTGTTAGACAGGAGTGATGTAATGGGTGTCAACAACTGGGTATGCTGGTACCGTCGCAACGTAGCCGTGAAATATATATTGTGGGGGGGGAAGGGCGGAAACGGAAAAATATACAATGTTGACAGTATGTGCCAGGCATGAGGCTGCGCAGACCGAGCGGCAGCTCGATAGGGAGTGTGTGGGAGGGTCACCCTCATAAAAAATTTTTTTTTTAAATTTCAGTTTTCTGTAAGCAGTGAAAACACTATTTTGGCATTGTTTGCGGGGTTAAACCTAAAAATCACATTAATACACCTATTGCACGATATTGTGAAACTAGCTGACGAAGACAGCTCGGGCGGCGATTGTTCGACTCGGGGCTGCTCTGTCAGTATCTAACAAACGCATTTAGTTCGCGTATTTCTCACATAATTGGTTATCGCAAAAACAGAGTAAACTGAAAGCGAGTAATCTCGACTCAAACCTATAGTCTATAGCCTACTTACTACACTCGTCACTAGGCTTCCTATATTATTGTTTGTGGACGGTTTACTACTCAGTGATAAGCCTGCGCCGCAAAAAGAGGTCTCGCCTTTTATTATTAGTATAATGACTTCCTCATGTGCGGCAGGTTAGTTTGCTTCTAAAAACACTGTTTTCCGTTCCCAAAAATACAAAAGTAATTTTCTACCAGATGACCATGGTTCTTTTCACCGAGACTAGATAATTTCTCTTGGTGTAAGGATATAGCTATGGATAAGTTCATACAAGGTCAATAAATCCGCGGTCACTTCGGGTCACACTGTTGAGAAAATAAACCGATGGGTTTGTTTAGTAGCAAATCGAGCGTGAATCAACTGAGTTTGTACTGAAAAATTTTTGAGTGATATGTATGAACTGTCTTCACATATTCGGTTTATAATTAGCGATACACAGGTACAGTGGCAAGTGTTGTACTTCACAGACTGTTTACCTCCGAACTACCTCCGCACGAAATCCCCGATTTGGGTACTTGTTAAAAGAAAAAGAAATAGTACCTGTGCGCATGCCAGTAAAAAAAACCCAAGAGTTCGCGCATAAAATGCCCGAACGTACCAGGCGCCAGGTCATCTAGGACGTTACATTTGGAAATGCTCGATTATTTAAAGGAACCAAGATCTTAGTGTGTAACTGTGATATTTTTACACATATTTTTAAATGAGATAAAAATTGTAACCTCTACAGGGACCACAAGCTAAAAACATGATTTTTCCTGCAATCAACAGCCATAATTCAAGAAGTTACGATCCGATATGCGCGAATATCAACAGGAAGCAAGATCGTTGGGTTATAAACATGTGTTTCAAGTTTCATCAAAATCGGATCAATATTGTGATCTCTAGAGGGTCCACAAACTTGATATACCACATGTTTACATTATTTGCATACGAGGGGCGACCATTTTGTCTGGCAGTTTTGGTCCGATTTTCACGAAATTCAAACTCAACCAACATTACGATGTAACAGTAATATATTCAAACATTTTTTTTTAAATCGAATAATAATTGTGACCTCTAGAGGGACCACACGCTAAAAACACGATTTTTCATACAATCAAGGGCCATAATTCAGAAAGTTACGATCCGATATGCGCGAATATCGAAAGGAACCAAGATCTTTGTGTTATAAACATGCATTTCAAGTTGTATCAAAATCGGGTAAAAATTGTGACCTCTTGAGTGTCCACAAGCTAAAAACGTGATTTTTCGTACTATCATGGGTGATAATCCATGAAGTTATGGTCTGATACATGGCAATATCGGAAGAGACTGAGATCTTTGGGAGATAGACCTATATTTCAAGTTTCAGTAAAATTGGATAAAAATTGTGACCGGACAGACGGATGGACGGACAGGGGCGACGGCATAATACATCCACATGACAATGTGGCCGTATAAAAACACATCTGATCAATCTAATTCAGAATTTTATTTTTACCTAAATTGAAGAAGTTGAGCTCATTTAAAAACCCATATTAATAAAGATAAATGCAACAACTGTTGTAGACCTACAGTTTGTTGTAGTAGTAAAAAAAGTGTTCATAGTTAAAAGGGACATAGACCAAAAATATTAGTGTTCGACACTTCATGTTCTTCTGTGCCATCAACAATTTATTTTGGAGAAATTATATATATACTTACATGGTATATAAAATAGAACCATAAGTAGGCTAGAGTTTGTTATTGTTTGAGAATAAGTTTGATCTGTTAATGTTGATACAGTATTTAAAGACATAGCTTGTTTTGCTAATCTAAATACAGAATCCGCAACTTGATCATCTTGGGTTTCCACTGAAAATAAATCAAAACAATAGAATTTTTTATTGATTGCATGAATTTACCATTTGTGAACTATCATCATTTCAAATAATGGGTATTTCTACATGTATTTTTACAGGACTCCTTTATATAATGTAAAACACACAGAAAAAAAAAGTTAAATCAAATAATGGAATTTGTTACTGATTGTATAGTACTATCTTGTACCAGCAATGAATTCACCATTTCTGATCTTTTCTTAATAAAAATGTTTAACTATATCAATTTGTTAAATAATAGTTATTTCTATTTTCTAATGTCACCTTTTTTATCACTAATGTTAAACATAGACAAGCTAAATCAAAATAACAGGATTTTGTATTGATTGCATTATACTATCTAGTAGCAGTACTAAATTTACAATTTCTGGACTGTCATTACTTTTGATGAAAATTCTAAACTATATCAATTTATTAAACAATGGTTATTTCTATTTTTTTATGATTCCTATTTTAAATTTCACGCAAACGAAGAATGTTCAATGCAACAGACCAACATTTGTTCAAAAGAGACAGACGATGATGTCACATGATTGACCCAAACATCATGTGCTCACAAAATGGCCACGTCAGCCATTTCTGTACAACGTGATTGCAAACATTGTTCGGCCAACAAGTGTTTGTGATGAGATCCAACGCACACTGACGTCAGAAAACATTGTTTGGTCAAAAGATGTTAGCTGTTCTGTGGTGAGCTAAATGTTACACACAGAAAAAAAAATCCAATAAAGCAAAATAAAAATAATACAATTTTTTTTTGATTGTACTGTCTAGTACTGATACTAAATTTACCATTTCTGAACTATGATTATTTCAAAAGAAAATAACATTTTATTTTTTTATTTTTACATGACTCCTTGTGTACTATGAAAGTTAAACACAGAAAAAAAATCCAATAAAGCTATATCAAAATGATGGAATTGTTTATTGATTGTATTGTACTGTCTAGTATTGGAACTAAATTAATTACCATGAATATCAATTATTTCTATTTTTATATGACTCCTTTTTTATTACAAATGTTAAACACAGCTTTATGAATATAATGATTAATATAAAAAACTTGTGTAGTCTGTACACATTTTTTAAAAAATTTCATTGATATATTTCACTGCCACAGATTCTGTATTTATCGTACACTTTTCTTCATAAAGCAGATAATTTTATCATTATTGTGCTCAGCAGTGTAGTAAATAACTGTTTTGAATTAGATGAAACATTTCAAATTGCATGCTTGCCTATGGTGACATATTGCCAAATCTCTTTTATGAAAGATTAATCAGACTTATAGACATGATAATATTGACATTTTTATCAGTAGTAATGACTAAAATGAGAAATTAACCACAGAAAAGAAAAACTTAAGAAAGCTTTGCACACCTTTAAACTACCAGTAGCCATCTTCAAGTATGTGCTGACTTGGTGATTCCAAAGGCTATTACATGAATTTGTACATACTGTTTTAGAACAAAGTCAAACACTTTACAGTTCAAAATAAGGATGATAGTACTATATGGTCCAGGAATCGAGAATGACATCTTGGAATTGTGACTTCATATCAAAAATGAAAGTCTGTCAATCATTTCGATCCTACATGAATTGGTAGGGGCTAAGGTTTTATTTTGAAATACGTTGCCTCTAAGATGAACAACATGGTAAGTAAATTCTGGTCCAAAAATCCAGAATAATAGTGCAACAACTTTGTATAAAATTGGATTATTCTCATACAATATAATAAAATGTCTCTCTAAAACTAATAATTAAAACTGACCATCTTCAATTGACGGTAGATTATATTTTGTTCTATCATTATTATCATCATTTTTCATATCAATATATTCTGTATCTGATGGTGGAACACTTGCTTCACCATTAAACTCAGGTTTTGTATAAAGTATATTTTCTGTTATAAATTCAGCCACTGTGTGACCTGACCATTCACTTGCCATAAATCCTACATCATCCTGAAAATAAAGATGAAAGAAAAATACATATATACTAATAATACGTGCAAGTATACCTGTAGTAAAAAGTCTTGTTAGGAAACCATTTTGGGCCGCCAAATGATATATTTTCAAATCAATTCAAGAAAATGTTGACCATAATAAAATAACATTCCGTAATAGACACTGTGGGGAAATTACACATTGTTGGGGTTTGTTTTGTAGCCAAAATGCAAGATTTGGGTGACGTTATTATTTATTTTATTCTCAGTAATCTACATTTTATTACCAGTCTAAGAATACCAATCTGTCCTGTATCACCTTCATAAGTTTCAATTTAAACTGGGAGTTATCTTAAAATTGGTTGTTTTTGATTGTAAACTTTTTATTTTGCTTGCATTCTAAGGGCCTGTAGAGCTTTCACAAGACCCAATGGATTGCAGAGAGATGTGGTTACAACATAATGCCAATATTAGATTTGAGTCACAATCTGATTAAAACACAGATCCTATTTCGTTTCGTTTCTTATAGTTCAAAATTTCATTTTACCTGTCTTTACCACACTAGGATCTGGAAAAGTTGTTAGATAAACTATGTTCTGGTTGATGTGAGGGATTAGCCAATCAACCGGTTTGTTGTGGTAAGTTCTTGGCATGCTGTGCACAGTTCTGTGGGTATCCCACTAGAAACATCAACGCTGATTGGTTAATCAAATGTCTGACATCATAGGGTCAAAAGCCACTTGTATGACCCTTGATGTGACCTCCCACTACAACCGGTCAGATCTTCATGTAGTGGAGGCTGTCGAAAGTGTAAAGAAACGTAACGAAATATAGATCTATATTTTAATCAGCTTGATTTGAGTCACTGCATGATTTATCTTGGTAAATAAAGAGAAATGTTTCTAGTACAATGTCCATATTTGATGTTATTGTGGGTTTCTGCATTATTTATCTTGGTAAATAAAGAGAAATATTTCTAGTATCTAATACTCACTTCGTCTGCTCTTTTCAAACCAATACCAGGTAATGTCACATGACTATATTTATTTTTAACCGGTTCTTGGACAGAATTCCTAAGAACAACAAAATTTTAATAACACTATATAATAGAAAAACGATAGAGGCCTGTGTTATGGTAATCTTTCTAAGTTTTTTTTTTCAAAAGTTCAATATCAAAACGGTTACACCAATCACACCTGGAACAATTCTAATCTTTCAAACAGAAAACAACTATAAAATCTAATTGCCAAGCTAAAATAAAATGGATATTTGTGCGCTTACTAGTGATTAAAATATAAATTTTGTGTTTGAAGACAAAAATCACCCCAGCTGATATATAAAAACTAATCTTAAACATTTAACCATTTTTATGCAAGCAAAATAAAAATTATTTTGTGTACTAGTATTTTTACTTACATGTTTACAAGTACTATTCCTACTATACCATGAAAGAAATACTTATAGTTTTGTAATACTCCGTCTATTTCTTTTTGTGTGGCTGTATCATATACCAAATAAAGACAGTCTAAATTTTCTTTTGCATATGGTATCATCTCATAACCATTGTTTATAGTAATCTACAAACAAACATGTATCAATATCAATATCAATCAACAAACCAACATATATGAGTATTAATATTGATCTACAAACCAATCATGGGTTTCCCTATCAAAGAAATCATAACAAATAGTATTTTGACTACGAAATAAATAACTAACGATAAGACAGAATAAATTCTTAAATAGTGTGATAATATTTAAATAGCATAAGCTATGACCCATTTTGATAGAAAATTGTGACTAACGATTCATGCCCCCAATATGAGAATGAAGCTGGTGTATGGTCTGTCGACTGGCAACCTATTTTTAAAAAGCTATACAAGCACAAAATAAACTTACAAATTTAGGAAGAGTCATGGATCGTAAATATTTAGCTAACGATGGTAAATCCATTTTGCCTTTATATTTAACATCTATACAATTTCCATAGCTTTCTGTTATATCCTTACAATGTAATGCCCAAATAGCTGCCATAGATGACTGACTTATTTGGTCAGATTCTCTGTAAAAACAATAGTACATTTGAAAATAGATCTGTTTATAACATTTTTACTACCCTTGCTTTGTTCCTGGATCAGTGCCGTATTATCCTAAAGGCTGACTATTGAAATATTTTTTCAAACAGGTGGAGCCATGTTGGCTCAGTGAATATTGCGCTGGCTCAGGTGCTCCTAGGTTCCCCCTTCTCAGTGGTGCTGGACAGGAGCAAGGAAAAGGTAAGACGTTTCATATATATGAATATGGTGGCATCATTATTGATATGTTTGAAGATTTGTGGTATAGTTGGCAACCTTAGTTCTGGGTATATGTTATAGATTCTTTTTAAAACAAGCCAACAGTGAGGCTGATGTCCCCCACTGAAATCCCAAAATAAATAGATGACACATATTAATTAATAGCACATTTATTTTTTTCAAAAGTATCAAGCAATCAAACTGATTATCAACTATTGATGTAATAAAACTATACACCAAGTTTCATCACTCTCACTTAATTAGAACTAAAGTTATCGTGTCCCAAGGCATCAACCAATCAAATTGCTTATCTCTGCTGACCCTAAGCAGAACATGCTCATCTTCGAACCCCATCAAGGCATTGACCTAATAAACACCTACACCAAGTTTGAACATTCTAGCTCAATTAGAAAGAGAGTTATTGTGTATCAAAAAGTGTGACAGACAGACCGACGGACGTCCGGACAGATGGACCAACAGACCGTAGGCAGACGGACCCATTTTAATTTCAAAGAAAGCCGGGGGACAAAAAGTACTAAACGATATTACGCAATACACATGATATTTTGCGGGGGAAATCATGTTTAAAGCTTGTTGACAAGAACTAAAATGGTGTGTACTATTATATCCACACCTCCAATTTATATTAACAACACAGGTAATGGTTATATTCAACAATAACACACAGAGGTCAAAGATACAATGATGTAAAAGTTTAAAAACAAATCTAATTGATCATGAATAACCATAAATATCCTATTACCAATAAAAGAACCATTATTTCTTTGTGAGTGATATTCAATACTATAAACAAACCAATTAAGAACTGTCAAACAGAAATCCTACACAAACAATAATTTCCTACTCTGTGATTTTTTAAAATAATTTATTGTTTGGATTTTTTTTTAGCAAATCCTGAATAAACATGTCTTCCCACATCTGTTTTTTTAAGTTTATTTCAGGAACATTCTAATTAAATCAATAGTGACTATTTGTCTTCTCATATTAGATTTGATTTAACAATTGTTTACGGTCAATAAAATACAATGGAGGACGGAGTCAGCCTAGCGACCCGGTCTGGTTATCACAACTGTTCATTATTTAGTCGTGAGATTGGAACTAACCATGGTAATTGAGATCTACTGGAATAAATGTTACATGAAACAACCTGGTTTTATCACAGGGCTACTTAGAAAATCTGATTATCAGACAAATTGTGCAATAATTTGATAATCCCCAAACACGAACAAAACAAAGATATTAGATTTTTCCAATCAATAGCAGCCTAGAGAATTGTAGTTCCAACTATATTATCATATACATCATTAAACTAAAGTATGATCAGTTGTGAACACTATCTGCCGAGGGTTGTAGGAACTGATATCAGATAAAGTCTGATAGATCATTGTGTCTAAGCGAGCATAACTAAAACCTCATTTCCTTGATAACGAAGCTAATGTAATAATTATACTTGATAATGCAAAGATCAGAAGGAAATTACATGTGATTATAGAGAATTAACATCTAGTTCACCTTTCGTTTATAGGTACAATATAAATAGACCATTTATCATTTTCAAAATAAGTGAAAAGCCTTTGCATTTTTAAAACCCCAGTGTCTTAAAAGAACATTAATTCAATGTCCAAGTTAACGAGTGGGTGAATTACTTCTCTTAAGACAGAAATAAAATTCATTTTCTTATGACGGTAAACGTGCAGTTATATCCTAATGATGCGACAAAAGAATCAGTCACAGGCTAACATAATACATATAGTTTGTTCTCGGAATAGATACAAATGAGGTACATGTGAAATTTTTAACACCAAAGATTGATGAAGTGCTAATAGCTCTAACTACGTATTGGTATCATATACTAGGTATATTAAAGACATATATTCCTGAACATATTATGATTTGACCAAACTAAGTGTGTCAAATAAACTGTCGAAATTGTACAATTATCTAAAAATAATTTTTTTTATAGTTATTGTTTTAAGAATGAAGACCAAGAAATACTTTTATTTATCATTCAGTCTCTGACAAGTTAATGACTTTTATTTTAGGAGAAGTCCAAAGCTGCTGGTCTCTTGGTACTTTTCCCGATACGCGTATTCCCTAAGGTACTGTCTGTTGAATAAGAAACCTATTGTCAGACGCTATTGGAATTCAATAACTCTTGGAATGATTAACAATAAGTGCTACACCCCGGGACAAACAAACTAAATAATTAAATACTATATCATTAATTACTGATGCCTCTACAAATTAATGGGTTTATCGTGGGCTCTAACTTATTCGCCCACAATGTTCTGTTTAAATGTTCTGTTTAATCAGAATCATTTTAGCCGCAGACGCATGAAAACGTTTAAGCGTAAATCAGATGACTTCTAACAGTAATAGAATTGTTCTTAATGGTTGAAGTATATCTGTCACATGTGATAAATTGCATTACAATTTATACAGCTAACCAGAATATATCATTTCACAGTGGAGACGTGCTTTTGCTTAAAGGGACATTTCTATTTTACATAACTGACACTAAATTTCTTTGAAATACCTAATTTTCTGGCATATACATTTAATGATAGTTAATAACGTCCTCAGTTTTTGCCTATTTTACTAAGCCGATATGTGATCATAAAAATACAGAATCTAGGATGAAGTATTTTCTAAATTAGTTTAATAGACTATATTATAATACTGACCGAAGACTTTCCACTGCATCTCTTTCAGTTGTTACTGCAAAGGCATATTTGTCTTGATAAGCAAAGGCAACTTCCATAAAAATTCTATGTTCTAGAAATATAATATACATACATACAACTTTGATATTGATTAAAGGAGCTCAATCGCTAATATTTTGGACCTGGAAATTGGCACAAATGGGTCGCAACACATATAATAATGTAATATGAATTTATATAAACTGTTTTACATTCAATCGTGTCCGTTTTACTATGAATTGTCATCAGTTATGTTCAGCGAAATACGCCAGAAGTCTTAACCGCAAGCCAGTTTCTAGCGTCTGGTTATTCCAGTCAACACCGATATTATTTATTGCGCATGCTCTCCAAATAAGAACAAGATATCACCGTTTGACATGACTTGTGGAATATGTCTAGCCTCATTCTTTGAGCACCTTGTTACAAATGGCGCTGAAACGCATTATGGTACACGATTCGTGTACCAATGGTAAAATGTTTATTTTGTCTTAATTATTGGATATCAGAAGCCCATCATTTCCAGGTAAGATCACAACACCAATGCTGATTTAAATTGCAAAAAAATTTGTGTTTTCGATGTCGAAGAATTTGGATGATATTAAGTTACAGACTTAGCTCCTTTAAATGATTTAATAATAATTCAATTTTAGGAAATTATATTTAGCCAAAGTTGTGATACAAAATGAACACTTATGTATGTGAATTTTAGACTATGACAATGTATATTTCAAGGAAATATCATCACTTTATCTTCTTTGCACCAAAGGAGCTTTGCGCTAGACAGTACTTCAATGCCAAAGGCTGGAGATTGCCCCTATAGGCATGTCTGACCAAATAGATGCTACCTTTTCCTATTACCATGCTGTCATTGACATAGCCTTTCGATCAAAGACAGCGGATAATATGGCGTATTACAGTTTATATGTTCTTTTTACCATAGACACAAATCTGTCTCCCTGGAGCCAACTTGTAACAGAAGAGATAGTTTTTTTTAAGTATTATTGATATCTCAAATACCATTAATCATGAACTGAATCTCCAATATTTGCTAAAGTGAGATTAGCTTTTGTTTTAATTTCATTTATAACCAATAATCAATTTGATAGTTCTGTTTCTTTCACCAATTTTATTTCACGCCATAGAGATTCACAGAATGATATTTAATTAAAGTTTTAACACAATGTGGTAGGTGCAGATCTTATTGTGAGAAAATAATTTGCAATGTGTAAAACAAATGATGAAAAATGGAAACTTGTGAAACATCTGTGTCTGTAGGTGGACATTTTCACTGCTAATCTCTTTGGTGCGATGTTCGAGTTTTGGATGTTAACTAGATATACCGGTATGCCCACTGGCAGCAATTGTCTGCACAGTCAAGCTGGTGCAATGTTCTCATGGAAGATTATCCACTGATCAACTATATAATTAAACTACCCAAGGTTTGAAAAGATAGGTTGCCAGGCAACAAAACATACGCCCACGGCTGCTAAATCGTCCGAGCGGTCAACAAGTGTTGTCGCATTTAATCTTTTGTAGGTAATGGGGGGAATTTACAAGATAATTTCATACAGATCAGATTATAATTTTCATCCTTTGAGGATTCACAAGGTGCTAGAAACTGAAACTATGGAAGGAATATAAACAAATTTTTGAAATTCAACAGTCTTTTTCGTTTTATTAATCTAATGCATATAAATTTCATACAGATCGGATGATGACGTTCGTCGTTTTAGTGTTTACAAGTGCATTTCCGCAGTTTTGTATTGTTTCTGAATATCCCCTACTTTTTTTAAGAGTATATATAAAAGGTATTCATAGATAATGTATCTTTGATATGTGATTGTAAACATTGTGAATTTAATGGGTATTGGTTACTAACTTGCTACCCTGTATTGAATGAACATTAGCCAATATTGTGTTTTTACTGGTTTCCCTAGTGTATTTAACAGCTACTAACTGATATTGTGTATTTAATAGCCATTAGCTAATATTATGTATTTAATGGGTATTGGTTGCTATTGTGTACTTGCAGATAATGTGCATTGAATGTGTATTAGCATATATTGTGTATTCAATTGTTGCTATGGTGTATTTGATGTGTATCAGCATATATTGTGTATTTAATATTTGCTATTATTATTATTATTATTATTATTGTTCGATTTATATAGCGCTTCATTACACGTGAAGTGTTTCTAAGACATATCACAAACATATACTTCAAACACACAGAAACAATCAAAATCAGGAGAACATAATTAAACACAGCTATTGTGTATTTAATGTGTATTAGCAAATATTGTACATTTAATGTATATTAGAAGATATTGTGTACTAATGGGTATTAGCAGTTATTTTGTATTTAGCAGTCATTAGCAGATATTGTGTATATAATGGGTATTTGTTGCTATGGGTATTTAATGGGTATTGAATGCTTTTGTTTATTTAAAGGGTATTGTTCTCTACTGTGTATTTAATGGGTATTAGCATATATATTTGTGTATTTAATGGGTATTGGTTGCTATTGTGTATTTACTAGTTAAGAGTTATTGACCAATATTGTGGTTCCACTAGGTATCGGTTTCTATCATGGGTAGGTATTAGCTGATATTGTGTATTTAGTGGTTTTTGTCGTCAGAGGTTCATATATACTTATAATAGTATAGGCACGGAAGTTATGGGTATCGGTAGTGATTGTTATATGATTTTGTTATTGTGTACACAATGGGAACTGATTAATAACTTAATTAGCCAAAAAACTTGAGGATATCTGACATAAAGATATATTGCTGAATATTTACTGTTAAAATAACACAGATAACATAAAGGACATACCATATGTTCCAATTGCTTTTTGATAAGAGAAAATAACATCTGTTTTGCCTTTGTTTTTGTCTATCATTTCCTCCATATCTGCTCTATTCTGAATAATGGGCACTTCATGTAGTAATACAAGCCTATAACGTACAAAAATAACATATCATTAATTCATTTATAGACACATGTAACTAAATATTCAAATCATATGTGTAATTCATTTCTGAAATAAAAGGAAATTAAATATAAAATAGACCAACTGGGAATTCTGAATGTATATAATTAATCTGAAAAAAAAGAAGCCAGTTTTTATAACACAGTTACAGGATAAACTGTAAACGATACTCAGTGTGACGCCAAAGAATATCCAATCTGTTAATAAAAGTTAATCTTTATTAGATGTTGGTTTGAAAATTACATATGGCTGTCTCTGGATTCCTAGTAAGCTGTCTTATAATTATGAATATATTTTATTACAAATAAAATATTGTTTCAGTCAGATATGCATTACAAAATAAATCAAATTTAAAAACAATATCAATATGGTATAGTGAATGTTTCAATTTGCAACAACTAAATAAACAGATTAACGATTAGACATTTTAGCATGCATTTTGTACATGTAACAGATCATTAATCAACAATAATAATTGACTGTATATTACAGTAAATAACAACATTGTTTTGCGACTAAAGCTTAAATTACACCGAAAAACTAGAATATACCCTTTTCACATTAACAAAGTTTGCCTTGCCATGGTATACATACCAATATAAGCTGAAATTAAGAGCATATTAAAATCATTTTTTTTTTAATTTTGACCATCCTCGAATTCAGACATGTTTTGACACTAATCTAATATTTAAGAGAGTTCAAACTGTAACTACTATAACGAAACAAAAAATCAATTTTGAAAACATTGATGAAAAATAAGGGAAAAAAAACATTTAAAAAATGGAATTAAGTATTGTGCAGATTGTTCAACTGAATTGGTGGTTCCCCCTTGTCAGTGATGCGGGACGGAGGGTCTGACAAGGACAGCTGTCTAGTCGTTTGGATGGAACGAAAAACCGAGGTCCTGTGTATACATTGGAATGCACGTAAAAGATCCCTTGGCAGTTGGAATTCGATTTAAGAGTAGGCAATAGTGCTGCTGCCCGGGCAAAATTTCCCTCATAGCACACTGTATGCCGTATGCCCGTCTTCATTAGCCCAGTATAGGAGCAGAACAGTAGGACGTTAAAGCCCATTTCATTTCATTTCATTTCAACTGAATTGGGATATTTTGCAGAAAATGTTATATAATTGGCTTATTACCAGGAGTTTTATTTGGCATGGGTAAACATTTTTATTATCCATGTATTATAATGTATCATCAAAACAAAATTGTATAAATACTAAGCACAGATGCTGGACCCACATGGGAATCTGTTACTTAACACTATAGAGCAAGAGAGCAAGGGCAGACAGTTGGACATGGGTTAGTGAAGCAGTGGAACCCTTTGTTATAAAAGTCTTAATTTAATTTAATAATTGTGTCTAGTCAGTTATCAATAGATCCAAATTCATCTATTTATTTAAATGTCATTAACTGTTACTTTATATAATTTAAATCGTAGAATTACATCCTAATAGCTACAGTGAGTCTCTCTACGAACTAGTTACACTGGTTTCAAATATAGTGCATCTGAATATAACTTTGGTTGTTTTAGCTTATTTGGGATCAAGAAATACTGTGTACAGGCGAATGACTATTTTTACCACTCGAAAATGCTACCAAGCACTTCTTCAAACTTTCATTTATTCAGAATTTTATTATCATTTGTGAAAAATACCACAAGCCAATTATGCTAAAGGACATATATTTGAATGATTGTGAAATCTACAAACAAAAAAAATTGCTTGATAATAAAGTAATCTGCAATACACTAAAATTATACTTTTGAAGAAAAGTAGTAGACATGGAAGATCTATGTTTCTTAAATATGCCCCCAAAACAAAAACCCAGGTGCCCTATCAGATATGACCAATCTATGCCCGATAGTACTTTGAGTTGTTGTTAGTTAGTTGTATTTTACGTCCCGCTTCCACCGAGGTGATATCGCAGACAAGTACTTTGAGTAAGAAATAATAAATATATAGATCAAGAAGTAAGTTCACCATACTGATCATATCTAAATATTTAATGTTAATCTGATACGGATCAATTTTCTAGACAAATTTAAAGTACTTCTTAATCAGCTTTTATATCTCTCAAATTTCTTTGACCTATATTTTGATTATCTGTTAATCAAATAAATCTGTATTGTAAAGGTCAGCATATTATGACATATTATACATATGTATAGATATAGTATTAAAATTCTATGAATATTTTATTAATATAGCCCGAACAGTGTTTACTACATGTGGCAAATAATAAAATTCATATTTTACAAGGTTTTCTGATTTGTCCTTGGCACAGATCATAATATAAATAATAAAGATTAGTGCAGTCTTCTGGTAGAGAAAATAAAAAACTACATTTGATATCGATACATTCCGGTCATAATAACAAGCTTTGGTACATGAGTTAATGTCTGATAGTGTAACAGTTGTTTAATCTGATTCAGTTAAACATACATTATGCAAGATCCAAATCTGCCTATTGCAGATCTTTCTTTAGGCCTGAAATGTTATCTAAATTATTAATTAGACATTTATTAACTTATCCAGACCATATTCAACTCTCGATACCATCGCTTGCCGGCGATATTTAGCGGATTGGAATACATTTTTAGAAAAATAATTAAATCAATAAATGGATATTCGAGACTTTGTTTTGTATCTTACCGACTTTAGTAATGATGATCGAGGCTAGCCTAAAATCTAAAAGCTAATATCTTGGTTCAGAGTGGAGCAATTTGACTGAAATTTTCAGCATATTCTATTTACATTATCTATTTTTTAACTATTATAGCGAGAACAGTCAACTCTTTATCTAATCTCCCATAATTCCCTTTTAATTAAATAAAATATCGCTTGAATCAAAGTGGCACCAGATGTTATGAATAGGGTAAACATTCTTTGAGTGACAATCAATGACTAATAATAAGAAAATGAAAGAACACTAGCAAAGTTGATGGTGAAAAACTTGTTCAAGTTTAGTTTTACCAATGAATATTTTATTCTACAAAAAACAAATGGCCAACACAATGCTAATAAATTCTATTGCAATCATTATTAATTAATGTATCATTTACAACCATAAAACAGTTCCCTTTTGTTTGCAAGGGGGCACCCCTGATTCCTTCACAAGTGATCAAATTTCAAAATTGACCTGTACAGACTTCCACTAATCTTTGAATGTGAGAAAATAGAATGTATAGAGGTAATGATCCAGGACAAAATCGAAATTGACCTACCCCCCACTCCCCCTATGGTTTGGTTATACAAAATGCTCTTTTTAATGCAAAACATGTGATATTCACATTTGATATTCAGAATATCTTTGCTACCATGAAAATACAATCTGAATATATCTAAATGACTTAGGTGTCAACATAGACACCATAATTCCCATCATAAAAGGATGAGTAGTGTTTTATTTGACCATGTATTTTTAGCCAGAGGTGGTTTTCTCAGATACCAACAGGTAAACTTAGTGTTAGACCTTTTTCAGACAATAACTTTTTTCCATGTCTGTGCTGTATTGAAATAACCTGACCATCCCAATTTCCTATAAGTATTGTCATTTGTATTATGTAATACAATAAAATAACTACCATATTATCTTATAATGAAGATATTGTAATATAATATATTGAAGGAATCTATAGTTTACTTACTGTAAGACATTAGACATAATAGAATTAACATCAAACATTGTCTCAAGGTCCAATATAAGTAATTCTTCTCCATCTCTGAAATGATATTGTTACAAATATATATTTTTTTTTTATAGAATTAAGATTTAAAAAAAATCAAATCTAAAGTCATTCACCCTGTGTATTGAATTATATTTATTGTACATATTTCATATAGTGTGTGTGTGTGTGCCTCTAATGTGTATTTATTGAATATTTTGTAGATATCTTGTGTATTTGAATCTTGTGTACCTACACACAGATCAGCAGTGAATATGCTATAATCACTGATAGGGATGACATTGGTGTGGCTTGACAAACTCTCAATATTAACTTTTTTCCTTCTGCAAATTAAATTTTCAAACATTTTTTTCAAGTATTAAAAAAATTAATAAAGGTGTTTTAAGTATATCCAGATAAAAAAATATTTCCTATTTAGTGTAAATTGGTATATAAAATGAGTAAAAGGCGCCATTCTGCCCAAACCAATTTACATTACAACCATGAAGCCAATGATTGATGCCTCATGATCTGACGTCACATGTTGAACTTATAAAGTCAGTCATCTTATACAGAGTTATTGACAAGGTTTACATTAATCATCCTTAAAACCAAATTTAGCAAACTCATCACGAGACTTAAAACAATAGATGTAGTCAAAGACTACGCCTATACACCAATCAAATGCCCGTGTGGACATATTACAAATTGATAGGAAGGGGAAGAACACTCTGTCTCAATTCTCTCCTTTCTCCACCGCCAGATGATAGATACTGGACATCTCAGCTCGTCTGGGATTTCATTGAGGATATAGGTATGACCAAACACATATAATGATAAAACTAATCAATTAAAATACACTCAGTAGGGCGGAGCGCAAAAAGGTCCCCTAGAGGGTAACGCCAATCGCCCAACACTACTAATAACATTGTACGCAACAATGTCTCCTAGAGAGAAGAGTGACCCATTTTGGTAACCAAACTAATTAATTAAAAACAGAGAGCAGGCGGGACGCAAAACGGTCCCCACGAGGGAAATGTTCTACCCTGCACAAACCAATTAAATTAACCTAAGCAGGGTGGTGCGCAATAATGTCCCCAAAAGAGGGTAACGCAAAGCACCTTGCACCCCATATTATTATATTATATCAAATATATACTTAAATAATGATTGATTTTACATCCATGTCATTTTTTATAATGTTGTATTGTACTTACAAATGAAATTGAAATAAAGAACTTTTTTTTTAACTATTTTTATATACACGATCGACCGTATGAATTTACAATTAAGAATGCCATATTGAATTTAGTACTTTACTTTACTTTACCCTATTTTTATTTTATTTTTACTTTACTATTTTTTTTTTTACCTAATTAGTTTATTATTAGTTTCTACCCCACTCCTCCCCCCCCCCCCCCTTACTAGACGAAACATAACCATTATAAGACCAGATACTCTCTTTCTTCTTTCTCTCTTTTCAGGTGCTGGATTCTTCCTTCAGAGAAACAATAAACAAAAGGAACGAATAACAAAATGAAGACGAAATCAACCACATACCATGTCTAAATGTTCGTCTGCTTTGTCAAATGTCGGTATTGCGTGCATGTCTGTAAATGTTTGTGCTTGTCTAAATGTTTGTCCATATTCATGTCTGTTTTGTCACAAATTCGTCTGTTGTCAATGTCTACTGGCACTTCTTTATTCTTTGCACCACTTATCTCATGTCTCGTCCTGTTATCTATTGTCTTCTGTATATACAGTGCACTCTGTCACATCCGACATCGTACGGGATCGTTACAATATGTCGGATTACGCAGAGTGTCGGAATACCCAGTTTTCTCAAAACCGGAAAAATTGGAACTTATAATGTAGCCTTCGAATATAGAACTTCGAATCACCAGAATGTTATTCCCTTTAAAAATGATAAACCTTTCTGTACATTCAAAATTTTATTACATTACTTTTTATTTCATTTAATATGCGTAGGCATTTTGAATAGGTCAAATCTGTCATTAATTTGTCTTCTTCGCCATCTTAAGTTGATCGCACGCTTGTCTTTGCTATCACGTGTTCATTGATAATTGGGCGTACTCAATTGAACGTTCCGGAATTGAATTCTCTCAATCCCAAAAATATTGACAATCGAGTGAAAATGGGTACTTCGGGCTACAACGCATGCATCGACTGGATATATAAATATCTCATCCAACCATGCAGCCGAAACCTGTTCGTCGTGTTTAATTACGTCAGAATTCTACTCACACCACCTCCGTCGTCGGGACTAACAGAACTGTGACAGGACTGACTTCCGCGTCACTCGATTGCAATTCTGTCAATTTGGGACGTTCCGGACTGTGAATCAAGCATCGTCACACGGTTCGAAGACATCTGTAGGGTGACCAAACTTATAGGTTATTCAGGTTCAATCGGCATGCGCAACGAATGTTTCCAACAGGTGCGAGGAATATTTTTACGACTGTGAATTCGGGGGAAAATTCGTGGATATTCTTGAGTATTTGTCACAACTGTCGTACAAGAGATAAAAATTATCAAAGTAATCAACAAAGACCCACGGTAGCGTATATATATATAAACCTAACTATCCTTTTTCCACTAATCACAATGTAAATATTTCACTATGTATATATAACATGTAATTGTCTGCGATATCACCTCGGTGGAAGCGGACGTTAAATAAAGCTATTTCACACATACAGAGTTATTAGAAGGCTTTTGTAATACGTCTGTGAAACAGATTGGCGTAACTAATGTGTATCTTGTTTACCAGATATTTTTATATTTTGTTTATATGACGTTTATTTTGTTTATCTAATGTGTATCTTGTGTACCACATATGTATTTTGTTTATCTAATGTGTATCTTGTTTATCTAATGTGTATCTTGTTTATCTGATGAGTATTTATTTCATCTAAATGTGTATCTTGTTTATCTGATGAGTATTTAGTTCATCTAAATGTGTATCTTGTTTATCACATTTCTCAATGATTTATGAAAAGGAGCATTGTCTTGGTGGAACAGGACGCCTTTAATGAGCATTCCCCCGTCGCTTAGCTTTGATAGCTTCACGCAACTGTCTCAGTAGGTCACCATAATATCTTCCATTGATAGTCTGGCTCTTTTCAAGATAGTCAATCAGCAGAATACCATTGCAATCCCAAATGACTAAAGTCATCACCCTCTCAGCAGAAGGAACTGACTTGGCTGGTTGAAAGTGATGAATCCAGGTCTCATCCATGGTTACAAATCTGTCCCAAAATTTATCAGCATCGATTTAAAATGGCACAGATTGTCACGTGAAGTCGGGAATCTGACATATTTCTGATCCGGAGTCAAGAGCTTTGGCACCCATCTTGCAGAAACCTTTGTCATTCCCAACTTGTTGGAGATAATGTGGTCAACCCTCTCATGAGAGATGCCCACAACACTGGCAATATGTGAGTGGTCAATAGCCAGTTTTGTCCATTTCTGGTGATTTCAATGGGTAGGTTCACAAGACGGTCTGTTAGGAAGACAATAAAAACACTACATTTGCAGTTCTTATGTCTATGATTCATTCATTCATTGAACTTGTTGGTGGTAACAGTTTGTTTCAATCTAATTGATTTATCCTTTTTAGTTTAGACTTAAAACTTTCCAGCAAGCCCTCATAATTGAAAAACAAAACTGTTATCTATAACTTGAAGAGAACTCAAAAACAATAATTTTTCTTACTGATGGGCAAGGTTATTGTATAAGCCTTCCTGCTCTTATTAATGAAAAACAACAAACCAAAAGATAGCTTGCCAGCCATCCATAAAGTTTGTTGCATTGCAAACTTTAGGAGAGTGAAAAGTAAAATTTTTATACTGTATAACATCATTGACGTGTTGGCCTGGAAGTAATCCACAGAAATTGTTGAAGTTCGTTAAGATTCTTCTTAACAATAATCGAAACAAAGCAATCAAATGAATGGGGTTTAACATCCTTCTTTTCCAATGCTGACTTGACTAATGAAGATGCACCTCATACAGTGTGCCATTAGTGACATTTTGCCTAGACAGAAGAACTACTGCCTACTCTTATTTCGAATTCCAATTGTCAAAGGCTCTTGACGAACATTCTCAGCCAAAACAGGGAGCGATCCAAAGACCTCTTGGTTAGTTAACCAGCTAGTGGCTCTCTTGATACCAAGAGCATATATTTAAAAGAGATAAAATGAAATGAAATGTGCTTTAATGTCCTACTGTTTTGCTCCGACTGGAACAGTCATAACATATTACAAAGAGATGTAAACCGGATGATAACTTTTGTCGTTAGACAATTCACATGATTCTACAAAGTGATCAAGGGCAATAACTATGGCAATTATTATATACAATCATTGAAATTCAAGAGGCTTCTTCATTACATTAATGAAATGAAATAAATGAAATAAATTTTAAAATTTCAAATGATAATTGTATTCTGTAGATTGTACACAAGAATTGTGGATGTTGGACGTACAGGGACAATGTATGACCGCATTTCCATGTGGGCGTATAAAAATTATATACCATTAGATTCTCACTGCAGAAACAATGTATCAATTTACTCTTCATACTAAATTGGAAAATTGTGAATTTTCATGATATATTATTTTTTTGTGAATGAACGTGATCAGACCATAATTGAACAGGCTGTCATGTGAAAAGTAATTACCAAAGCTGACAATTCCCCAATGGCCTCTATAGTTACTACGTGGAAAATCATTTAAAATGGAAATCACAGCAAAGGTCACGAAGCATCATCAATAACCATTTATGAAAAGACACTTTTGCTAATGTGGAAAAAAAGGACAAGAAAATTAATGTGATCGGCTAAAAATGGTAATAGATTGTGTACCATGTGGGTTAAATGCCTTTTCTGTCGTAATCCTTTTAATCATCTCAATCTTATTAGAAGGACACTCCATGCTTTATATTTAATCTCTGAATGCTATATCATTAAACCACTTCAAATAAAATGTTTATTACCCAAGAAGGAAATACTCGGTTCTAATAGAGAAGCAATAAAATGCAGATGAACATGATGTAAATATTGATTGACTAAATCAATTTGTTCATAGAAAAATTTAAGCTTTACTGTCCACCTAATCCCCACCCTGCTACTCAAAAATTTCAATATTTTAAAAACTAATATGGACACTAACAATTGGAAATACATAAAATGGTAAATTAACTTTCTAAATCTAATTGTCAATTATGTCATTTCATGATGAAAAGGTTCTTTTACTGGCTTGAATTTATGTGGGAGAATGAGACTTTCAAATTCAGTTCACTTTAATCCATTATTTGACATACCATGATCAGAGGCTTGAAAGTCACAAAGAGAAATGCCTGTAGAAGGATGACTTAGCACTTGAGAGATGTATAGAGAGAGTACAATTAGTTAGAAGAATAGCTACTGAATGCTTTGAATTGAACATTTATTTCCTCAGTAGCCATACTAGTGTCAGTACTTCATCTTTAATGTTAGAGTGTACTTAATCTGTAACTATTATGGGCTAATGCTTTTTATCATGATCATGCATTGTTTAATTTGTATATGAACTTGGTTTAGGAGCTTGAGACTAATTCATCTAATTCTTGTTAACTGTACTCATATCATAGTTCCCATTTAGAAATTATTCTACCCATGTAAAAAGCAGATACTACTGAAATTATTACAGATGAGAAATTTATTCACGACACTAACGAAATTCGTTTAATATTGGTCTAATAGAGCTACTATAAGGTTTGATTTGTGTTTTAAGGTAAAACAATCTGTATTTCAGGTCAGGCAGTTTTGAGAACATTTCACTATTAAATAAGGGAAAAAAAATGTTCTTTAATCTCCTGTATCAAAGTCCTGAATTTTGACCACATTAAAGATATATTATGTAATATTTAGATAAAAAAAATGACCATTATAGTTTAAAAATAGATAATGAATATATTTAAAATTTCATTCAAATTACTTTATTCTGTGTGAAGTTATGACTTTTTGAAGATGTACTTGACAATCCAGGCTAAGTCTTGATTATCCAATTTATTATTAATTCTTTAAATTTCACGGATGTTCTAATTCAGCCATCGATAGTCTAGAGTCATGTCATACATTGAATAAATGTCTAAATATTAGTTTATATAATATTTGAAACCAAATAAAGACCTGCAATAGGCAGATTTAGTTCTTACATAATGCATGTTTAAGTAGACATTTATTTAATCTCGTATCACTTTACTTTATCCAACTATTTTACTGCTCAACTTCCAAATATCCGTAATTGATCTATTTGTGACAAACTTTGAAAGATGAGGCTTATAAAAATCTTTTGGTCTAAAAACACACCTATCTATTATCTCCATAAACGAGATTTTAATATCACACATAATTTAATATCATAAATATTTGATGATTAAGGATATTGATTTCCATCCAACAAACCTATTAAATTTTCTGCTTTGCATCTAATATCATCTATTATAGTATATATGCATGGTGCCATGTAACTCTATATGACGCACTAATCAGATATATGCTTATAATCAGTGTATGGGGATTTGTAAGGCAATGTTCCCTCCATGGCATTTTGTCCAGCATATAATTCTCTTTTATTAGGGTTTTTAAAATAAATTATAAATGTCAGTTACTGACATTTTGTCGGGTTACTCGGGTACATCTGATTATCAGATTATGAAACATTATTTTGTCATTGCATAAAACATTATTTTGTCATTTGCATAAAACATAATATTTTACAACATAATATTAGGTATTTTAATGACAAGTGATATGTCTAGAAATAGTAAGCCTGTATCCTCGTGTTTGTTGTTGTACCTTACCTGTACGTATAAATAGAGTGTTCAATGCCATTTTTTTGACATATTGTTGGTAAATTGGTGCCATCGACTCTACAATCCACCTGGAATTGACATAAATAAGAATCAATAAATTATTTTAATATATTATGATTTGTAAATGGCAGAAACATAGCCAAATATCTCTCCTACATTAATTTTATCCATAAAAATTGAATAAACAATGCCTGGGGCATAATGGACTGTCGGATTATTGACAATTAATGTAACAAAATAGATAAACACAACAAAGAACAACATGACAGATCACTGAAGCATAAAAACGGTTTCAATCACTTACTATTCCAGACACAACACCATATACAGCTAAATATTCGGCAGATTTATCAAATTCTTTAAAAAAGTGACGTATTCTTGCTACTTCTGAAACCCAAAATTAAACATAATTAAACCAATTGTATTTTAACAATGCACTACAATTTCATGATAAACAAGCCAACAGTGAGGCTACTTCCCCCTGTCGCAATCCCAAAATAAATAGATGACACCGATTAATTAATTGCACATTTATCTTTTTCAAAAGTATCGAGCAATCAAACTGATATCTGTACTTAGTCTAAGCCAAAAATGTTTCCCGATCAAACTCAATCAAGGTTTTGATGTACCTGGTAGTGAAACTATATACTAAGTTTCGTCACTCTCCATCAGCTAGAATCAAAGTTATTTTGTCCCAAAGCATCGACCAATGAAATTGCTTAGCTCTGCTTGACTTTAGCGGAAAATGTTAATTATTGAACTCAGTCAAGACATTCACCTAATGAACATCTACATCAAGTTCAAACATTCTACTTCAATTGTTATGGTCCAAAGTCTTGTCCAATCAGATTGAAGTCTCTACCTAGCCTAAACAGAAAGTGCTCATCATCGAACTTAGTCAAAGTATTGATATAATGACTCTATACTCTGAGCTTCATCACACTCACCCAATTAGAACCAAAGTCATTGCGTCCCAAAGCATCACCCATTCAAATTGCTTATCTCTGCTTACCCTAAGCAGAACTCCATCAAGGCATTCACCTAATAAACACCTACACCAAGTTTGAATATTCTAGCTCAATTAGGAGAAGAGTTATTGGGTCCCTGACAGACAGACTGACAAACGGACGGACATACCCATTTTAATAGTCCCATGCCTAATCTGGAATAGATAATGACTGAGGATGTTTTCTTAATCTTTAACAATTGCACAAAAAAAGATTTAATCACGATTCATAAGCCTATGATAGAACGTTATTGGAACTATGACATTTTATAAAAAATTGAAGTTTGTTGATTGGTGCACAGTTGTCTACAGAACATGCAAACCATGTTTTATGCCTATTGTACTTGCATTGGCAGAGTCTTAAGCTTTTTGCACAGAGCATCTCCCCCAAGAAGAAGAATAACAACAACAACAGGATGAGTTCCTCGTCCAGAAATGAATTTCGACAAAATTGTTTGGATGTTACATTGCAGATGCTAATGAGGTGGTAGTTGTAATGGTTTAACAATATCAAATTTATGCTATAAATGTGGGTGTAGTTTGTTCATTCCAATATCAATCCTACAGAGAACCAATGTATATTCTCAACCCTACCATTGCAAATTAATAGGATTCATAATATTGAGAAATGTATATACCCCAAAAGCTATTTATTCCCTTATTAATATTCAAATACTTTGAATAATTGTCTCAATCTTTATTTCTGTTTCTGATTTGTTGTTTTTTTCATTGCATGAATAACTTAAGAAATCTAAATCTCTTGATACACAAATGATTAATGCAACATCTTTATCTTATGAATATTTCATATTTTTACAATACATGTGCATGTACAATCATATTTTGTCACAGGGAATTAGTTTTTATTTTCTAAATAAATATCTGGTTCTGAAAAGTCTTAAGTGGCTAGAATTTTGGTAGAGGAGTGGAAGCAGCCACATATGTTAGGGGAATAGAAGTTCTTGTGACAAACAAGTTAGGATATTTTTGGTTCTTTACGGCCTTGAATTTCAGTTTGGCAAAAACTTGTTAAGCAATTGTTCTCATTTTTATTAAATTTTCAACACACTTCTCATGGATCAAGCACACAGAACATTGAATCTTGATTATCCAAAAATAATTAAAACAAAGTTCAGTGAAATTAAGTAAAAAAAAAAAGAGCAAATGTTTTTAAATTATCAATATCCAATGAAACGAATGTTCAAAAACATAAGACAACTACAAATAATGCCATTTTTCAAATGACAATCACCAATTGTTGGGCCTAATTTTGTAACAGATTCGATCACAGTCAACAGATCTTAAAAGAAAACAGACAGAGTGGGCAAAGAAACTGTAGAGAAAGAGAAATGTCATTTAACGTCAATGCCAAGATTAACATATGGTACAATATTATTTCAATACTTTGCTTGAGCATACAGGTCTTTACAGGTGGGTGGAAAGCAGAGGATGTAGCAAAAACCAATGAGGTTGGGCAGACAAACCTACTCCTCTTTACGTCCAAGCGTGGAATCAAAATCATACCACTTGACTCAATGACAGACCTTATGATCTAAAGGACACTCGTTCAAAGAAACTGGAGACTACAGACCACAAGCTAACAATATCTCAGACTATCAATCTGTCATAGTTTGCCTATAAGAACCAATAATAACAATGCTCCGACTATTTCTCATAATGAAATAAAAGCTTGCCTCAATTCTTTCAATTCTTAAGATGAGAAAAATAATGGAAACTATTTTTTATTATCTCATATCTATTTTGAATAATCAATTTTGCAATTTTCTTATTTTCTTTAAGACTCTCATAGAGTTCATCCATCAACATCAATATTTATTGTGAAACATATCCCAAAAACTTTTGGTAAAGCAACAATTTTGTCACACAACAATTGCATTTAAGTGGACATTAACAAATATAAATGTATGCTTTTCTTGAGAGGAACTAAAGAAGGAAAAGTATTAAATTAAATAGACTTGGATAGTTTGACTTGATTTAGATGGAGATCAATGTTTGCTTGTGGAGATTTAAACCTATATATCAAGATAAATGACCTGGAAGTACATTAATCTGACTATCATTGCTCTTCCTTGTGTTTTTTCAATTCTTATTTGACAGACTCAATAACAGATTCAATTTCAAATCTCATTTCAAGATGAAAGTTTAGATGGTCATTCATTATAAGCCGACATAATAGATTGGGAACACACATGTTGGAGTGAACTTTTTGTCTCAATAAATCACGCAAGTTATTAAGTAATCATTAAGTTTTGCCTCTTCACCAAATATGGGGTAAACACCAACTGTTACCGTGAAAAACATTCTATTCTATGGTAATAAATTGATAAATTGCATTTATTCCCCTATGAGTTAGATAAAAGGCAACAAAAAATGATTACATCAATTAAATGTGAGGACTTATTCAAATATCATTTATAATATCATCAAATGTCATTCTTATTGAGGGAAGTGGCGGAAACTCAGTGAGCAAGATGTTGTTGTCTTGTTAACCTGGAGGTCCATTGTTCATTCCCGGTGTTGGCTGACACAGTTCATCATGATTTTCCAGCGTGGTTCCCCCTTGTCAATGGTGCAGGATGGGGAGGGCCTGGTGCAGAACAACATATAGTTGTTCAAATGGGACAAAGAACAAGAGTCCCATGTACACATTGGTGTGCTCATAACATAACCCTTGACATAGTAGGCTGTAGGACCACTGTCTCGGCAAAGTTTCCCTCATAGCACACTGTATGGTAAATATATTATTCCCATTGACTATTTTTCTCATTATTTTGATATCATGGTGTCAAATATAGCAATTTCATTCTGCTTCATAGATAAGACAGTGTTCACAGGCGTATAATGAAAAAAACTGATAAAACTGATCAAGTTATGCCAGTCTTCAGTTACCTTAGTGATTTAAAAACACGTCAGAATTAGAAGTAATCAATTCTACTAATCCCTCTCCAATCTCTTGTCATAAGATAACTGTAACAATATGAAAGACGATGATTCATTGCATGTCAGTTTTGTTTGAAACAGAAAGGGACCTGTTGTAGTTAGTATGTGTAGTAGCGTAGTAACGTAAAACAATTTTTCACGCAATATATAACTTGTATACAAGACAAAAGAAACTGTCAATGGCCATAGTGTTGCTTATCTTAAAGCCTACACAGTCATGTTATCCTATAATAGATCTTGACTACCTCTGGCAAATAAAGCTCTGCTAATTGTACTACACAAGCGTGGTTATATTGATTGGGCTATTTTCAATAATTAACAGATTTCTTAAAGGAGGGGGCTAAGGATACCTAAAGGCTCCGAAATTTACTGTCTGTATATGTATATTCCGGGTGTATATATCAATTGACCTTATATTGTACAGAAAATAATACCTCCACAGAATAAATGTTCATATTCCTATTTATTTATAATGATTGAAAATTTTTCTTTTAAATTGACTTTCTGTTTTCCGGCTAACCTATTAAATCATCTCAAAAGAAACTGTGTAACAATGCTTGTTCAAGATGTAGAATAATTTTGCCAGAGAGTGTCAGTCAATTATTTGTCACCGACTTTCGTCTTTATTGATAAAATCAGGATTGGCAACAATGCATTTTTATAGTCAGAGATACTTTTCTGTAACTTAATTGGGTGTTTAATGTACAAATGCCTAATACAGTAAAGACAGGTTGCCAGGCAACGAAACATACGCCCACAGCAGCTAAGTCGTCCAGACAGTCAACAAGTGTTGTCTCATAATTTTTCTTTAGTGTTTACAACACATGAAAATCTGATTACGAGCAATAACCCATAAAGTAATTATCAGAAAACATTAGAATTTGTTTCGATTGTTTGTCTCATGACCTTAAACAATTTATATTAACTATAGTCTCTAAAGTGAATGAATGAATGAAATGGAGTTTTAGCCTCTAGAGCGGCCACAAGTTTTTTTTTAAAGTGATCAATAAGGGCCTTAATCTGGCAGTAATTATTGGAATTCATTGAAAATGAATAGATTCTTTGTCTCATGACCTTAAACACAGTGTGTAAGTTTAAAGTAAATGAGATATTAACTTTAGCCTAAAAGTTTCTTCAAGATATTTCAAAGTGATCAAGAGCCATAACTCTGACAGTGATTATCAGAAATCGCTGCAAATCAATAGGCTTCTTCGTATCATGACCATAAACACTGTGCATAAATTTAAAGCCTCTAAAGCGTCAAAAAGCAGACGGACGGACGGACGGACAGGGAGCAAGGACATCACAGGATGGTGCTTAATTAAAGAAGCAATAACACCTTCTGAATGCAGAGCAATAAATTTGTATAAAATTAATGAATGACTCTGAATTTTTATTGGATTCCTCCTTATGACTTAAC